GTCCGCCATATCCGAGGAGATGCTGTCGAAACGCGAGAGCTCGTGCGAGACTCATCCGTCGCAGTTGCTCACTCATTACTGCAAGATGTGCAAACAGCTCATCTGTATCGATTGTCTCCGGGAGTCCTCCAACGACTGCACCCACAGGCAACGCAAGGTGAGCATTACGGAGGCCAGTCACCAGGCAAAGGATGCCATTCTGGCCTCCCTCAAGCCAATCCGTGGCCAGCTGGCTTCAATCGAAGGGGTTGTCCAACAAATCCAGGCCAAGAAGCAGCACATCAGCGAGCAGGCTACGGAAGTGAATTCCAGAATCGACGGAGACATTGAGGGTTTGAAGGCAGCACTCGAGCAGCGCCGGGGCGAGCTGAAAGAGGCCGTAAAGGCAGAGGAGGAGAGGAAATACTCTGGTCTCAGGGGGCAAGAGGAGGATGCAGAGATTGCAAAGAACCAACTGTCTAACTACTTAGGGGGTGTCAACCAGTGCCTACAGAGGGGGAGTAATGTGCAGGTTGTCAAACTGCAGCAGGTGGTGGAGGAGAAGGTGAGGGAAATCCTACAAGAGTTCAGCAGCATGCCTCAAGCACCGGTCGAAGCGGCTAACTTGCGCTATTTCAGTAGCGGGGAATTATCTGCTTCAATCCCACCATCGGATTGGTGTGTTCGAGCAGTATTGCAGCAGCAGATTTCTACGTGTCTATTGACAGTCCCCGGTGGGCCACCGCTTGCGATGAAACAAATGTCACAATCGTTTACTCTGGAGCAGACACTACTAGTGGTTTGTTGGACCAACTCAAAATTGAGCTTTCCTCAGAGGACAGTAGCAACACAAAAATGGTTGAAACCCAACGAAGCGTGTCAGAGTCTGGTAACCAAGTCGTGGTCCATTACATTCCTATCACCAAAGGGAGGAAGAAGCTTCATGTCACGCTGTTTGGACACGAGATTTCAGGCAGTCCACTGGATCTAAGCGTAATGGGTCTCTTTCGATTCACAGGGACACTCGTTCACCGTGTGAGCGAGTTGCGGCGCCCATGGGGAGTGTCCGTGTCACAAGATGGGCAAATGGTCGTTATAGACAACCAAGGATGGCATGCACTACATCTATATAAGGAAGATGGCACACAGGCATGCACATTTACAAGCGTGGCATTAGTTCAGACTCCGGAAATCTTGATTCCTGACGACGCGTGCAACGAGCCGAGGGGGCGTGACTTTTACAGCGGATGGCAAAATCCTACTGGTGGATGGGCAAGAGGCACAGAGTTCTGTGCTACAGCACTGATGGAACACTGGTATCCAAGGCAGGGTCTTACGGAAAGGGAAAGTTGCAGTTTAATGACCCAGTGGGGATCGCTGTGGCACCGTCGGGTCAGGTTTTGGTGTGCGATCGCAGGAACCACAGGATCCAGGTGCTCACACCCGACCTCCAGTTCATGCGACAGATTGGGGATCTGGGTGATGATGTATCCGGGCCTGGTCTCTACCTCCCTTGGGATGTGGCATGTGACAGTAAGGGTGACGTCTATGTTGCAGACTGCGGCCACTGCTGTGTGAAGGTTTTCTCAAGCAAGGGGCAGTTTCTGAGGGCGATTGGGGGTGAGGGAAACCAAAGGGGACAGTTCAAGCACATTTCTTCCATCTGCATCGATTCAAATGACTATCTGTATGCACTCGACAAGGAAAGGGCATGTGTGTCGGTTTTCAACCCACGCGGAGACCTCAAGATGCAATTTGGGACCATAGGAGCAGCGGATGGTCAGTTTTTCAAGCCTCTTGGGATAGCTGTGGATCGGAACGGTCGCGTTTACGTTACTGATGGCGAGAGCTCTGTGTGGCCAACCCAGGAGGAAGGAAGGGTTCAAGTCTTCGAATGATGGTGAACTGTAGTAGAACACGTAATGCTATTGGCTATGAATTTGTACACTCATCTGTAATGTTTGGACACAATATTATATAATCTTGCTCTGATCTTATCTAACAGCTACTATTGGAGTAGTTTGTTTGGTGGAATATGAGCAGCAGTTTGTGAATGAGTCTGTAGTGGTGTAGCAGTGGTACGCCCCCGGGACGCTGCTGGCGCAGGGCTCGTACTGCAAGGAACACGTCCACTGTGTCCTCGAGCTGGCAGCAATCTATTACTGCCATTGCAGCACAGAATATACCACTCCGCGTCACTCCATCACTGGATGCAGGATGGAAAAGAGGAGGTGTGGTTTTAGCAATAGCTGGAAAGGTGAGATGTGCATGGCACCGACCTGCAATGGACTACAGCAGGATTGTTTCCACTCCTCCGCTGGACACCCTCCACATTTAACATGCAGTTGACGATTGCAGCTGGATTGCTGGCCTTGCCGTCACTGGTCCAGCCCAGCACTTGGAATTGAGACACATAGTGAACATGTCCAGTCTGTACAATACAGAAAGTAAAAGTCAACTGTGCTCCCCACCATACTATCACAGCCTTGAACTGGGGAACGTCATCAGGTGCAGCATGTACAACGGGTTCTCGGGTGACCCTCTACTTTACCTTAGAGTCAGTAACGGAGAAGGCTCTCTCCAGATATGAGTCGTGTTCCTGGTCCCCCAGAGGAGTGACAGCATATTCTCCATACAATTCCACATCGGTTGTTGGCCAGTACCTCTGACATATCACCTGAAGGAAAGGGCAAAGGAATTTTTCTTCCGCTCATATCCAGTTCAGCTAAAGCTAAGAACACGAGTTGACTGGCATTCCTCCGTCCAAGAGCTGTGTGCTTATCGCAGAGTATTTGAATGCTTATAGGTTGGTAAAGCTGTTGGTGATCATTCCTTACCCTTCCATTCTCCACCTGTTCAGACAGCATGACAATGGCTCCGCACTCTCTCTCGTGGACCATCTTCCAGAAGTCTCTGCAGGTCTCCTCCAGCGGAGCCTGGGCTATGATGAACGCCTCCTTCTGGCGGTGGTCGCTGGCGAAAGAGGCGTGGATGTAGTCCGGCCTCTCATCCTTCAGTAGAACCCTCCACTGGTCAACTGCACAGGAAAAAAATCATATCCCCTGCTTAAAGACAAACACATAATTATTGAAAACTATACTCAGCACGCTTCGAGAAGTTGTGCGTGTATCGTGCATAGGGTAAGGGCGGGATTCCTACATGCGCTTTACGATTATTGACGTGCCTTTTGAGGTTTGCACAACGAAGGAAGACACCAGTGCATGCAGATGGTTTTGAAAGAGAATGTCAGAGAATTGTTGCCATAGGCAATAATGTGGTAAGCTCTTTATCGAGCAGTCGCTGTTGTACTTGAGGGCATCAGCATGCAAAAGGTTACAAGTGCAGAGCTATGTACATATTATGGTGCAGTGCTACAGTGGAGATAAGGAATGAGGGCTGACTTGGAAGATAGTCTCTGTTTCTGTTCTTGTGTGGGTATGTGAGGGCCACCCGACAAGTGCTGTCGTCCTGGGTGCAGGGCGAGAGTTTTCCCAACCGGGCAAACTGGTCCTCCAGCCGGCTGCAGCCCAGCCGATTGTCGTTGCCCTGCAGCTCAGCGAGCGTGGGCTCCAGCTGGGCCACCTCGATGCGAGTCGGGCTGCAGGTGAGCTTCTCCAGCACCGCCTTGTGGACAAAGATGTACTGCTCCTAAGAGAGGGGAAACAAGGGGAGAGGAAGAGAGAAAACTTCACAGAGCAAATGACCCCTGTGTCTACAAACACTTGCAGCTAACTCCCAAACCTATATAGGAATCCCAAACAATTTCTGCTAAAGGAAAATCACCTTCATGACACTTCTAAGAATAATCCATCCCATCCCCATTGGAATCTTCCCTACACTCTCCTCTGAAACAGATGAGTTGTGGGTGGCTTACCGGCGTCTGGACCATCTTCATCCTCTGACTGCGCAGTCGAGTTAGGATGTCTGGGATGTCCATCCTCTTCTCTCCCGCTGCCTGACCCAATGCGGTGTCCAATAGGATGAAGGCTCCACTACGTCCCACACCAGCACTGTATAGTTGTAGGTCATAAGGTATACACATCGTAGTCTTTGCTTTTGAGTGTGGACAACAGTATACATATGGCATTGAGACGACGATGTGTGAGGCAGTGGGTTTTAATTTACGACTCTTGGACAAATGGTGGCCCAAATTTTGCAAGTCTTAAAATTTTACTGTGCCCTCAAAATTTTAGTGATCCCTGACTAGGAAAAAAACTGACAAACCACACTGAAGTGAGCGTGTAGTTGACATGTTGATGACAGCTGTTAGCTGGTGCCACAGGTGGACCTATTGTCCAAACCTTGTTCAGTTCAGTTTGCACCTTGTCTGTCGGTGTGTTTCGGTAATGTATGTTGATTGTACCATTGTGTCTGCTCAGCCTTATAAAGGCCGTGTGCCCTTCGAGTCTGCACTATTGAGGCCAGAGCCAGAGCTCTATCGGACTGCCAAAGTTGCTCTTAAAAGTCGCAAGCAGGTACGAGAGGATCGTTGAGTTAGAAGGTATATACGTAACTCCGCGGCATGCATCTGGGTATATACGTTTAGTTAGCTAGGAGCAGAGTCGCTTGTGTATATACCTGCAGTGTATTATAATGGGTCCCTTGTTTGGGCGGTGGTTCTCGGTGAGTCTGCGGTGGAATTCGAGCAGGGGGAAGGCAGAGTCGGGCACCTGGTGGTCCCGCCACGAGGTAAACTGATAATGGTTGACGTAGTGGACTCTACGGGTGCTGAAGGTGGACTGAAGGGAAGATGGAGAGGGGTGAGAAATAGGTAAAACTGGCTGATGTTCTCTGCCTATGCAGTCGTTTTTGTCCTATGTCCTGCCAGGCTCTACACACTTGCAGCCCAGGGGTAGACATACAACATGAAGAGAGATTACTGGCAAAATGTATCTCAACACAGGCAGCTAAACCATAGTTACGTATTCTGTGTTTTAGATCTATCCTTCCTACTTGGTGACCTACTTGCCTACCTACAGTCAAACTGTATGTATATAGGAGTCGTACACACGTACAGTGAGTGTAAGTTTCCTGATGGTGTAGTCGGCCCGTATCTTCTGCTCGGCCAGAGTCACGGAGTAAGGGCCATAGTCGGTAGTCCCAAAGCTGGGCCAGTACTGCTCGCACTTCTTGCGCCCCTCCTCCAGGTTCGTCATCATGACGACGGTTGGGGAATGCAGCTGCCACACCATCCTCCAGAAATCGACCACTGTTGTGTCCGTCGGACCTGCACAATGGTGGGAGAGGGAGAGAGAATTTGAGCAGTGACTGTATAGCTTTGTTACATGGCGAGTACGGGTTACGATCTTTGAACCTCTGCTTTTCAGCAGTCAGTTTAAGGTCATGCATAACTTAGGGGTAGGGCTAATGAGGCTTAGCCTGAAGAGACATCAAGTTGAATAGGATGGTAATCCAGCAAGCAAGCAAGCCAGGGATCAAGGAAGGGATGTGCACAGATATTCTTGCAGTCCAGACCCCGCTGTTTACTATTCATAACCCAGTGATGACAATAAAAGTATTTTCAAAGAGCTCGGGCTGAGCTAATGAGGAGGATGTGCCAGCAATCCACTCTGGCCCAATTAGCCCGCGGTACCTTAGCATCATTGAATTATTGTCACACATTAAAGGCTACACTCCCGTGGAATGGTGGGTAGAGCCCAGACACCGCAGTGGAATGCAGCACAAAGAGTTCCTCAAATTAAAATTGACCAGAATACTTTCACCAATAACTAACTGACCTTGAGTAGCCACAAACTTTCTTGCAATGCCGTAGCCCTGTAAGAAAAAAACCAGAAACGTCGAGCCCGTCTCAATGAGATATTCAGCATAAAGGGTAAAGTTGCTTGGTGGTGGTATTTTGCAATGAAGATTGTGCGTTTACTAACGTCTATGTAGCTGGCGTTGATATAGTCGTGCTGGCAGTCTTCTCTCTCCACTCAGTGCTTTCAGTTTCACTCTGTTGTCGTCATCTGTGCACGTGGATTAATTGAGAGACCTTTGTGCATACATTGAAGGAGCTTTTTATAGGGTGTGCACAATAGAAGCCCTATCTATGGACAATCCCGAAAAAAATTGAGGACACCTCTCTAATAAAGACCTCTTCTCTCCCCCCCAAAAAGTTCTTCAGCGTGATATAACCCTAAAAAAGGACGTAACACTAATTAATGCGACACTTTCTTGCGTCGAATTGGTGTCGTGATTAGAAGCGGGTGCGCGACGACGGGACTCACAAGGAATGATGTTGGTGAATCTGTTGTGCTTCTTGTTCTCGTCTGAGAGGGCGACCGACGTTGAGTGGGCCTCCTCACAGCTACTCAGGCACTGCGTTCACACACATACACATGGAGAATGAGCATTTCTAGTTTTTGTGTAATACCATGCATATCCAGCTACTAGATATAGTGATAGCCGAAACAGTAATTTACAGAATGGTGCAGGCAGCAAATTTGCCGTGCTCAATTTCACCAGTGCCCTTAATCATAGAAGCATTCACTGCCATACGCACAATACCCACTCTGACCATAGTGCAATTACTTTAACGTGTATCTTTCATCTTAGACATTCCTCACCACACATAACTATCTCTACCTCTACTTACCCTAGTACAATCCACGTGGGTCTCTTAACTTAGACACATTCCCTGCCACACATACACATGACACACCCACTCACTACTACCTCTAGTAATCTGACTAGTAATAATTATAGATTTTTCTCCCTTAGTACGGTAGCGTCTCTTAGTTTGGATAGTCAGTGACTCACCAGAAACTGGTCGCGGAGTCCCTTGCTGCCGTCCTCGTTTTTCTCCCTCACAAACTGCGGGAACTGCTCCACCGTCACCAGGGCGCTGGTGACGGTCGGGAGACCCATCCGCCGCGGGCCCTGCGGCTGCCGGCTCCACCCACTCGTCTCGGAGGTCACATAGAGCGTGACCTTGCCCTGTATGGAGCCAACACTGTTGCTGACCGTGTAGCGATAAGTGCCTGGAGTCAAACAGGACGGAGGAAAGAACATAGTGAGTATATGAGTATACATACTCTCCACCCTGATGACATATAGAAGGGCTAAGAAACCCACTGTTATAGGCCACTAACTTACCATCACTGTTAACCAATACACCTTCAGTATAAGCATAAGAAATTTATGGCTATCAGTCCCTGTATCTTACCTACTATGCGTCACTAAGTTAGAGCTCATTAATGGTCCCATTCCTGACCTTCGTGGTTTGGTTCCACTGAGACAAGTGTGATACCTCCGTCTTTGGAGATCTCGGTGGCATAGTCCGGTCCGACCATGCAGCCGTTGTGGTACCACACCACGGTCGGCTCTGGACTGCCCAACACCTTCAGCTTGATGTCGACTCTCTCTCCCTCCACTGCAATGATGTCCGTTGGAGCATCAACTACCTCTGGGCGACAGCCTGCAATAGAGGAGGCAGAGATGTTTTTCATAATTATACGTCCCCTAACTCCATACACCTAATTTTATGACATAAGGTAGTCAAAACAAAGTACATGTGCTATCCGTCCCAGCGCTACATTACTCATGCGACATCAATTCAGGTTTGGGATAGAGGGAAAGGAATATTGTGTGTCTCTCACATGTGATAATGGTGTGGAGTGGTTTAGCTATGGGTCCCAAAGTTAGAGAGGGAGGGAAGGGAAGGGAGGGGACTACTACAACGTCTAAATGCCATATATACGAAGATGGAATGGGCGACACGCGACATTATACTGCCAGATCTAATTACTGCCCGCCCACACTACAGCCAATGGTTCATGACCATTCCAGGGAGCGCTTCGTTAACCCCCCGTGTAATTCAATAACCCTTCTAGTGGCACTTACTGGCAATGTCGTTACTTGGAGGGTCGTAGGTTCCGACCATCTGGGGAACTGGCTTGGGGTTCGGCCGCAGCTCCATCACACATGCCACCTCCATCTTCCCACTCCTGCGGTAGCGCCTGCAGAGAGAGTGGAGCCACTGTTATAACAAAACATGTTGATGGAGGAATAGTGAATTTCCCAATTAGATTATGGTATAGGAAGACTGGGGAAGAGAGGGAGGAAGAAGAGGTTAAAGGCGAGATGATAAAGGAGACGCAGAGGAGAGGGGGAAGAAAGAACGAGGGCAGGAAGAGAGGAAAGGATTGGAGAAAGAACGAGTAAGGAGAGAAAGAGCCGAAAGAGGGTGAGGGCCGAACCGAAAGAGACAGGAAGTGACGATAAGGATGACGATTCCCACAATAATCAGGATCAGCAGCAGTCCGCTGGCCACGGCTGATATGATGATCACCGCATTGAATCCCCCATCACCTGTGGCTGCATAGAAACACACAAAGTATGTACACACACGAATTTTCAATTTGCCACTTGCAGAGTTTAGGTGTGGTCATTCATTTTGCCTAGTTTTTTGGCTACCCTAACAAGGAAATACATGAATGTTTTCGATTATACTGACCTGATGCTGTACACAGCATGCTTATGTGAACCCATTGGACTTGACTTGGTTTAGTTATGGGTGGAAGCATTGCAGTTGGCCAGGTCTATTGTGGAAATATCCCAGGCTCACTCCCACTTTTTAGGGTAGTGCCTGGGAACAAGGCTAGCTCTCACAGATCATTGCCAATTTCTTGGCCAAAATGTGTGCAACAGGGATGCAGTTAAGTGATACCTTTCTGCTTCTGATTTTCTCCCTGAACTAACTACTCACCACTTGTGTCAACCACAGTGCCAGTTACTGACTCTGTCTTCGCTCCCTCCAGCTTCTCGCTGCCATCATCAGTCGCCACCTCTGCTGCCACAGAGAACTCGTACTCGGCTCCTTCCTCCAGTCCCCCCACCAGACCCCAACCCTCCCCACTCTCCCTCCTCCCCCTCCCTCCTCCCTCACTCCTCTCCACTCGGAACACCACAGACGTCTCACCACTTGTGTCAATCTCTCCCTCTGCACCATTCCTTCTGCCACCACAAGAGAGGGATAGTGGGAAATTGAGTAGCAGCGGCACAAATAATCTGAAAATTCTTGTTTGCTGCCAACTCAAAAAAATTTGCCGCTATACTGTACTATGTAAAAGAGACATAATACCATAGGAGAAAGGTTTTTTCACTAAACGCAGTGCGAGAAATTGCCTGTGGCGAGGGTGGTGGGATGTATGCTGCATACACTTGCAATAATTCTGCAACTAACTTCCATCTGTGATCTCAGAACCCTGGCTACACCTTGGCAGTGGCGGATCCAGGGGGGGTTCTTTGGGTTCCGCAGAACCCCCCATTTTATCATTTTGCACGCATGCGTCGCAGGCCTCGTGGCAGTCAAAACATTCTTGGACAGCAGAACCCCCCTTTCAAAATCCTAGATCTGCCACTGCTTGGTGTAGGCACAGCCAAGGGTGGAGGCCAATACACCTGAAAAACACTAGCCACACAAAAGTGGCGGGCTATAGGGATGGGCGATTTGTTTGTACTTTAGAGAAATTTATGCTTGGGGTTTGCAATATTGATGTATACGCCATGATCTGCACATGGTGTTGTTGCAATACAGCACAGCAAGACTTTACACAGAAATGATAGGTACTGGTGAACTCCCAGTAAACCACCCGCCATCTCCTATTTCTCTCTCCCTCCTCCCCCTTTCCCACCCAATCTCCACCACCGCAAACTCACCCTGTCAGTCTGGAGTAGTAGACTTTATACGAGGTGACGTGGACTGAGGCCAGTGGAGTCCAGGACACATTGACTGCTGAAGAGTTGAACACTGTCACTTTCACCGGCTCTGCAATCCCTGTGCAACGTGGAAAGACACCAATTTCATCTGTCAGATGTAATATACCCATGTACCACACATCATATAGCTTCTCAGACATGGCGACCTAGCAAAACTTGGTCTTTCCCTTTGCTTCGTTTTCTCTCATGTGGCTTGTGGGAGCTTATCATCCGAAAAGATACCCACTTCTGGTCAGCTACGGTCATATGCACCATACACATTTCAACAGCGGAGCCAAATGACGTGTGCACACACACGGACCGCCCTGTTACCACACATTGTTTCCGTGATTGGCTTAGCAGAGTGGTGAATATAAAGTCACTGTTCCTTAAAGTGGGCCGATCGCCCACACCCATCGTGACAAGGGACACTCCACTGGCCAGTCATGGTGTGAGATCCCACGGAGCTTGCCAGACCACTAATCACGTATTGTGTGTGCTAGCGTGAAGGGCATGGCTTCACAGGGACTCTCTCAACACAGTTGGATCGCATGCAGCAAAAGTGTAGCCCACAGTCAATCAGTTTTTTTGGCAAGTGAGTCGACTTGCCGGCATGACCATAAAAAGCTTAGTTGACTGTCTTACATCATGGCATATACATGTGTTACATCATCCAATGTGTAAAAAGCACAGGCATCAGAGCTAGGTAATAATGCTTGCGTACTTTGTTTCTGTTCGATGTTCGCAATTTCTTACTGTGTCCATCAGGGACACTATACACATTACAACATGGATGGATTTGTTTACCAATTGAGGTGGTTGAGACGATTATGCGGTGGGTGGGGCCAGGGGCGGGGTCAGTGGTGTACGGTGTGAGAGAGACAGTGTAGGTGGACATCAACTGCAGACCTCCCAGCCTGAATATGTACATAAATTATTACCGCATGACGAAAACTTTCGCAGCATGCAAAATTATATATGTAACTCCAAAAGATTGGGTTAGCGCGTAAAATTCACTGGTTAATTGACTGCATTCTGAACCATTTTTTGTGAGAGTCACTTTTAGACAATTGTATTTGCCAAATTCTTTTGTTGCAAAAGTAATATGGTTTATTTATGGGCTCCTGTAGGTGGTTGGGTGGTAGAGAAAAACTCTTTAATTTAAGGCAGAGTGTGCCTGCCTCAGTATTCCCACTGGGACAACTGTTATAATGCTCCTATCACGGTCAAGGCTGAGCTGATACAAATGTTGTCATTGGCTGACCATTTACGTCGTCTGATGGACATGCAATTTAGAGATTGTGCCAAAGTTGACACAATTGGTGCTGCCAGCACAGCTGTGAGCTAGCTAGCCCCGTCTGGCCCCCCATGCTCTCTCAGTATATCTGCATTGTATGCCATGGCTGAACCTGTATTTCGTGTTTGCTTCCATTAGGTTTGTCTCTGCTTCTGTCACGTTCACCGTTCCCAGCTTTGTGCTCCCGTTAGTGTTGTAGTATTCCAGTGTTATCATGGTGATGTAGCCCCGCCCCCTCAGCGGAGGGTCCCACTTTAGTAGTACGGAGAGGATGTCTGGCTCGTAGTCCACCGATTGCAATGCACCGGGAGCTAGAGAATGGAAGAGTACCCAGTGATCTAGCTGTGCGAATTGTGCAAACGATTAACACTCATGAGCTTTAATGATGGATGCACTTTAATTAATGGAGCTACAGAGGAAACACGCAGGTCAGGAGGAAGAGTTCTTCTGTCTTCTATCTACCAGGTCAACTGAGATTATTCCGACTATGGAACTACGCATGGATAGCAGTAGCTATGTTAGAGATAAAATGGCTCACCAGAGACAAGACTGGCAGTCACACGGTCACTGGGAGGCCCTCTTCCCTGGTCGTTACTGGCACTGACCCACACACTGTAGTCTCTGAAGCTGTCCAGACCAGTCAGCTGATACTTGAGAAGACCACCTTCTCTCACCTCTTCCTCCTGCTGCGGGGGAGATGCCAGGGAGGTGTAGTGAACGGTGTAGCTGGTAATGCGTCTGGAGTTCCACAGCAGACAGTTTGGGGGCTCCCACAAGACGGAGAGGGCATCGGGAGGGTCCGGGGCCACAGACACATTCAGAGGCTCTCCTTCAGGAGCTATAGAAAGTAGAAAGTACAGGTGCTGGGAATGATGCAGCAGAGGCACGTGTGCCGCACCGTATAGAAGATTCCTTCCGTTGTGGTGATAGAAAACTAGCTGGTTTTTTTGTTTTAAATTTTTAGTTTGTCTAATTGTCATTCTCTCACACATGTTCATGCATACCTTTCTGTGGAATGGTAATTCTGCCAGGAGGAGGTACAGAGAATGGTCCAGTCCCAATAGAGTTGTATGCAGCCACTCTTACATCATACTCCACACCTGCCGCCATCTCCGCTACCTCCAGTTGTGTCGTTTCTGGTCCATTCACGACCACCTCTCCCTCCGGTAGTCCCTCGCAATAGGACTCATCAGTGGGAGAGTAGCTTATGATGTAGCCGTCCACGTCGGCCAACGATGGGGGCCCCTCCCACTGTACCATCACAGTGCCTGACATTGTGAGTGTGGCTACCACATTAGTTGGCTGGTCAGGCACTGAGGGGACAAGTATAGCAGGCGTTACTTTTTGGACCTATATTACGTAATCACCTAGTATGCTGTAGGTATATACACGATATGGAGTGTACAATGTCAAAAATACCCTTAGACCCTTAGAGGCAGGCTCACTTGTTTATCGGCAATATGGGGAATACATAACCTGACAATGCAAGGCGTGCGTCTGTGCATGTGGTGTGTGTGTGTGTGACAACTGACTACTTTCACTCTACCAGTGAACTCAAACATTGCACATCACATGAGAATAACACGGAAAGAAAACTGAAGCACGAAATGTACACACAACAGTGGTTTGATAATTTATGCGTGTTACAAAACCTTCCACTGCTTTCCATCGCAAAACAGCAAGTCACAGGTCCAGTACTGAAGTGTGTAAGTATGTACTTTGTATATAGAAGTTCTCACCGTCCAGGTGTATGGTGGTTGGTTGACTGCGGGACGAAGGTAGCTCCAGATAGGCCCACATCTCTATAGTGTACTCCCTCTCTGGAGTAATGTCCTCCAACGTGTAGGCAGTTACTGCAGGGTTGTCCACATTCACTGCCGAGAGGGTCTCGGGGGGCGGGGCATCTTTTGGACCGTATACGATGATGTAACCACTGATTTCGCCAGTGGGCGGGGTCCAGGTGACAACCACAATGCCTCCTCCTCCTGGCTCGGCACGGACATTGAGGGGAGGTCCTGACGGAACTGTGGGTATTATAGTGGAGAGAAAAGCAAGAAGAATGGCTGGTGGAACTGCGAGTATAAAGGCAAGGGATGATAAAACTGTGTGTAGTATGAACAAGCAGCAAATCCTGCTCCTCAAACAAACCTTCGAATTTTCCCATAAGGAATGTTTTTATAACATCCACACACGTCATACACACATAGTGAGTTCTGTTGACACAGAAACTTGAGTAGCCCATAGCGGACATTTATACAAGTTTCCCCAGTGAGGGCCCTGGGAAAAGGGCATCAAATGTCATTGTAGTAGGCACAAAATCAATATTTTCCCAAGCCAGCTCAATGGCTCTAGGTGGGACAGAGATCAGTCTGTGAGTGGGCGGGCCAGCCAGCAAAGCACCTCCACTTCTTTTAAGAGGCCCACACCCTACATATAGGGTTTCCACACTCTAGCCTCATGGGAATACTACTGACTGAAGCATAATATCATGTACTGCTAGCAAACAATGTACATCAGTTCACAGGAAATGCTTCTACTGAAAATTTGGCGCTGTCTTGCCGTGATAATATATAGGACAATGTTTCCCATAAACCGAAAATTTGGCGACAATTTTGGCAGTCATGGTTTGAATTGCACGTCAGTAGTGTGCTACATGCAGATTTCACATAGGGAACAGTTCTAGTGGCTCAAACTTCAGAGTGAGAGTGCTACAGTATATATATATATATATGTAGTAGCTAGCTGGCTCACCTCTCACCAATAGAGAAGCATTGGTGGTCCCCTCACTGTTCCCCACCGAACACTGGTACTCTCCAGCCAGGTTCCCACTCACTCTCAGACTGTTGGCGTAGCCAGTGGTCGAGGGATCCACCAGAACGCGCCAGGTATGGAACTGGTCTCCACCGGGATCCACTGCCTGTCCATCTCGCAGCCACGTGGCGGAGAGGGGAGGGAAGGAGGAGGAGGGACAGGTGAGGGTAAACTCAGAGGAATGGGTGGTTCGGGGAGTGAGCAGGGAAAAGACTGGTAATCCTACCACAGGAGGTCCTGTACACAGTGAGTGGTCACACAAATTGACGGTATAAATATCAGTCTATACAGTGTTTATTTTGACTAGTCGTGGGTATGAATATTAATAATATAGTAGAGGCTCAGCAACGAAACCTGTGTTCTGGAGGGTCTCCGGTGTGTATATCCCAATGAAAAGGACTTGACTGTTGCCGTCATCGTCATCGATGTGACATGCATACACTCCTTCGTGTTCCGTCGAAAACTCAACACCACCTCGAAACAGATGGATACCGTCAGCTCGTATTTGAGTGTAGAACAAACGATTCCCTGCAGCGGCGGAAGAGCCTTCTGCGATGTCTTGATCTGCAGTGTCCAGCCACTTTGCTCCATGAGGTCTAGTCTCACTCTCTCTGGCACAGATAATGGCAGCGTTTACATCGCCAATATCGTTTGCAGAGACGAAAGAATTGTTTCCCAGGCGTCTGTTTAGTATCTCACTGTGCAGAAACACACCTGATGGTGTCAGAGAGGGAACGGTTTGTGCAACAGTATGTGCTCACAATGACAAAACACATTTTCGCAAGGTTAAGCAGGGATCATCATGATTGTCCCTGGATGGTGCATACATAGATTGCTAGGGCGTCATGGAATCCTTTTTCCCCAGCCTTAGACCACCCGCCCTAATTTCACTCCCTGAGAATTGTGTCTTGCCCCAGAGAAGTGGCAGATACCTATACACCAAGCACCGTGAGCCTGGCTGCATTCAAAGACATACTGCACCTCACATGCCATAAATTCCACGACTGGAGATTCAGTGAATGTACATTATACGGATGAAGCAGTGGAGGAGCCAGGAACGCACCTGGCATTGCATGCATGAATAATCGGAGGGTTCCTGCTAGTGATTTGATACCTGGCACAAGGCTCTAAGATTGGAGTACTTGCAACACACCGCCATACTTATATAGCAATGCCAACTATTTTGGCTCAGGCCCAGCAATCCGCCCATTATACAACAAAAGTAACTCAATTTTTTATAAAGACGATATATACACTGACAGAGTTGAGAGCATCTTCCCCAAAGACACCTGAAATGCCTCCGTGATGCACAGCTGCATAGTATCCGACACCCCTAGAAAGTTGGTAGTATTCTTGACCACACGACGATCTAGGGCTTTGCTGAAGCAATGCTGGAAGCAATGCTGGAAGCCAGCACTACACTGCTGAGCGGCTTGCCTAAACATGAACCGAGCAGTTTCCACAGCTAAACCAAGTCAGAACAGAAGAGGGTTTACGCCCATGTCTGACTGACGAACACTGAATTAATGCACATCACCGATAACAGCCGCAGTCAAGCTCTGCAGCATATTATTTGTAATTTCTCTAAGACTCTTTGACTTTACGCTATGTAAGTCGAGGGGTCCCTCGATGTAAGTATACCGGTGTGTCACTCGTTCACAAGCCGGCAACATTCGCGCACAACGAGCTAGCTTGCAATGAACAGCAGAATTCTTACGACCGACATAGCTAGCTACTGAATAGCTTACCAGAAGTAGCTGATGATGGACTTGTCACTGCAGCCACTGTCACTAGCAGCAGTAAACGTCCAAGTGTCGCCATCGCTGGAAAACTTGCCGACTAGTGACCCATAATAACAAGGCTGCGCAGTGGCTCAGCCACTCACGCAATTTTTATGTTTTGCGCATCGTAATTAATTACAAAACTACACGCATGCGCATTGCGCGCGCGAAATGACACACACGTATATACACTACTTGAAATTTGCATAAGTATCAAAGGAGTCCAGGTATGCAGCAATGAGGTGGAAGAGCTGGCGGTACTGGGCGAGGCTGGGCACACAGCCGGGCTTGGCGAGTCGGAGTCCCTTCACCGCCTGGAACACGTCCACCACTCCCTCAGTGGCACATTGGTCAATGATGGCCATCAGGGCACAGAACAAACCACATCGACTCACGGTATCCCTGCACACAGCATTGCATCACGTGAAATGCATCATTCGAGCTACCACTTATAGTATGCACTGAAAAATTCATCGTTGTATGTAATGAGCCCATTATGTAGTGTACCTGCCATGCACTATGATGGGTTTACTGGGTGACTTCCTTGCAGCTGCCATGATATGGTGAATGGCCTCCACCAGGGAAGAGGGAGAAGTACCACAAGTCATCCTCGGTCCACGCCGTCAGCTGGAACTGGACAACTTCACGTCTTGCACCAGACTTTAGTGAGGAACGCACCGAAGAGATTAAATTTGGGCTAGAGTCTCATTTTTGCTCACTCTTCTATTGGTGAGGGTCATTCTGTGGATGGCGTAGCCATTCATCTGCTGGCGGTGTGCCGTGCGAATCGACACCTCTCCATACTGCCTGTCAAAGTCATCCATCTCCTCACTCCAGTACTGTGCACACATCTGCCAATGCAAATGAACAAAATCATGTACTGGTAGCTAAGCTGACTGGTTTGTGAGACTAGCTAGTCCCCATGTGTGGTGTTAGTTAATGAACGATTGGGTTGAAGTAGGTGTCAAGCCAACTGGAAATCCAGCGTGCCACATCCTATTCCTCCTATATGCATTGCTAGGCTACCAAAGAGTCGTGTGCCGTAGACTATTTCGCAAGGACCTGCTGCTCCTCCAGTGGTGCAGACAGCATGACAATGGCTCCGCACTCTCTCTCGTGGACCATCTTCCAGAAGTCTCTGCAGGTCTGCTCCAGCGGAGCCTGGGCTATGATGAACGCCTCCTTCTGTCTGTAACTCTACGTGCGGTGATAATAAGGAGCAGCAGTATAATACTACTCTAGGTGGTTGGAAGATGTGCACTGACTTGGACAAAAGAGGCATGGATGTATCCAGGACTTCCGCGTAGCTCCACTCGTCTTTCGTCAGCTAAAGTTCAGATCAAAGCAGACAGAAAACCACTGAATACATACACCCATCAGAGTGTGGACAAAGAGACATCAAAGACTTGAGGAATGCACGTACGTATGTAGGATTTACATAGTTGTAGTGGAAGTACACGCACGTGGGAGGAAATCGGTGCTCCTGTTCTTGTTGGGGTACATCATGGCTTTCTGACACGAGACCTCGTCTGATCTTGGAGACACCTGCTCCAGGACCTGTCCACAGACAATGGAGCCACCAAATCCACTTTATATTGTATGTCTACTCGTCATAAATTTTACGAAACAGCAGGTGTGCAGGTGATATTAAATTTGTACACACCTGTTCCAAAGAGCAGTGGTTTTGATGGTTTAAGAGAGCCAAAATGACAATCTTATGCAAACCATAACAAGTGCAGTTGAATACCGTATTGGCATAAAGCGAATGAAGGTAATCTGTATACTTGTATAATTATATGCTCAAGAAGTCTTTTATACACAACTTACGTACATCAACTATCAAGACAAAGGTGCTTGCATGCTCAAAATATCTTTAATAGTACGTATCAGGTAGCGTGAAATGAGACGGGGAGTGGTACAGTATGGGCAGAACCTGGTGTTGACAGAGATTCTCTGAGACCAAGCAGCTTACATCAAATTGCAGGGCCAACGTTGTCTTGAAGCTGCCGTCTCTCTGCTGCTGAGGCTGCAGGAGTCTCGGTAGAGTCCTGTTGAGGTCGGTGGCCTGTATCTGTGTGTCTCCACACATCAACTGCTCCAGGACTGCATCGTGGATGAACATGTACTGGTCCTGCACGGCGGGGGGGTCATTGTTTGATCTTTTGAGATTTGGTAAGAGTGAAGCTCCTCTATGAGGACACCTCTCTAAACTGGACACCTTTTGTGTTATTGTGTTGGGAGGCAGCAGACATGAGTCGGTATATAGCTGTGAGTTACTCTATGAAGTAGTAGGGGGGTGCCCAGTGGTGGGTGAGTCTGCCCTCTCTAGTTTGACTATTTTTGGGCAATTTGGATAGAAACCCGACTTATTGGACCAATATATTTGATGGTTCTAGCAGGGGTCTCAGATTAATTACCTCCAATAGTAGCTGCACAGAGGGAGGGATATGTAAATGAACGAGCATTAAGGGAATTTGAAGCAGTAGCTATACCATTACTGCAACTTGATGTAGTGTGCGTATAAGGTTCCAGTTTGTTCACACCTACACACTTGTCCTCAGACTACCATCCAAAGAACTCCCCTTCAAACGAGGCATAGTGGACTGAGGCCAAAATTAACGTGGGGCTCCACAGAGTGTAGGTGGCTCACCTGACTCTGGACCATCTTCATTCTCTGTCTCCTGAGAGAAGAGACAACGGATGGAATGTCGACCCTCCCCTCCCTCCTGGCCTGCTCCAGTGCCAGGTCTATGGCCAGCAGACTCCCTGTCCTCCCAACCCCAGCACTGGGAGAGACCAACAAAGTTAAAAAATCGATGCAAACACACGCCATAGATAAAATCCACACACACATGAAATACCTCAAGGATTTTCACTTTCAAAGACACCTATAATATATCCTGCGGAGGTACTGCAGTCAATGGATCCCAAGCCATATTCAAACACATCCCAGGTTCATTCCCCTCATGTCCGAAGTAGTCTCACTTGGCGAGACAAAGGGAGAGAGTTTGGCCAGCGAGACTATGCTGTTAAGGAGGGCCTGGAAGGAGGATTGGTTGGAAAGGGTAGTGGGAACTTAAAGTGCCCCATGTGAAGAAAAACAGGAGGTGGAGGAAGAAAAGCTCCATAAGTTTTCTATGAACACAGGTCCTGTAGGTGTAAGTCTATAAACACTTTTCTTTACAAAAGCCACTTAGTCTCAGCCACCCACTCGTCCAAGAAGAAGACTTGGCCAGTTTTAGCTCACCTGCAGTGCACCAGGAGAGGTCCAGTGGCAGGGCCGTGGAGGGAGTTCAACCGTCTGAGATAAGACAGTAGAGGACCAGCCTGCTCAGGGCTCTCATTGTCCAGCCAGCCAACAAATTGCAGGTGCTGCACTGTGTGTGGATGCTTGTGACTCCTCAACTAGGGGTTAAATGAAATACACACTATCTTTCCCCTTTTAAGCTGCATAATAATGGGCATGGGTCTTTCATGATTGTTCAATGTAGACCGAGACTTCATATGCAGCTCTATAAACTCACTCTAGTTGGTTGGACTTGAAGAGTACTGAGTACATAGTCGGCCAGGACTTGTTGTTTGGAGAGAGAGATTCGGTACGGACCGTGGACCACAGTTCCGATCTCAGGCCAGTAGCGCTCGCACTTTCTCCCCGAGTCTTCCTGGAGGCCTGTCACCATGGCGATGGTGGGCACCTTCTCCTGCCACACGAGACGCCAAAAGTCGACAATTGTCACTTTCTTTGGTCCTGCACTCGGTGGTTGGGGCGAGTGAGTATGTGCGAGTAAGTGTGGGTTCATGGTATGGGACTTACTCCATGCACATAGTACTCAAAACATGATCTCCTTCGCTACACATTTGGGGATGTATAACGCTGGGGTAACATGTGTGTAGTGAATCCCACAGTACAAACTGCGTGGGATGTGTGAGAGTAAAGGTACATAGGTGTCAGTTGGGAACAATCTGAGGGTATCATGGTACAGGACACTGGCACATGATCAGGGGACACACGCACAATAGAATACATACCTTGAGCCGCAATGTATCTGTGGTGGGTGGAGACCCCCTGCAGTGGCGAAGGAAATAAACAGACAGAGGTTTCACTACCCTCTCATCCACCACTCTTCTCTTCTCTCCCATGTGTGTGTCTCACTTAGTGGTAATATAAGACTCACATCTATAAAGGACGCGTTGATATAGTCGTGTTGGCAGTCCCTGTTTCCAGGTATGGGGTCAAGTTTGGGTCTGTTATCATTGTCTGCAGATAAACCAGATATTACAGGCTCTACCTCCATCTTAAAATGTCGTTATCAGTGTGTAGATAAAATTACAAAGTAAACTGTAGTTTATAGTGGCACCATCCTAATCCAGACCATGGACAGAATAAGAATAAAGTGTCCATATTAGTGAGGTGCCCTTATTTGAGGGGTTAAATAATTCTTGTTGAGGGGAAGACAAGGTGTCTTTATTAGAGACGCATCCTTTTTTTAAAAGAAAGTTAAGGCCTATAATAGTCAGACAGAATAAAATTAATATTTATGTGTTAGGATATTAACACCACCATACACAACAGATAAGCTCACTCACAGGGAATGATGTTGGCATGCCTATTGCGCATGCATGCAGCGGCATTATTGCGTCAAAGATGGCGCGGCCAAACTCCCCCATCGGCAGTGACTGCATACAACAAGCATACAATCATGTTTTCATTAATGCGTTTATGTATCACTGGCAACAACAATAATTGATCATGTGATGACATTTCCACAAGGTGTATATAAGTGTAATAATGTGGGGAAATTTTTTGGTTCAATATGACACCGAAATTATAAAGAGAGATCTCATTTTCTCCTCTATTGTCACTCTTCTCTGCCCCACCCTCCTTCCCTGCTGTCGCCTCTGCTTACGTATAGGTTTGAACACTCCCGTGGAAACAAACCCAGTGTTACCCGTCGGCATGCATCGATGCCACGTGCTCTCCAAATTTCCCGACAGGGACCGGGACACTCGAATCTTGTCAAACGCCTCCGCGCGCGCAAATGCGTGGCGGACTTCGCGCTTGACCTGCTGGTTTGTGGGTACTTGGAGGGTGAAGACGGTGTGTCACTATCATTTGTTATGCCTGCTGGTTTCGGCTGGACTTGTGGCTTTGGCTTAGTAGGAGCCGTTGCAGAGGCCTGTGGTTTAGTTGGGGGTGGAGGGGGTCCGGTAAACTTTGGCTTGTTTTGGGGAGCAGGAGGTCCACTGGACTGCGGTTTGGTTGGTGGAGCAGGGGGTCCACTGGACTGCGGTTTGGCTGGTGGAGCAGGGGGTCCACTGGATTGAGGTTTGGCTGGTGGAGCAGGGGGTCCACCGGACTGCGGTTTGGTTGGTGGAGCAGGGGGTCCACTGGACTGCGGTTTGGTTGGTGGAGCAGGGGGTCCACTGAACTGCGGTTTGGTTGGTGGAGCAGGTGGTCCGCTGGACTGTGGGTTGGCGGGTTGTGGCTTAGCTGGAGGAGCAGGGCGCAGCTTCACAGCTGCAGGGGAGACCTGCGGCAGCTGTGGTATAGTCTTCTCCTCCTGCTCTCCTGGCTTCTCGTGAGAGGGACTGAAAGAAGTCGCAGTGTGAGTCTCTTCGCCAACTATGACTGGTCTCGGAGGTGGAACACGTCGAGAAGGCTTGGCAGTGTTCTCATGCGCTGGCTTTTTATCACTGACTTGTTCTTTCTCCTTGTTCGGCTCCTGTGGAGCTGGAGGAGCACTTCGAGTAGGCTTCAATTGCACGATATCATCGTAGTGGTTGGTCTCGGCTGCTTCCCCCACACAACCCATACTGACATTGTGGTGTGTGCTCTCTTCGTCATCCGAAGTAAAGCTGTCAGCACGACGGACTTGATGCTTGTTTACAACCGAATACACTGCAGAGGCATTAAAAGATAACACCCAGGATCATGGGGATTTAGAGGATTGACTAACCTGGGGCTTCGGGGCTTTGTTGGGTGACTGGCTCCTTCAGTTGACTCTCCTCCTCCTCCTCCTCCTCATACTTGTTGTCGAAGTCCAAACCCCTGCTCCTAGGCTGAGACTCAAGGTTCACACTCTCATCACTGCTACTCTCCCCTTCACTCCTCTGCCATCTGTATGTAAACAACCATAAGACAGGATTTATCTAGATCATAAGACAGGATTAGATAGATATGTGGCAACGTATGATTTATACACACTGCGGGAGGAAGTTCACTACATCAATATAGACACACAGGGGCCTATATTTGGTCATAAAATCACCCACTTCGCCCACTCTTGCTGTACTATTATACTACAAGGCATGGTGCTTACTATATAGGGTTTCAAGTGCTTCAAGAGTAACATTGTTGAGGGTGAGGTGGAATGCTCCTCCAAAAGTTACTAATTAGCTACTGGTGCAAAATTCTTAGATGGCTCCAACTGAACAACATAATCTTGGCTGGCATTGGGAAAATATCCCTTACTGCAAAGTTTTGTATAAACAACTGTAGCCTCTACGCGATACACTACACCCGCAATCGCCGGCGAACGACAATAGTGGTCGCATATACCTTACCTTATCCATATTATGAGGAGGGCGACGGCGGTAGCGACGATGGCACTCAGTAGTAGTACGACGACAACAACAACTCCGACGAGGGGACCGTTGAACGGGGACGGAGAATCTATTGTCCGGGCGCACCATGTCAGTGTACACAAAAAACACAAAGAGAGAAATATTATGTTGAGAAGTAACTTCTGCTATAGACTAAGATATTACCTGCTAGACAAGCTGAGAAACTGCAGGCCAGCAACAGCAGGGCTGACTCTCGAATGGCCATCTCTGACTGCTGGTTCTAACGGACGCTGATTTCTGACGGCTGGCTGATGCAGGCTGTCTTACGTACGTACGGAAAACGAATCCGTCGCGCATGCGTATCCGCGGCCTATGCGCGTGCGCAAAACAGACCACCACTGAAATAGAGGAGTTGATTATACAGTGACATGTGAACACTATAAATCTTTTGGCAATAATTTCCACTGTTCTTTCAGGTAACTTCTGATTTTCTTCTCTTGTACCTTGCTGTTACCTGCATTCCACAATCATTACTGAGCAGTGAACACACTGAAGTGATACAAACGAACCTCTCCACGTGAGCACCCCCCACACATCGCCTTTCCTCAGACTCTGCAGTATACACGGACCAGTATATACAACATAAATAGCTATACACACTAGTCTTGGAATATCACTGAAACCTGACAATAATGTACACAACTAGGTAGAGTGTAGCACGTCTCCTTCACCTGATCAGGTTTGACCCTAGTGATTGTCCAGTAACAAGGTGCCACTGGGTCTGGCCCCGCCTCTTCCTGTCTCCAAATGGTCCTGGTCACCTTCCTACCCACCCCATGACCCTCCAACTTGTTGAGTACATTGAACAGCTTCCTGGGCCTCTGTCTGGCCAGGTACTGCACCATTTCAGCCGCTCTCTGGCTCATACCATGCAATTGGGAAAGTGGTTGGTGAAAAAAATAATGACGGAGTTTGGCATCACGTGAGACACGACAGGTGGACGTTCTAGTAAACTCCCGGATAACGCGACGTTTGCATGGCGTGCGTGAAACCGGGAGGCAGGGGAGAAACAGTCGGGTGGTCGTGGAACGATTTCGAGACTACCGGGGCCCGTTTAGCGAGCTGTGAACCGACGTGCAAGGAGAAAGAGGGACGCTCTCAGCTGCATTCGCCGGTTTGGCGGCAATTTCGCGGCATCATATACGACCGAATTTTTGTTTACCTGAGCCCGTAAAATTCGAGCATCGTGACGTCACAGCCCGTTCCGTGTGTACGTATACTATAGGTACTCAGTCGTGTGTGCAGGTGATGATGGAAGATGTGCAGCATGATCATTCAAATGCACAGCCGGTGGCAGCATCTGGACCAGCTGTGGCTGCAAAACCCGGCCCAAGTCGGAGGGCCCAGAAAAGAAGACGACGTCGATCGAACGAAGCAAATGCTGCACTGAAGAAGTCAGCGGAGGATGTGGTTCTGGAGGAGGGGGGAGGTGGGGGAGGGGAGAAGGGAGATAAACGCCCGCGAAATCGGCAGATGTCCATAAGCAGCAAGGCCGTGGCAAACCATGTGATGAAGATGAGACTCCTCGGTAGCGAGTCGGACCCCCTCAATCTGGAGGGAGTGAGTACGGGAGCGGGGGAGGGTGGAGAGGGGGAGGGGTGTCCTTCTTCGGGTGCCCTCTCTCCTGTCTTCAGCGACAGCGGCCAGCCCGTGGTGCCACGCCCACCTCTGCTGCAAAATCCCCGTGACCCCCTCAATCTCGAAGGGTTTTTGCCTAAAAACTGCCAGCTAAGACAGGTAGGAACCCCATACCACAATGTACATAAATGTTACTGTATGCATAGTGGGGAAAATGTTCGTTAGTAAGTTTTTGAGAAATCTTTTCATTGAAAATTTTTTGTGGGCAGGGAACCATACACTTGAAAAATTATCGTCCTCAACCATCATAATTTTGATGAACATTTTTCCGCTTATGAAGTTTCCTGCTACGGTGTGTATGTATGTTGTGCAGGTGGTAGTAGTGGTAAAGGCAGACGTGGAGGGAGGAGAAAGACAGTGTCCGTGACAGAGGATGGAGGGCCTGGTGGTGGGAAGCAAGAGGGAGGGAGGGGGAGAGGGGGGTGGGGGAAGGGAGGGGGCAGGGGAGGACGGAGAAGGAAGAGCAAGAAAATGGAGACTGAGCAGGCAGACCGCGCGGCTTCCTCAGGACCAGTGCTGGAGGTGAGCAAGAACTTACCGTGTAATAGGGAAGTTTTTTAAGCAGACAACTTTTGTGGTTTGTGAAGCGTCTGCAGTGTTTTCACTTGTAGGTGGGGACCTTTGTATCGTGGGACGAGCAGTCCATCTTCAAAATTCTTGCTTGCTACAAATCATTAAATTTCTCTCCCACGAATGTCTCTAACTTTGCTGCCTTAGCTCTCCCTCTATCGAGAAATCACTGTTATAGCACCAGATGCATTGTGTAAATTTACCGGTGAACTAAAAAAAATGCCGATCCACAAAGAATGTAGCATGTCAAAATTTTAATGTGGTGCATATCAATTACCTTGTTTTCTGAGGAGAGACTATAATACCATCTCTTGCACTGTCTATCTGTCCAGCCGCCAGTGTTCCGGCCAGAGGACCAGCGCTATCACTACGGCAACTACGACATGTACTACGGGTACAGGTGCTCCGGTCGGGGGTCAGCGGAGGTCAGCGACCCTCGTCTCGGCCACATGAAGAGGGAGTGGTTTGAGGGAAAAGACTGCCTTGACATCGGATGCAACACTGGCCAGGTGCGGTCTTTGAGTCTCCTCCAATAAAAGTGCATCTTAGGACAACTCCAATCTAATATTTCACTAATATGGACACTTCCTTCTGTCTCAATTGTGTCCTTATTAAAGGGGTTCAATCTTAGACCCTTTCTACTGTATAGTTGGATGTGGCTCTTAGGCTGTTATACAAAATGTTCACCTGTTGAAAATAATATTGTTCTTTGCCCCTTTCATTTACCCTATTGTATGTATACAGTTGTCAGCCGTGGCCATACATTTGGTGCATGCGTGTTCATTTCTACAGATAACTCTTGCCATAGCACGGCACTTCAACCCACAGAGTATAGTGGGCATCGACATTGACCACAAGCTCGTGAGAATCGCAAACAAAAACCTCTTCAGGTAAGAGAATGAGAATGTGAAGTAGTGATAATGGGTGGAATACATGTTCCTTGTCTTAGTGGTGATGATGAGTTCTTCCCCAAACCCCGTAGGCAGCAGATTCCGGCGGTGACACCAGACGGCCGTGCCTTTCCCTCCTCCTTCACCTCCATGGCTCCCTTCTCTCTCCTCTCCTCCAAGATCCGCAGCAGTCGAGCCGCATCTCGTGTCACCTCCACACCGCAGCCGTTCCCCAACAACATCTCGTTCTCACAGGTATGGAACTGGCGAGCTAAGCCCCTCTGTATATACCTAGTCATCCCAGTTGTGTAATTTTTCACGATGTCACTGTTAAAACCAGGTATATAGTGTTATTTCGTGATTCAGGTATAGTTCAGGAAGCAATACCGTTACAGGGTGGTTGCTTCTACCTTGATAAAAGCTCCTCTTTTTCTCTCCTCTGTCTCTCTCTATATAACAGGAGAACTATGTGCCACAGTCAGAGCCGGACGTGGAGGCAGTGGATCAGCAGTATGACGTCATCCTGGCTCTCAGCCTCACCAAGTGGATCCACCTCAACTGGGGCGACGCGGGGCTCCGCAGAACGTTCCGGAAGATGTTCCGTCAGCTGCGGCCTGGCGGGAGACTGCTCCTGGAGCCGCAGTCCTTCGCCTCCTACACCAAGAAGAAGAAACTGACCGTGAGTGTAAAATATCCTGCTGTCCTTCCTACATCCACTCTTGCCAATATTATGCATTTATCAGTGTCAACACTATCGTACTGACACTACTTTCAACCTACGTACACATCTGAGTGTCCCCTAGCTTCTATGCAGTGTGTTCCTGTGGCTTAGAGAATTATGATCAGTCCGTTCATACCTACATGCAGCGCAGACATGCAGTTCGTACCTACATGCAGTGCAGACATGGGTCTTACAACAGTGTGTTAGTTGTACACCTAGTCATTCGGTATTTAAGCAGGTGTGCTATACAAAGCAAGGATTTCTGGTGTTCATGCACTAGCGCACACACTTCAGTCGACTTCAGACCTCCCCTTTGCTTGTTCCCTCTTCTCGTGTCCCCTCCAGCCGGCCATCTACCAGAACTACCACACCATTGAGTTCCAGCCGAGTCAGTTCCAGGCCTACCTCATGTCAGGCGAGGTGGGCTTCACTAAGCACAGGTTCCTCGGAGTCCCTCAACACAAGGCTGAAGGTTTGACATTACACTATAATGAAAAACTTTGTAGGGAGAAAACCTTTGCTAATTTCATTGGCTAACGTTGGTAAGTACTTTTCTATAAAAAAAATTTCAAAGTGGAACAGGTAGTACATGCACGAAGTTCATTTTTGCAGTACCATGTGGCGTGTCAAAATGCGTTTTTAAGACTCCATTTCTTCCTGATTTGAAAATTCTCCTTTAAAAAAAGTTTCGTGCTGCCCTTATGATTGGGTTTTATGTACATAACTGGTTTTGTTAGGTTTCAGACGACCACTCCATCTCTACATGAAGAGCAAGACTAGTGATTATGGCAGTAGAGGAGGGGGAGAGAGCAGTGGGAAAGTGGGAGACCAGGAGAGTGTTGGAGGTTGGAGGAGGAGGGGAAGAAAAGAATAGGGAGGGAGGAGAGAGGGGGGTGGAGGGCGAGGGAGGGGAAGAGGAGATGGAGACAGTGTTTGCAGGGGGCGAGGGGGGTGGGGGAGGAGGGAGATCTCAAGGAAATGCTGCAGAGGGAGAAAGAGGAGTAGCGAGGGAGGGAGAGAGAGTCGCTCAACCTGAAGCAGTCACCAATGAAGAGAAAGGTGTTGTCACAGAGACAGTGGTGGAGGAGGGGAGTCACTGTGACGGCAGTGTGGGACAGGAGAGAGCCAAGAGAGACAGAACCAGTGGAGAGTAGCTCTTAGAGTATGTGCCGATGGTGTTTTGTAGAGTATATGTATGTTTCATCTCATTTTCCCATGTCGATACTTGAGAGAAATATGACAATCATGCAAGAGTATTATGATTAGTTGTTAATTTTATGAGCCCCAGCCCTGACCACGCAAGAATGTAGTGAATTCATCTTCTGGTGAGCCAAGGAGCAGTTAGAACGAATGTGGATGGCCAAGGTTCTGAATTTGCGGGTCAAGGTTCTATGGAACAACTATAATTATACCGTTGTACAATGCACATGCATGAAATTATAGTGTATAGCATACCAGCCATAGAGAGAGATGTAAATCACATTATACAGTGTAGGAATGGTTTAAAGGTCTTGCTTAGATGAATTGTCGTGCCAGAAAGTATGTATATAATTTTACAACACAATGGAACTCATCGTTATGCAAGTTCAACTTCGTATCGTTCTCCCTTGCCCCATTTGTAGTGAGTAACTTGTCCAGCATTGTTTGTGACTGGTATTACATCATCTCCATACTCAGCACCATAGTGACCGCCATAATGATAATCATAACCTTGATATTGTTGTTGGTAGTATACTGTTCCAACAGTTTGATCAGCAACTACGATGCTTTGCTAGTGCTACCCCTCTTAAAATCAGGTCCCCTACTCACTCTAGCACCATTGCTGGGCTTACCACTCACGGTGAAAGAGTGTGAAGCCGTGCTCTTACCAAATTCAACAGTAACAGTGTGTTTACCCCCACATACCGGCTTCACCACAACTTTATACCTGGAATCTGATGAGTATCCATGGCTGTTACCAGCTCGCTCCGTGTCAAAGCGTCGTGATTGTACACTGCTACCTCCCCAAACAGCACCAGCATCAATGCGACTTTCTCGGGCTATAGATGTTACTGTTATGTTTGCACTGTCCAACTTCTTTTGAGATTGACCATACTGGACGACAACCTTCAATGTGGGGGGAGTGGCCTGTTGTAGAGCTATATTTGCCCCTGACCTGCCATCAACAAGACCCTGGTTCCCAGAAATTGTAAAAACATAGTCACTGTTCAACTTTGCATCTCTGGTTGCGACTTGAACTTGCAGGCCTTTTAGTTTTACATGATCTATGCCACCAACTGTGGCTACTGCGAGATTTTTCCCACAATTAAATTTCGGGGTCGATAAAACTACACCAGTAAATGGACGTTCATCCCATTCCCTCTGCCGGATGATTTTCAGCTGATTGATGCTCTGCAGGGCGGTAAGAATCATCTCACTGTCATTGGTACACGTGAGAGCTTTGTCAACTAGACTAAAAACTGCGGAGATATGCCCAATGCCCACTTCGTGAAACTCCTTGTCTGCCCAGATCTGCTTCAGGTCTTTCTGACAAACCCCTTCAGCTTCTTGCAGAAGAGCATTACGTCGCGCTTCGATTGAGCGAACAAGATTATCGAAAAATGAATTTATATTGGCTTTCAAGGTTTGGGGATGAGCGACTGCGGCTGCTTCGACTGTCTTAATCCCCTGAAGATTATGCTTCAAAACAGTAAACTTTTTTTCAACGTTGGATTTTAAGGACTTCATTACTTTCCCGACATTTTCACGAGCTTCCTCGGCAAACTTGAAGTTATGCTGGCGATGCTCTACTAGGGTGCAGTCACGACAGATTAGCTTTTTGCAGTCCTCGCAGTATAGCTTGAGAACTTCCCCTTTGTGCTGGGCACAGTAATGAACCTTGCACGACTGCAATGTAGCTGCATCGACCTCAGCGATAGGACAAACTTTATGCCCCTCATAGATTTTTAGCCTTTTATGGAGCTCCAGCCCACACACACGGCAAAGATATTTTTGACAATTGATACAAAAATGCGATATGGTACAAGACTGCCCACACTCACCGCAAACTTGCGTTTCGGTATTTTTTGACAGCCTCGCAGCTTCGACTTCATGTGTCGCTATGAAATCAGTTAGCAGCCCATCCATCCCACCAGCCGGAATTTGATGTTCTTTACGGCATTTTGGACAAGTGACCTGATCTCCACCTCTAGCAGTTTTGTTCAGACACTCGAGACAGAAGGTGTGGCAACACGGCAGGACTTTTGGCTCGGTAAACAACTCCAGGCACACGGAACAAGTGTGCTCGCTTGATGGACGGCCTTGACCGCTGTGATGTTCAGCAGGGAACCCCTTCGAAGTCATCGCGCTCATCTTGGGGTGGTCTTCTGTCCAGAGGAGTCTGGATCTGGTCGGGGTTTACCCTAGAGAGTTTACCAGACAAGTCAACCCCAGGCGGCCGGCCGGGGAAGTTTTAGGGTGGGGGGCTCGCCAAAGCCTTTAGTGCGCATGCGTCGCACACAGGTCAAGCACACTGAGCTACGAAAAGCTGTTCTCAGTGCTATGTCGTCATACATATGAACAAACAGAGATGGGGTTGGTTTAGTGATGAGCTCCATGTCCGTGCTGTACCTGGTACTCCTCCAATACCTTCACCACAGCCTGCAGGAGAAGCACCACAATCACCAGAAACAAAATGTGAATTCAGACCGTAGCTGCACTACCCACTCACAGTCTTCTCTAGGGCCCTGGCAATGTCGAGAGAGGTCTGACCGTGGTTGTTGACAGCTCTCGGGATCAGCTCCGGCCTCCAGGAGCACTCTGGCGAGTCCCTCGTGTCCGCCTACTGCAGCCAGGATGAGCGGAGTCTGGCCTGCAGAGCTCGGTCGGTTGACGTCAGCACCGTGGTCTATCAGGACCCGTGCCACCGCTGCATTCCCACTGGCTGAAGCTGCAGCAGTACATCACAGAGACTAGTACCTCCCAACACACCAGGTTCCATCATAATACTCTTGCACCCAGGACTGAGCTACTGGGTTACTAATGTGTAAGGGAGCAGAATGTTTAGTGCATACCAGCCAGACACAGGGGCCACTCGGTGTGTTGCTTACCAGCCTTGAGCAGTGGTGTAAGCTGTGATATGGTGTCTTCTCCAACATCATCAACCTGCATAAGTATTACCTAGCACAAGTGGTGTGGGGCAGTAAGTGGACTCGACCTTGACTCCCTCCTCGTTCAGAGCATAGTACACCACTCCCTCATGCCCACCATCCACTGCCCAGTGCAAAGCTGACATCCCTAGTGCAAGAAAGGCCATACTTAGCAAACAGCTAGATTGGTGATATCGGTATATACCTGACTGGTCACGTTTCTTCCAACTGGCCCCGCGACTTGCCAGCAGCTTGACACACTCCAGATGACCGTTGTAGGTAGCCTCCATTAGACTGGTGAATGTGATACACAGAATGCACAGATACATAGAGGTTCGTGGAGACCTCACTGCTGTAGCTACCTGGTCTTTCCTGCTTTATTGCAGTATTCCTTGTCGGCTCCCAAGTCAAGTAGCAGCTCAGCTATGCTGTGGGAAAAGTGGGGAACAGTGTGTGGTGGTGGTCTTGCAGATTGTGCATGTGGAAACCTTGCATTTCCAAGTCTGCAAGCATTCATTAATGGAGACAGTCCATAGATATCTGGAGTGTCGACATACTGAGGACTAGGAAGAGAAAAAAGAGACTATATTGTGTGTGTTGAAGTACGTGTAGATTGTGTCTAATGAAAAGCTGCACACCTTGTCTCAATAATCGATCGTGTGAGTTCAGTATCTCCCTATGGATTGCCCTGTGCAAGTGCTCCGAAGTCTTGGGCTGTCCTGCAACACACACATACATACACACGCTACACTCTACCAAACTATCGCAGTAACACACTGGTTGTGGTGATCTCGATTGGCTGACTCCATGGCCCATGCTTCGAGTCTACGCTGGTTCTGATTCTGTAGTGATAGGTAGTCAGAGAGCTGAGTCCTGTAGCCTGGCAGTGCTTCGAGTAGCCGCTGACACCACAGGTATATACGTCGGAAACAACGGATTGTACTCCAGTCTCACTCAGCAGCACTTGTGCACTAACCTGTAAATGTTGGCAAACCCTCTGCCTTTCCCCGCCTCTTCCTCCTGCACTGTGTACACAGGTCTGTGGGCCCCCGCCTCGCGGCTGTGTTGCGGAGCTCTCCACGTCAGCTCCACGCTGTGGTGTGTGACACGCGCCGCCTCCAGAGAAGACACTGTAGTTTGCAAACGTGACCATAGAAACGGACCTACAGCCCCACCCCTCACTCTGTACCCCAGTCGTCTTCTGGTGCCGCCGACCTGGCATCCATTGTATTACCCTACAACCGACGAACGAAGAAGAAACCCGCAGCAGAAGTACAAAAACGAAGTCTAGACGTTCCCTAGATCATCGAGCGGCTTGTGCAGGGTGCGGTATGCGCATGCGCAATTGCGTTCGTTCTTTATTAGCGTGCCATCGACAAAAAGATTGACATAAAAACGTTTAAAAATTGCAGTTGTTATTATTAGGTCCATCCACTGGCCTCCAGACAGAAGCACCCACAGCCAGCAGGACAGACAGTGTGTGAGGCGAACCACCACAGCATGTGAGCAGTGTGTCCTCCGTGACCACAGGCCAGGCAGAAATTAGAGCTACCTGCACACACAAAACACACACTGTACACATTCAGTGGACTTTCCTCCAGGATGTGTGTATGCAGAGTACATAATTATATACTATGTCATGATTTAGCATAATGGTGCATCATTTTTTGCCGGTTTTGACAGTTTTAAGTCTCAATCCTCATTGATTCCTTGAGCTCAGCAAAGTGTATGACGTGGTCTACAATACAGTGCATGGGCTCTACTCCTGATCGTTCTCAATTGAAAACGAGAGACGTAATAATACAGGGACTCACCTCTCACAGAAAGATTGCAGATGTTGCAGTGAAAGGCGAAACACCTTGAGCTGCGACAGACTGGTCCGTTTACCTGCTTCCCACACTCACGACAATAGTTTGTGAAACCTAATGGAGTACACCACAAAGCGAGGGGGAAGGCGGCACGAAGGGGAGGGGTGGACAGAAAACGAGAGAGGGAAGGAAAAAAGATGGATGGGGAGAAGGAGAAGAAGAGAGAGACAGAGCACAGGTGTCAAGGATTTTGCATTTTTTGTAGGCACAAGGGTGGAAAAAAGAGGAAAAAAAACTATCCATTATGCTTTGACTACAGTTGGAGTAAGGAATGGTAACAGTTTACCAGTTGCTCGCTACCCCTATTGTGGAGCGCTGAAGACTATACAGGTCTCCCCTGACTCACCAATCTTGGTGTGGTCCCTGCTGGGCATGCTCTGGAGTTTCACCACCTCTGCCCTCTTCTCCAGGAGCTGCCAGCGGTAGAGGATGTTGGCGTAGCACCGGCGGTACTCGTCTCCCTGCCTCACTAGCAGCGGGTCCAACAGGAGACAGTTCTGACGGTGCTGATCTTCTTCATCGTCCTCCATTGTCTGTCCCCCTCCTCCTCCTCCTCCATTACCGGTGAAGGTAATAGAATTGGGGAAATTGCTACCGATGTCCTGCCATGAGGAAGACAAGTGAGGCGTCCCTGCTGTGGGTGTGGCCACTGTCGAGTGGGTGGCAGCAAACGAGTGAGAGAAGGCGTGGCTGGAAGGGGTGTGGTTGGAGGAGGCGGAGCCTGGAAGGGCCTCGGAGATGTTATTGCAGTGGATCTGGAACACGCACGAGAGGATTGCTAGTGTCTGCACGTCGTGCATGGCTCTGTAGTGCTCAAACCTACAATAGTGGTGTGTGTGTGAGAGAGAGAGAGGGGAGGGGCATAAGAAGTTATACGTGTTTAAACGGAATTTGGTAGTTTAAATTTTAGAACAAAACAATAGAGGCACAGTGAACAATTGAGTTGCGTTTTTGCGTGGTATTACAACTGCTCACAGAGAGTGGATGAGGTGGCGACTGAAGGGGTGTTGGGACCAGGGGACTCCGCAATTGGGGTCAGAGGGCACGGGTAGTCTCGAGTCGGCCACAAGGGCGGCGACGGACCACGCCCTCACCAGGTCTGGGCGGTCCACTGTCGCAGCTGCCGCAGCATTCCTGGAGCACAGGTCTGCTATTGTACCAGCTCCCGACAGGCTTCATGATTATATAGATGAGAGTTAGATAAAGAGAGAGGTAATCTATAATAATATTATTCATGTGGGGTTTTTCCTGTAAGTTTTGCTTAATTACGGCAAAGAAAGCATGCTCATAACACACGAAACTCTGTGTATTGAATGTTTATTCGTGAGTCCTAAACAGTTTGGACTCAGTTTATTATACTTGCTACACATATCCAGACCTCACCAGTACATCTGTGCGAGGTCTTGGCTGATGGGGAGGAGCTGGGAGACGTCGGCCATCGAGACAACGGGGGAGGCGGAGGACTGGTCACTCAGAGCCAGCTGCATCAGGTTACTGCCCGAGCTGCCCTTGGGCACCGAGGATGAGAGGTAGGGACCGGAGCGGCGACCTTTACCGGACCACAGCCGAGGCCTGTAGTCTGCCATGTCCAGTGCACTGCAGTGGAAGAACAAACCTTAATCTTTCCCCTTCTACTTTGTGTGTGCCAGTTTCTCCCTCAAAATTATCTCTTAATTTAAGTTTCACGTGTTTTTAATAGTCTGAATCCCTCAAAAGTTTTACATAAATAGTACGTCCCTCAAAATTTGCGCATGATACTCTGTCAATTGCGTAATTCTGTCTATGAGCGTGATCACAAGGAAATTGATTGGTACCAGGGGGAGTGGCTTACCGAGGAGTCTGCCTGCTTTCAAATGGTTTGGCCTGTCCGGTGAAGCTCACCAGAATACCTGCACACGACAACTTAACACTCACACCCCCACTTTTTAGTCCCTCACCATTGGAACAGAACCGGGCCCCCGTGGTACGGGGGAACGGAATCCGGACGTCGTCCAGCTGGCCAAAGTAGTTGAGGTCCAGATCAGGCTTGCGAGGGATGGGCTGTAGCGAGGGGGGTGGCTGCGGCGGATGGCTCTGAAGAGAAAAGACATGACCATGATTTTTTGTGGAGCTTACGATACAGCGTTAGTTAATGACAGGGTCTCACCCCTAGGCCTTCGATGTACTTGCTGAGTCTGCGGAGACAGGGCTCGAGGCACGGTCGGTTGAGTTTCACGTGACTGTGGGCAATGTCACTCAGACTCTGGATATGGTGTGTGTGTGTGGAGTTCAGTACCATAATGGTTTGGTGTGTGGTGCAGTGTGTGATGCGCCACATAAAACATAGCAGTATTTGTGTTCTCCAAAATTTATGAAGCCCGACATTTCTGTGTATTAGCAGTTTTTGGTCATCAAACACGCTGCATTAAAGGTGGAGGTAGGGAGTGTAGCCGGAGAGGCTGACTCACTCGATTGAGGTCCTGCTGACTAGAGATGTCAATGGAGGTGCTCCTGTCAATGAGGAAGGAGGGCGCTGCTCCGTTGGGATAGTGGGAGGGGAAGGAGACTCTGATTCTCACAGTGTGCTCTCCCTGCTCCACCAGCACCGTGCAGCTCCTCTGAGTGGCATCCATCTACAGACACCACAACCAACATCGCAGACATACACTCTGGAGAGGTGCGTATGTATATAATACAGTATAGTAGGAAAGGTTCAAGGAGGAGAATTTCACATTTTATGAGGAAATGTGATATATTAATAGCACTCTAACTTTATAGACATAGAGCAAAGAAAACGGTTTGCTAGAAATGTATGGCATAAATGTCAAGGAAAAAGATGTGGTCTGTGAAAATCTAGGTGGATCTAACTATGGCGATTCCAACCATCTTTCAGACACAAACTATATACCACAATTCTGGTTGCGCAGCAATGCTGTTTATCTTACACTCTCGATGGTGACGTTTGGAATGGACTTGTTGAGTAGAGAGAACTCGTGTTCCAGCTTCTGGGCGGCCTTGGTTGGCTGGAACCCCGTGCCGGGACTGCCCGACTTGTCATGAAATGAGGTGGGGGAAGTGGAGGTGACAATGGAGGAGGGAGGGTGGGAGGCTGTCAGGGAGGCGGGGCCGGGGCTCTTGGACGGGGAGAGGGAGATGGGCATCGACTTCTTCTAGAAGTGGGGGAGACAATTGCAATGTCTTAACACACGACTACGTAGCAAATCAAAAGGGAAAACTGTAGAAATGTATTGCATTGCGACTATGTACAAATCTGGTAGCATAGAAGTGCCTACAAATGCACTCTGCTTTTCAGCTGAGTCACTTGTGCAGCAAAGTTGCATATGTGTACAGTGGGTATGTATACTATGTACATGCTGCTTATTCACCTGTACGTCAGTGGTAGTAGTCCCCAGTAGCTCCATGTGAGAAGGGAGAGACGGTTCCACCGCCGAGTGTGGTTCCGTTTCCTGTCCCTCTGTCTCCATGGGAACAGCACCAAGGGTGCTGCTGAGCTGGTCGCTGATTGGCCACACCCTGAGGGTGTGGTCCCGAGACAGAGTCAGCAGCTGGTAGCCTAGGGAAGACCAGAGAGAGGGGGAGAGAAAACGATTGGGAACATAGCTCCAAGTCTCAAGGAGACACACGGACAACCCATCACTATAAGGAACTTTCACAAAACATGAATTTCACAGTTTGTCTTCTTGTTCTTTGCAGTTCACAAGTTTTGTACTTCCCTTAAACATTGCTTTACACTGACATCTGTAAGCAAACATTTTCCACCAAATCATTAAAGTGTTCTCAGTGGTAAGTTTGTTTACTGCCACACAGGAACTTTACCTGAGTCAACTTTCCTCCACTGAGCCCCAACGACGGCTGCCTTGTGGCCGTGGAGGATGGTGGCGGGACTGGAGGTGTTGGAACGACTCCACAGAAAGACACCGTTGTCCAGACTGTGCAGCGCAGGCACCAGCAACATGGCCACACCTTCTCCTGCAGGCTACATGTACATATGTTGGAGTACATATAATATAGTACATGTGTTCAGTCCAGGATAAGGGACAGAAAATGGAGTGTAACAAGGAGAGGGAGAGGGAAAAGGAGAGATAAAATAATGTGATGGAAGTTTCGTGGAAAGTTTCACTGATAACATTTTTTGTTACCAATGCCCACCATACTGAACCTTCTTTTGTGTTTTGAAGCTATGTATAAGTTGTCATGGAATTGACTTGTGTGCATACACACCAGTGAAGTGCTATTTCTTTCTAAGACAGTCTCAAAAAAGAGAGCTAAATGACCCAACAGCTGGTATTCAGTCTTACGTACATAGTTCCTGGCCCTCCAGACGGGCTGGGAGCCAGTCTTGATGACGGAGAGAGGTCTCCTGGTGGAGGCGGTGTCCCAGAACTTGACGGAGGAGTCGTGGGAGCAGGTGGTCAGCTGGCTCTGGTCTCTGTAGCTCCAGTCAATATCGTGGATACGCGTCATGTGGGCCGTGATGTAGCCCCACGCCGTGGACGGTTTCTGATGGACACCAGTGATCGTTCCCGTTTTACTTGAAATATCAATTATTTTTCTCATTTAAAGTGCATTTTAATAGTAGACAGACTCAAGCCACTATGCTCATAGTAAGAAATTGATGAACCCAAACAGGCCCTGTTCACCATTACAGTATAGGAAAGCATTAATTGTTAAGAGCTTAGGGTGACACAAATAGTGTACATACATACATAGGTATACTTTACGCATAACTAGTAGTGTAGAAGCTCCCTGCACTGACCCTCATGTCCCAGAGTCTGATTTCCGAGTCGTGGGCTGAAGCTATGATGTTTCCGTTCAATCTGTTCCACTGCACAAGAGATGCACCAGCTGAAAATCACATTACATCATCACAACATGCTACAGTACACCGTGATAATGTGTGTACTTTGCCTACGCACCTACAACAGCTTTGAAGTACGTCTTTGCACGTCTAGTCTCTCTGCAAAGTGCATAATTACAAGTTCATAAGAATGTACATAGGTGCTACCACTGTAGTTGTGTGGAGAGAATACTAAGGGACTATATACGACTATGATCATTACCTTATGTCCCACACATTGATGAAAGAGTCCATTGCACAGGAGGCAAGGAGGTTGGGGTCTGTGAATGACCAACCAACATCGCTGTGTGTGTGTGTGTGGACGGAGGAGCAGGAGAGCTCATAATAGAGACATTAATAACAGGCAGAGAGGGGAGAATGAGGGAGGGAGGGAGAGAGTGAGCGGTTGTGGGTATATACCTTACGGGTCTGGAGTGGGCCTTGAAACTGTGAACTAGTGTGTTCCTCTCTGCAACCACATTCCAGAGCTCCAGCTTCTGCTGGCTCTGCACCAACACACACACAGACGATGGAGAGAGAGAGAGAGGAGAGAGAAGAAAGAAGTATAGATTATTGGATGTTTGGTAGTGCTACGGGAAGCAAGAGGGTACCAATGTCCAACCTGAGGTGTACAGATAGCTCTATGACTCACGGCAGACACAAGCAGCTGTCTGTTCACATGGTGAGGGTTCCACAGCACCGTCTTGACCTCGTACTTGCTGGTCCGACCGAGCTTCCTGTCCGTCTTCACCTTTGCCGTCTCTCTCAGGTCGACCACTGCTAGCCATTTCTGCCTACACTCAGGGGACAATAGACGGCACAAATGGCTCCATTGTCCCTCCTTGTTCAGACCCAGAGGAGGACTAAATGCTGTGTGTACTCACACGGCTAGCACTGCTCTTTGATTTGTGCAGTCCACAGCAAAACGTGGTGACCTGTTCACGGACATAGCATCGTCATCTTCGGTGAAATACCGTCAAAGATTCGTATGTCTACCTGCCATTCAGGAAAGCAGCTCAGAAAGAACACCTCTACACACATTTCACACCCCTGGAGCTGACTCCAGCTCGAAGAACGTAGGCGGCAGGTCTTGTCGTAAGATACTGTACTGCATCCAAGTGCAATGAGCGAGGTATTAGAATAAGCGCGTTCGCCATTATATAGACGCAGCGGTTCCATATCGTCTTACGATCCAGAGCGCGATTGTACCTACTTGTGGCCGAGCAGCTACAGACTAGCTACCTAGTACTCCTGCTGTTGCTCGTGTGTCCCGGCTCTCGAAGAATGCGATTAAGACGCCCATGAGGTGCGGGTATCTACAGGTGTGGCGTGAAGCAGACCAGGACTCTACCAAGCGTACCGTCAGGTCGGTAATGGTAAATCAGCTAGGTCGAACACACCGATAGTAATTGTATGTATCGACGGTTATGGGGTCAACCGAGCGATGCAGGCCTTAATCATTGCACCACTGGGAAGTGGCGGAACTGACAATAGGTGATTGAGCGCCTGTGTCGACCCCCGTTGGGACGGAAAAGGAAAGAAAAAACCAGCGATCAGGTCAAGCAGGAAGAAGAGAGTACGTTCAAGCGTGCCCGATGTCCATGGTCTAACCCAAGCTTCCATAATCAGAGCGCCCAGGATTCCAAGGTATTTAGGAAGTCAGCCTCTTTAGAGGTAGGTCCCTACATAGTGTGACTTGCCTGGAAAAATACAGTTTTAACTAGTCGGTTCGCATATCTGGCCAGCAAGGTGTGGTTGACCCTCCTAAATGTAACAATAACCGGAGACCCATGACTGATCCAAACCCAAAACTGAGGCGAGCTGCACGCGTATGTTTATATTCAATGTGTGTGTGTGTTGTGTGGTACTAAAAGACAAAAGAAGTATAACAGAGTTATGTCAGGTAACTATAATGTACGATGCTGCCCCTTTATCTAGGGTTAACGTGGCGAGAATTCGCAATCATTTACAGCCAAAAGCCTTCGCATCGGTGCTGTGCAAGATGTGCAAAAGAAAGAGAAAGCTGGATGCAAGAACTTGATTTCTACCCCAGCATCGCTAACTATAATGAAAAAGCTTTTTTTACGTGGCATAAATCCCTCGCGAACTGCGCAAAATGCGCGATACTGCTAATGGGATGCGGCTGGCTATTTTACTTTTCCTAGGTCTCCCGCTAGTCGCTCGCGGAAAAGGAGAGAGAGAGAGAGAGGAACAACAGCGGACAATAGCTACAGTAGTTAGATAGCAGGCGGGAAGTCGAACATGCCCTTCGTTGTGCCCCGCCCACCTCTTGAGAGACCACCCAAAGGTACACAGGAGCGAGAAGATCAGGTCGCGGTATCAGTAAAAGCCAGTGCATTATGCATATTGCTTTTTCGAATTGTTTTCACGGCAATTAATCTACTCGAACACGGTAGTGTTCAGGAAAAAATCGCCATTTTATTTTTCAGGCTCGCGTAGAGGTAGGAAGCATGTTGGTATCGCTACTAATGGGCCGCATCGTAGCCTGTCGTGCCAGGAACATAAGCGTCGACACACACAAACAAGACAGACAGGACAGGACAGACAGAACGACATACGGTAACCCTCGCTGCCTCATGCGCGCGAGGGTTAATAACACAGAACAGTATTTCCAAGCCTTACTTTCGAATGGCAGGAGCTTGTGTCAATTTTGTGAACCAACCTTACAAATTTGTATACAAAAGCACTATAAATGGACCTACAGTTGCTGTAAGATGTACATATGAGGAGCTTGTCCTTCTGATATTTGTGACTGTCAGGTTTGTAGGTATCACTGAGTTTGCTCCGGGGAAGGAGTGAATCATAAGTGAAGTGGGTGGGTGTTGAACTGGAGGAGGGGCAGGTGCAAGAAGAAGCAACAGGAGTGGTGTGGAACAGGGAGAAGGAATGAAGACAGTACTTCCACTGGCACGCGGAAGAACACAGACGAGGACTCTTTGTCAGGTCCACCCAACTGCAGGTCAGCACTTTGCAACCGTGGCATCGTCAGAAATGGAGGTGTTGAAGTATATGCGTTGGGGAAATATGTATTGTCTGGTGTTTATGTGTGCTTGGGTGGGGGAGGTTCTTTCTTTTCCTCTGATATTATTCTTTTAGCTAGTATGCTATAAACTTGTTTTTTCATGCAGTCCAGGGAGATTTTTGTGTATAGCTTTATCGTCTTAGCAAAAGACTGTTCTCAAATTCTGTAATTATGTATGTTACTGCACAATACACTGTGTGTCCTGGTGCATGTACAAGCGAGAATGACTATTGGAAGTTGAAAATCTGTTTTGCCGGAAATTTTTACTAGGACATTAACACAAGACAGCTACAGCATATTTTGCACTCGCACTTTCTCTGATGTGAACGAGTATTGATTGTTGGTTGGTGTAGGTGGTGATACCCAGTCCCCGGCCTTCTCCAGTTATCCCCAGACCTAACAGTCATGGGAAGCCCTCCGGGATCTCTCCTCCCTCTGCCAAGGTAGCGAGACAGCGTACGCCATTTGCCACCACTGTCTACCTCTCACACTCCACTTCATGCTTTGTTGGACCACTGTTACGAATGTTCTACGTAGTTAGCCCCAGCCCCAGCCCATACTTTGACTCACTGTTAGTGCCTGTAAGTAGTTCCTAGTGCAGAGTGCTCTGCATTGGTATGCAATTCAAAGGTGGCTTACGAATTAGAATCTCTGTTTAGTCCCTTCCTTTATTCTTTCTTTGTTGGTTCCACGTGCTGTATAATATTGACTTGGTCTATAATATTACAAGTCGTACTGTACGTGTTCACCTCACATCATCACACTGTACTGTGTATGTAGTTATAATATGTGTATATACGTCTGTAACTGATCATCTAACAGAGGCCCAAGAGGCCGCCTCCAGCTGCTGCTGGCGGTGGTGGTGGTGGTGCCAGTCCGAAGGAGACCGGAGGAGAAGGAAGTGCTCCCGACTCCAAACCCCAAGTCAGTGTTACCCTCTCTTATGTAACCATCATACACATAAATGTGTGAGAGTGTATGCTGAGTGAGGGTGTACTGTGCCTTCGCAAAGTTGCTTCAGATTTGCATTTGTCTAGTGTACGTTGTAGATGTGAACCCCTATACTTCCCGAGTTGCTCTAGAAAAATGATTTCTCCTGGGTTTAGTTGATTTGTTTGCCGTTGCTTTGCTTTGACCTTCTCTGGTCTCCTTCGGACTGGCACCACCACCACCAGCAGCAGCTGGAGACGGCCTCTTGGTCCAGAATAAAGGAAGGGACTAAATAGAGATTCTAAAAAGTTTGGATTCGTAAGCCACCTTTGAATTGCATACCAATGCAGAGCACTCTGCACTAGGAACTACTTACAGGCACTAACAGTGAGTCAGTATGGGCTGGGGCTGGGGCTAACTACGTAGAACATTCGTAACAGTGGTCCCAACAAAGCATGAAGTGGAGTGTGAGAGGTAGACAGTGGTGGCAAATGGCGTACGCTGTCTCGCTACCTTGGCAGAGGGAGGAGAGATCCCGGAGGGCTTCCCATGACTGTTAGGTCTGGGGATAACTGGAGAAGGCCGGGGACTGGGTATCACCACCTACACCAACCAACAATCAATACTCGTTCACATCAGAGAAAGTGCGAGTGCAAAATATGCTGTAGCTGTCTTGTGTTAAATGTCCTAGTAAAACTGCAACCATATTATACATGCTGTGTGCATCCTCAGGTTGTGGTGACAGAGGAAGTGAGTGGAGAGGTGGCCGATCTCCAGCAGAAACTGGCCATCCTCCAGTCCAAGAGACAGGAGGACAAGGCCAGACTCAAGGAACTGGAGAAATACCGCATACAAGTCCAACAGGTATACATGCATGGTCCACTGCTGGTGCCATATGTGTGTACAGTCTGTATGAGGGAGTACTAAAGTGCCGTGGATTTGAACCACTGTATGTGTATATAGCACGTTACACAGCTCATATGCTGTGTTTCTCTAACTGTACTTTTCTCAGTAGCAGAATTATTTCACTTTAATGAGAGTCACCAATGTGAGGCCAAACCTTGCTTGTTTTAGCTCCTCGTCTCTACACACGCTCTGTATATACTGTACATGCACATAGTATATCTATATGTACACCAGGTATTATACTGGTGCTTGCTTGGCTTACTGATCAGTGGACCTGTTGTTGTTGTTGTGTGGTGATGTTACAGTTGATGGACTACAAACTCAAGTGGAGCGAGTCACAGACTGAATTGCAGCAGCAACTGAAGGCAGCCAAAAAGGTTTATAACTTGGGAATATTTTCTGATAGTCTATATACCGGTAGGTATTAAAGCATGCATGTCCTTAGTTAGAATAATGTACTGTCCTTAAGGTCTAGGTTTCTTCTTTGGCTAACACCTCATGAATTACTTATTCGGAGTGGAATGAGCTTTTCATTTCCATGAGCTGTTATTTATTGCGGTGAGCTGTGTTGTGTTTATTATTCAGGAGGTACGAGAGGCGCAGTTGGCCAAGGAGAAGGCAGAGGATGAGTACAGAGAGTTGGCTGATGCCGTAGAGATGGCCACACTCGACAAGGAGATGGCCGAGGAGAGGGTGAGCCCCTGATCAATGACACACTTGATTACAGAGGGAAAAGAGTTAAAGACAAGGGACACAATAATTGCACTACCTATGATCTGCGAATGTGGATTGCTGAGCTGTAGTAGTGCAAAAAATTCAGTAGAGCTGAAAAGTCAATGTGAAGCTGTAGGCAAGTGAGCAGGAGTAAACTGCAAGGCATGACTTTTGAATTATTAAAGTACTCTTCTGTGTCACCGTAATGAAAATTCAGGAGTTACCCGAGTTACAGTTGGTGCTCTGTTTTCCTCTCTCCCCCTGTCTTGCAGTGTGAGAGTCTGCAGACTGAGGCGGAGGCGCTGAAGGAGAAGATCGAGGAGCTGACAATCGACCTGGAGATTATCAAACAGGAGATCAGTGACTCGGGGCTGGAGGGTGTGGCCAGCAGCGCAGAGGTCAAGCAGCTGGAGCAGCAGAACTCTCGACTCAAAGAGGCCCTCATGCGGTGAGAATGCCTCTGCATGACTCTATAAGGAGTATATACAGTACTTGGATTGTGTTTGCCATGCTTTCTGTCACCTCCACATGAAGCAAGCTGACATTAAAGCTTCACTGCTATATATACCAATGAAGTATTTTAAATGGCCCAATGTTTGCAAGTTATGGCACGCTGAACAAGTCAATTATGCATCGGTTGTTTTGTGTATCATATTAGGTATTGACTTACACTGCATGTAGCTGAAAGTAAAGGACCGTGTAAAGTGATGTGTTTTGTTTCAGGCTGCGAGATCTGACGGCCCAGGACAAGCTGGAACACCAGAGAGTGGTGAAGGACCTGGAGAAGGCGCACTCTGACCTCAAGGCAGCTCTGGAGACCAGAGACAAGATGCAGGCTGAGCTCAAGGTCTGTCTGCACTCATTGTGTAGACATGTGTTCATGTGTGTGTGTGCAGTACCTGTGTGTTTGTTGTGGTAAGCTTCTTGTATTCTCTCTTATTGTAGGAGTCTGATGCCTTAGTGGATGAACTGAAGGAACAGGTCAGTAGCGGTGGGACTGAGATTATCAGATGTACTGTACGATATTCAGGAGGGCTTGAAATTGATACACATTGATCTACATTTATCTACTTGCTAAGGCTTGCTTTAGGGGAAATTATTTGGTAAAATTATTTACAGTAGTAAAAATATCACCACCACCCCTCTCCGAAATGGTGATTTACCCCCTCTGCCCTCTGCCCTCTCTCTCCTCCTCCTCCTTGTCCCCTGTGGTCAGGTGGATGCAGCTCTGGGGGCAGAGGAGATGGTGGAGACACTGACCAACAAGAACCTGGATCTGGAGGAGAAGCTGGAGGAACTCACAGACACCGTCACTGATCTCGTATGTCAGCTACACGCAGTACAGCCACCATGAGTCTCCTTCCTTCCCTTCCTTTTCATCATTCTCTGTGTACTACAATATACACATAGGCCTCCAAGGGACGACATTTGACTGTAATCCCCACGGTTTTAACTAGCGAAGAGATTTTATTGCTCCAGTCTTGTTGCTAAATCTACAGCCGGTCAAGCAAAACCACACCTCTTCATTAGCTGTGTGTTACGTAACTTGGCATCGTCGCACAAATGCTTTACGCATGCTCAATGCGCTGTAAAAAACCTTTCATCAAATTGTGTGTGCAATGTGTATGCATATGTACTGTGCATGAAATAGCTGTGAGGGTCATGCTTACTTAAGGGCCACTGGCCAGTTGTGCTGCCCATCCCCTGTCCCTTATGTGCTTCAATGTGTACATGTAGTATGCTGATTGGAACTGTGTGGGTGTGGTTGATACTGTAGGAAGCCCTGAGAGACCTGAGTGAAGAGCAAGAGGAGCTGAGGGGTGAGGTGGAACACGACCTCAGGGAGGAGGTGGATATGACGCTCAACCGTGTCCGACAGGTAACACAGCAGCACATCCAAAGTATAATAAAGGTTGACCATTGCCGTGATGTCTTTTAACTGACCGGGAGTGTTCAGTGTAAAGCTTAGCAAAAGGGAAGTGTCTTGTGTGATCATTCGGTGCATTACGTCATAGTGTGTGTCCCAGCAAACTAGCTGTGTAGTGATGGTCAGTAGAGAATAATAGCCAATCATTCACAATGCTATATATGTACACAGAATGCTGATGCCTTGTGTTATAATGTGTGTATGATGTTGGTTCAGATGGAGATGAAGCTGGATGCCAGTCAGGAGACCATCGTGGACCAGCAGCAGACCATAGAGAAGTTCCGAGAGCTGGTGCGGGGGATGCAGGGGGAGATCGGGGAGCTGAGGGCCAAGGGGGAGCAGCGGGCTGCAGAGGACACGGTGCCCCAGGCTCAGGCCATGATGAGTCTCCAGACTCAGCTCAAGTCCTCTGCCATGAAACAGACCTCCAGGGTTAGTTCTGTGTGTGTGTTTGTGTGTGTGATCTCTTGCCGACAATTTTCAGAGCATCTCTGTCAGTGTGAGCGTAACTCTGTGTGTGTGTTGTAGCGGTCTGTCGTTTGTTTGTTTGTTTGTTTGTTTGTTTATTTGTTTGTGTCCTGTGCAGCTGTCTGTCCCAGCAGTTCAGTCCGCCCAGAGGGTAATCCTTCTGTACAGTCTCCTCTGATTCTTACACCTCCCCCCTCTGTACATTACGTAACATACGCTCTCTGTTTACTGTATGTAGTATATACAGTGGAAATTGACGAAGAAAACTTGAAGCTTGAGACACGTTTGCAGTTTTCTCTGCAAAAATAAAATTTGGGCCAGGACCAATAAATTTAAAAAAACAATCCGCAGTTTTATGTGCAATTTGTGGAATTTTTGTCCCTGAAAAAAATTTCCCCATACGTTACGAGTTTAAGTGCTCTGTGATGCACGGTATGGGTATGCAGTATTGAGTGTACGTTTGTTGTGTGCTGCTGGCAGACTGTGGAGTTTGAGCTGCGGAAACTGGAGGCCCAGCAGGCACTGCAGCAGGTGGACCTCCTCAAGACTTTCATGCCCAACTCCTTCCTCGTCAGCGGAGGTCAACACTACAGCCTCTCTCTTTCTCACTTCCACCCTCCCTCCCACCACCCTCTCTTCGTTCTTGTCCGTCCACCCTTTCCTCCTCGCCTCCCAATCCTCCTCCCCCTCTCTGCCACCTCTTCCCCTCCCCTCCCCTGTCCACCTCTATGTTCAGAAACCCCCCACCCTCCATGTCTCTGTCGATACAGGAGACTACGACGCCATACAGGTGTTAATGCTACTGCCTAGAATCGTCTTCAAGGCTGACCTGGTAACGGATCAGCTCAAACAACAGGTATATATGCACATGTATTACTCAGTGAATGCTTTACTAGAGCAATACGTGTTATTTTTTTCAGGAGAATATTTCCATTTCACCCGTTTTCCAGATTTTTTCTTGAACTAGAAAAGTAATAAACATTAAACGTAATCAAGTGGGACTTGTAGTTTCCAAATCCATGTACATAGTCGGGAATTTGCATTTTTCATTCACAGTCATTGTGCTTTGCTTCTTGTATGTACTGTATGCTCATGTATACTCATGAAGGTATTAGACCATGTCATGTATACCTCTCGCCCTCTTTCCCACCCACCCTCACCGCGTTAGTTCAAGATGGACGAGGCTCTGGGCTCACTCAGCAAGCTGCAGGCAGGACCCCAGGTGGACCAGCTGGTGTTTGCTTCATCCCTCATCTACAAACTCTCCATCCTTCAACTCCTGGTTGCAAAGGCACAGAAGTTAGTCTTGAAATACATTCTATAATGTGCTTAGCGTACTCACTACGAGCTATTGCATACATTAGACCCACAAATAGTGCAGTTCCGAGGTTGAAAAAGTGCATAAGACCTATTTTGTGTGTGCCCAAATGTGTAGTGGGACGTAAATCTTTGCTTTTCTAAAACACAAGAGGTGTCATTGGGATTAACTCTCTGTACGTAGTTATCTGAACTGTAATCTAACTCCCATGCAGGACATCTTCATGAACATCACATACATAGCAAAAGTGTATGCACCATGGACTATATTGTGCCAACATATGTTTGTGCCTCTGCAGGGTCCTGGACACGTGTGAGGTGCAGCTGTACCGACAGATGGGAGGTCTAAGAGACGACCTGATGGTCCACGAGAGGGCTCTGGACGTCCTCATTGAGCTGATGAAGAAGGAGCAGCTGGACGAGGGCGTTCCTCTCCACGGCATCGAGAAAGGAATCAGCCACTTTGAGGTTAAAGGGAATGTGGAAGTACATACGTAAGGGCTAAATTTAGAACTAAACAACAGGGCCTAGTGCAAAAATCTACTCCTATCTTACTCTCTCTCTCTCTCCTCCATCTCCACCAGCACCTGCTCCAGTCTCGTCTGGTGGAGGTGAACCCTGACCCCAGTCCCCGGCAGCTGGGTGACGTGGTGAGGGTGATGATCAGTGGGGCCGACTTCCTCACTCTCGACATGCTCAGACTCAGACTCCTGGCTCCGGTCAGCACCCACCACTGTTCATAACTAACACCTAGTACCTTGACTGTAGTCTGTACAGTCGAATTTCCGATAAGGGACCCTTAGAGACAGGGACAGCCTCTCATCGAGTTTCAACCCCATGAACTTTAGTGCATTATTTGACCTCCGAGTATACAGATGACTTCTCTAAAAGGGACAAAATCGTTGGCCCCATAGTGCCCCTTCTTCACAATCTCCTGAACTTCATAATATGAATTTTTCACCACTTGCTGCGTGTTAGAGAGTGAGCTAGAAAATATGTCTACTCACAATGTGACTGTGTGATCTGTGCAGGAGAAAGGGCAGTTTGTGGCTCAAATCAAGGAACTGGAGAGCTTCAACAACGACCTGAGGGTCGTGTGCAGAAAGGTATATACGTATTGTGTACAGAAATGTGAAGTGAGGCCATTATACAGTGAAATATTCACCATGAAATGCGCGCACCACACAATGCAGGACGTACATTTTTCTCATCGGCTGTCCAGGAATGGTATCAAAATCCCATAGATTAGTGTCAAATGATATCAAAGATTGGTGTCCCCTCAAATGATAGCGACTTTAAACAGTGTGTACTGTGGTGTATGTGTGTTGTGATGGTGTGCAGATTCGCAGGAAGATCCCCACACCGGGCGGGGCCCACACCCTGAGCTACGGGAGTGTGGCGGAGGGAGGTCTGACCGGAGTGAGACAGAAGCAGCTGCAGATGGCCAACACCGTCAGAGCCCTTTACTCCAAGTGTAGCCAGCGGGCCAGCAGCCTCACTGGTAAGAGAGGGAGGAGGGGGGAACATGTCGACGTGCCTCCTCCTCACGTCTGCCAGTTTCATGAGTGTTTACAGCTTCTTTCACCCTAACACCTCGAATTGTACCCACATAATGTACATGTGCATATCGGTGGTGAAGGAGTGTGTGACGTAAGAGTTGAACCAAAACCCCCTATAGACTTGTGCCAGTAACTCTGTTTTATCAATGTGTTCGAAATGTTTGAACTACTGAATGTGAGCGGTGTATATCTAACTCCAGATGGAGAGTATCTGAAGGGAGGAGAATTGGAGGAGTACATGAGACAGGTGGTCACCACAGGTCCCCTGCAGGAGGCCGGGCCCGAGACCCTCCCACCCAAAGACATAATGCGGTACTTTAGATTCCTCTCCCTCCCCCTTTCTCTCTTCAGTCCCACTCTCACACTCTTTCATCCACTGTTGTATGTACCATTGACTCCCTCTCTCCGTAATAGATCTGTGATGTCGACCAACACCAAGACGGTGGAGGCATTCCTCACTGCTCTCCAGAACGGCGAGTACGATGCTCCTGCTCCCAGGACTAAGGTGAGTCACAGTCTACTCCACCAACAGTAGAGTTTGGAAACGGTGCCATGTTGTGTTTCACGATGCCCAACATGCTAAATTTCAAACAGTGAAACACAGTTTGTTAAACTTTTTTTGGGGTCGTTTGACCGACAAAAACACATTTGAATAGCAATAGTTTCACACATGTCGCAGTATGCTGTTCGTTTGCAGGTGCTAAAAATAAAGGCACATGCAGACATTCATGCGGCATGTTGTACGTAATGTATAGGTGAAGCCGCCAGTGCAGACCCGTGCAGACATGGTGAAGGCAGAGCTCAGTGACACTGAGGGTCTCGGCTTCAAGTTGGGGGAGAGACAGAGGGACATCATGCAGCTCAAGACTGCCTTGAAGATGAAGGTTTACTCTCTCTCTCTCTCTTCTGCCTGCCTCCCTCCCTCCCTCCCTCCCTCCCTCTCCCTCTCTCTCTCCCTCCCTCCCTCTTTCTCTCTGTTCCTTTGCTCTTTTCTCCACCAGCTTTGATCGTAAATTTTTACCAAAGTACAAAAAATGACGGGGAGATTCTTAAGTTAGGGAGGGACAAGATTTGCCAAAAAAACCTATTAATATCTCCCCCTCGCTGCTGCCCCTTTCCCTCATGTTGTGCAGGCGGAGGCGCTGAGTGAGTCGGGGGTGAAGGTGATGAGACTGGAGAAGAAGGTGGGCGGGGCGGAGGAGGAGTGTGCCCGTAAGGTGGCCCTGGAGAGGGAGGAGACGGCCAAGTTCAGAGAGGCCCTCAACCTTCAGGAGATGTGAGCTGTATATAGCATGTTCTCATGCGCTGTCCCTCTCTCTGCGCATACTGTCTATAAACGTGATATTTTAGGGGTGCTTGTGTGTGTGTATGTTCCTGTGATATAAGGTGTACACTAAAATAAAGTAATTACAATGATTTTGTAGATCATTAGGTAAACTATTCAAGGGAGAAAGTTTTGTGAACAAAATTGCTTGCACAGTTGTAACGTTAGGAGACACTATTCTCAAGGCAAGTGGGTAGGATTTTTCTTTCCTCTCTCAAAGTTACTGCTCTACTGCATTAGTCTGTCACACGTGTGTCTGTCTGTGTGTGTGTGTGTGTGCAGGAAGTTCAACAAGACGATTGAGATCCTTCAGGGAGACATCGAGGCGCTGGAGAACGATAAGCTGGCGGCAGAGAGGAAGTTGGACCAGGAGACACAGAAAGCCATGCGGGTGGACACTCCCTCCACTCGTAGGCTCCGTGGCGCCTCCTTCGGGAACACCCTCGGCCTTCAAGAGGGGCGGAGCGGGGCGGAGGGTGCGGCTGGGGCACAGCAGCCCGGGGCTCAGCAGGCGTCCGTCGATGCAGCGGCAGCCTCTCCTCTTCTGCTGGCCAGGGTGTGTAGTTAGCTGTGTGTTGTGTCCAAAGGGTATATAGCGAAGTTACATTTTGAGCCCTGTCTGCTGAGCTGCCCTCGTAGCTCAGTGGTTTCCTAGAGAGCACAGTGTCGTGGGTTTAAATCCCACCCAAGGGTAGCTCTCGTAAACATGTTGTCCTCGGAGTAGTTGATATGCACTTTGTCTTGTGTTAGCAAAGCCCGTGATGATACACGTACGGACCTACCTTCGTGCAGGTGGACTCGCTGTCAAAGGCACTCAGTTTCTCTCAACATGAGAACCTTGCTCTCAAGGCTCAGATAGCCAAGGTGAGAATTACAGTTTGTGTTCGTGAGCCTGTGAAGGCTAGCACTGTGTCCTTTAGCATTTCAAACCTACTGTACATCTGTATTATATTGTAGCTGTGCCCCACAAAACTAGACTACACAGGCTACAGACATCCATAGTCACCGCTGTGTGATGTGGTGAATGTATATACACATTGCTGTTGCAGGCTCAGTTGAGTGGGCTGGCCCCGCTGGTGGTCCCCAAACGTCTACTGCACCGGGGGAGAGGGGACAGAGGTGGTGGTGGGAAAGAGGGAGAGGGAGGAGGAGGAGGCGGAGTCGAACTAAACCAGACCGACCAGGAGAAGACAGTTGCCAAGAACACCGCCAGTCTGTTACAGGTGGGTTAAAAGACGTGGGTATATAGGGGTCTAGGGGTGAGATGTATGCACGGGTAATGGGAACTGTGCACTAAAGGGTTAAAGAGAGACTCTTTAGTGTGGTAGACTAAAGGCAGGAGCCTTCGCTATCGATATTACGTATGTACATACTATTAGTAATGACTGCTATGACTGATTTTGTTCCCTATGTTAATACAGGAGTTGAACAGCATGGCATTCACTAAAGTCATTGACATCACACAGAAAGGTGAGAGAATTTGCTTTGAACTGTAGCTACCAGAAGTGGATTAGTTTATGAGGTTTTGTTTATGCACTGTTGTTGCCTCACATTGCGTACAGATGGGCCAAGCCCGAGAGAGAAACTGGCGAACCAGTTGGCGTCGGTTCTTGAAATGAAACGTCGACAACAGAAGGCAAGTTTTACCACAAACTCTATCCAAATAGAGGAGGAGCTATGTGTCTCAACCACGGTTGTCTGCATGTGTTTTGTGTGCAGGTGGTGGAGGAAGGGCAGCGTCTGATGGCAAGCCACCACATCGGTGGTATGGTCTCCACTCGCGTCACTGGCTTCCCCTCTCCTCAGTTCCTCAAGGTACGACATACACTACTTACTACTTCATAGGCTCACACATGTATATCAGGTGTAAACAATGGTGCCAAGTGACCCCTGTCTGTGCAAGTCCCTTTGAGTTCCCTCACTATTACGCTGCTCTAATCTCCCTCAGGCTCTCGGTGAAGGTGCCCCCACATCTGGACCTACCGCTCGTCTGAGACTGCCGGCTACACGAGACGGAGGAGGAGGCGGGAGAGTTCAATCTCTTTTTGTCAGCCCCGCCCAGTTAGCAGCACTGCATTCAGCTGTCATTGGATAATAGCGGGCTGAAGTCAGCAACTAACTGGTGCATGCCGAGGCCGTAAACATTCATGGTGTAGAGTTACATACAACTGTGGAACATGTCAATCATGTTACACTGTGTAAGTTACAACTGTACAATTGAAAATTGCAAGCTACTAATTATTACAACCTAAAAATTGATGAAATTTCTAAAGTGCAAGGGTATTATTATACACTATATTGAATACTAGTGGGAATTGGGGCTAGCTGTACTTAAACACGTCAACAGCTACACTGGAGTAATGGTAGTGTTTCCGTCCACGGTCTTGACCTCCAGGAGGGCGGGGGAGGGGGAGGGGCGGTCCCGACCGGCGGCCCAGCCCACGAGAACGTCTGCCAGGTACTGCAGTGGTGTCCACTGGGAGAAGTCAGCATTTGCCATCCCCTTCCGGTTCCCGGGTGTGTCCAGAGTTATCCTGTATTGGGGCAAACCCAGCGGGAAACTTGGGGAAACGTTTTGGAGTGTGGAATAGCAACACTGTATCTCACACTATCTCGCTCGCCATTATTTTACTGTCCCTTATATACGCCCCAGTTTGCACGTGAGTAAACGAAATGACAAACCAACCATCCCTAATACTTTGCCTATAGTTGGAGTCAAGGATGCGAGTAAACGAAAATGACAAACCAACCATCCTTTGCCTATAGTGGAGTGTGGAATATCAACACTAATTCTACAAAGTGTACACTAACTGCTGAAATTTCACCATCAAAGAGTGTTACGTACAATGATGTAACTCACGGCAGAATGGCGAGGACACTGGTGTTGGTAGGGAGACCACTGTCGGCGGCCCCCAGACTGGAGACCAGCTGGTGGACCGCCGCCTTGGCCAGTCCGTAGCCTATCATACCCGACGTAGCTCCCAGAGCTGCCTGGGCCCCCGTCAACAGGAGCAGTCCACCTCTGCGAGAGTGGAGGGAGACAACTGTGTACAACATACACCGCACAGCAGTTTACTTTTTGATCGGATTTTCGTGGCCTAAACTTTTCTCAGATCTTAAATGATCGCCGTGAAAGTCAAACAGAGCAAAATAAGAAACTATTTCTCACACACACATGCACCTAGGCATACAGCATTAATTAGTCGATCGTTCTTAGACATTTTTGTACGGATGAAAAGCCACCAACATTATTAGCGAGAGATTAGGGAGCGAAGACACATGCAACTAGAGTTGGGTGGGCTCACTCTCTGAGGTGCTTGGAGCTGATCTGGGCTGCCAGGACAGACGTCCACACACTCTGCTTCCACATCAGGTCACAGCTCTTGACCAGATCTACACGCAGTACAGACGTACCACAAGGTCTCATAACATCCCGTGTAGATGATAGAAGATAGCACCTTGAGAGGCAGCATTCCCTCCGGCCCAGCCGCCAGCCACACACACCACAGCATCCAGTTTGTCATCTCCCACGACCGACTGCACCTTCCCTGCCACCTGCATGCAGCGGTACACACCCACAGCCACAGGTGGTGTTTGAAAACACACGACCTCCATTCATCCCACAAACCTCCTCCCCTTGGGTAGTCCAGCTCTGCGTCTCCGAGATGACCACGTTGGCGTCTGCGTCCTCGTTGGCAAACAGGTCCACGGAAAGCACCCACTAGACGTTCAACAAGAAACAGCACAGTTCAGTTTCACTCAGCACCTTGGAAAGTGGGTGGTGTGGTGCAGTTGAAAAACTCACCCAGCTTTTCGACTTGAAGGTGGAGACGACGGTAGAGCCAAGAGCTCCCTTGCCACCGTACACCAACACACGACCAGCCGCCATAGAGCTAGAGGGAGGTGTAGATAAGGAGTGATGGATGGACGAGCTGGCTGACAACTTCACGTGCGCGCCTCAAACTTCGGAGTGCGCATGCGCATGTACGGGATGGAGTACTAAATTAAGGAGGCGTGGCTATGCTAGGAAGAAGAGAAGTCTTTCGGAAAGTGACTGGCAGTTGCAGGTCCGCCCTGCGCCTTGTCCGCGCGGCCAGCAGTCAGGCGGAGGTACCTCTCACTGCCGAGCACTATGCCGTGAAGAGAGGAGACTACGCACAAGTAGGAACTCTAAGTAATGACGAGTCTTCTCAACTGTAGGGTTTTCATAGTTGACAGAACTCGACGTTCAAGAGTTTCACTCGATCCTGTCAGAAGGGGAGGGAGGAGGGGAGAGGGTAGTGAGTGACCCAGCTACCGTTGCACCCCATAATGTCGACTGGCTTCACAATGTTCGAGGGCAGAGTCAACTTTTACTGCGCCCCCGTACCACGCGGGAGGTGTCCCGGATCCTGGCCCACTGTAACAACAGGAGGTTATGCAATGATTGTGAGTAACTGTGAGGTTTATGCTCGTGATTATGCAGGCTGGCAGTGGTGCCTCAAGGAGGGAACACTGGGTTAGTCGGTGAGTATGTATATATAGACGATCAAAAGTCTTCATTTTCTCTCTCTGCCTTGTGGTTGATAAGGTGGCAGTGTTCCTGTGTTTGATGAGATAATCCTGTCAACGTCGCTAATGGACAAAGTCATCAGTTTAGACCAAACGTCTGGTGAGTTAAACCTCCAAGGCTTGCCTACACTTCTGTCATTCACATTAATTCAACGGTGTACATCTCTCTGTGTGTGCAGGAGTGCTGGTGTGTCAGTCTGGCTGTGTGCTAGAAACACTTTCCAACATGCTGGAGGAGAAGGGGTTAATAATGCCCCTTGACCTCGGGGCAAAGGGAAGGTGAGCTGAGTATCCCTATGTACCTGTGAGAAACGGAATCTACTGTGTACACACAGTGGCATTTGAGTTTGCAATTTTTTGAATGCTCTCAATCCACAACTTTTGGCCCAGCAATAAAATATACATACATGATAGATCCTTTGCCGTCAAACTCTGGGAAAACAGTCAATATATGAATGGTTTTCCCTCTATAAGATTTCACTATACGGTACATGTATCTATGTAAATGATGTTGGTAAACCACTTGTCCATTTGTGTAACCATAACTCCCCCGTCCAACTCTCCCTCCGTGCCGTTGCAGCTGCCAGATAGGAGGCAACGTGTCGACCAATGCTGGAGGCTTGAGGCTCCTCCGCTACGGATCACTCCACGGGACTGTCCTGGGTCTGGAGGTGGTCCTAGCCGACGGAACTGTTCTCAATGCCCTCTCCACTCTCCGCAAAGACAACACCGGTCGGTGCCCCACGGCCGCAGCATCTCTCATCCCTCGTGCATCGTGTGTACACATACAACTATTAGCTCCTCTGTGAAGAAAGCTAGAGTATGTAGGCAGACTGGCTGGTGTGCTTTCTTGCTTGCTAAATGGGTAGCTAGCTTCCCTGTGCAGAAAGCTGGTGTATGACTGACTAAAAGGGTTTCTGTACACTTTTGATAAAATTGTGGAAAGTTGAACCTTTTCTATGTAGCACCGTGATTGTTCTGGGGCATTGTTGTCTGCAGGCTACGACATGAAGCAGCTGTTCATTGGGTCAGAGGGTACACTGGGCGTGGTCACTGCCGTCTCGATACTCACCCCACCCCTCCCCAACTCCACCAACGTTGCCTTCGTGGGGTGTGCGGGGTTCACAGAGGTCAGGGAGGTTTACACCAAGGCCAAGACCATGCTTGGAGAGATCCTGTCAGGTGTGGGGGGGGTCAGTAGTCTTAGAGTCGACATGCAGAGGTAGAGTTTGCTAATGGAGAAATGCTCACCTGTTCTACTCAACTGAAAGATATATACACGTTATGTAACTTCAACTGTATGGGTATGATGGGTCCATGCAACATGCCCATAAGTTGCACAACATTGTCTCGTGCAACAAAGTTGCATCACGGACTTAAGTTTCCCACGGGGGTGCTCCAAATAGAGCACATAATGTTGTCTTTTATTCATGAGGCCTTAAATAGTAATCAGTTATTTTCAGCATATCACATTATAAGAAGTTCAAAGTGTATGGCAGTGTCCCTCCCCCTACACTGAATGAAGCCATCTTGTTTCTCACGGTGCATGCTGCAGCTGTTGAGTTCATGGACGGAGAGGTCCTGGACATTGTGCTGACTCAGCTCCCACTCCACAGCCCTCTCTCCTCCTCCCACCCGTTCTACGTCCTGGTGGAGACTTCCGGCTCACATGACCAACACGACAAGGAGGTGGGCCGAATGCACCACTACTATCTCGGTCCCCCCTTGTACTGCGTGCTCTACAGTTTGTGGATAGTTAATTAGCAAATTTGTGGGCAATCCTGAGTCTTTTTAAAGGGGTGCAGATTATTATGTGACGTATATAAGTGTGAGTCGATTATCCCTTTACTCAGAAATTGGATGGGTTTCTGGAGGAAGTGATGTCCAAAGGACTCATAGAAGATGGAACTGTTGCCCCTGACATTAGCAAGGTGTAATGGGCAATTTGGTGTACTATTTATATAAACTGCATACACAAACAGCAACGAGCAATATGGGCCGTGCGGGAAATGGCTGCAGAGGCTCTAGTGAGAGCAGGTGTCACTTACACCGTAAGGGAACACTCTCTCTATTGAAGTGACCTCGTATCTCACCACTGTAATATGTACAATAATCTGCTCCCTGCTCCCAATCTGTTCCCTGCTCCCAAGTATGACATATCTCTACCGCTGGATGTACTGTATGACCTGGTGCTGGACGTGAGGGAGAGATGTGCTCACCTAGCACTCTGTACCGTAGGATTCGGACACATCGGAGACGGTAGCTACATACATCGTTAAAAACAGTGGTGATAATTATGTGTGTATGTGTCTCTCTGTGCAAGGTAACCTCCATCTGAACGTGGTGGGTGAGACACACTCTCATGAGCTCAAAGAGTGTATCGAGCCATTCATCTTTGACTGGACAGGTCAGGACTTTAGTTTGCCCTGATAGAAGGCAGCTATATAGCATCCATTTACTGTATGCACTTGATACCGGTACATGTATGCATCTCCTGCTGTGGCATTAGTTGTTCCTGTTGTTCCACCGTCTGTTGTACAATGTGCACGTGTGATAACAGAGGAAATATTGCTCCAGCGCGACATGGAGGCAGTGTGTCGGCCGAGCACGGGCTGGGGTTCATGAAGGCCAAGTACATCTACCACTCCAGGTCCAGAGAGACGGTACTGTGGATGAAGAAACTCAAACAGCTCTTTGATCCAAATGTCAGTCCTCCTACTGACCACTGCAGTCAATCATTATTGCTCTTTTTCAGTCATGTAGTATTGGTTATTGAATTGTCTTTGTTTCAGGGAATACTGAATCCTTACAAGACTCTGCCTCCAAATTGACTTTTGCTTGACATGATTGGGATGGTTGTATGGAGGTGTGGTCTTGCCACTGATCATGGCAGTAAATCCATTAGTGTTCCGATTATGTCATTATTTTTTGGAAGGAATACCGAGTCCTTATGAGACACACTACCTTCATTTTTGTGCTACTTCTAATGTGTATTTGTGTTTTGTGTAGTTTTCATGTATATTAAAAATGCATAAAAACAGTACAGTTAATATTATGCACTGTATGTGAAGTGTGTTGTCATGTTGTGTTCGGGTGAAGTGTGTGTGATTGGGCAGTTGTTGTGTGTGTGTGCTGTTAGGATGGGGTGGGCTACCATTTTGAGGTGGAGACATTCTTGGCCATCCAGTCCATGCCTTCCTGCAGGATTTAAAAGGTTTAACTTTCACAATAGCTCTACTCTTTGTGGTGCGGTGAGTTAAGACCCTATCATTTACCTGTATCCCTTCTCCCCTGAGAGCACTGCAAGGTTGGATCTGCCAGCGACGATCTGTGAGTGACGTCAACTGAAACTTCTCAGCAATCTGTGGAAAAATTAATAAGTTGTGTTGAAGGTCTGGTGATGCATAACCAGCAGGCTAATGGATGTACAATGCTGTACACATGGAGAACTGGAATAAGCAAAGACTCTTCCAACTTTGCTCTTTCGTCTTATATACCTACCTCGTCTGGGGGCATGGCTAGATCCAGGTCTTGTTTGTTGGCAAATACCAGGAGTGGCACTCCAGCTAGCTTGTGCTCCTGCAGCAACTCACTCAGCTCCTGAGGCAGGCAGAGCAAAAAGTGAGGTGGAGGATGAAGATTCCGCATATACCTCTCCAGTTTCGTCCATTCTCATCATGTCCGCACTGTCCACGACAAATATCTGCAACAAAACAACATGACTTCAATTTGGAATTGAATATAAAACTTGACGCAACGCACCAATACATCTGTTCCTTCGAAGTAGTGCTTCCAGTACGGCCGAATTGTTCTTTGACCTGCACGTAATGTGTTTCAGATGCACACTCAAAAAAAATTGTTAGGCTAACCTCCGATGTCCCATATATTCAGTTTGAATCCTTGTGAATGAACACTCTTTACATTGAATCCCTAACAGAATGGCAGTGCACGCTCAATTCGTATATAGCTACACATCTTGGAGAGGTGGATACTAACCTGGGTTGGTGTGGTGTTTTTTATCTCGTCTTGCTCGGATGCGAGGACCCGGAGTACGGTGGTCTTGCCTGCATTGTCCAGCCCCAGGATCAGGATGCGCAGCTCGCGGCTCGGTTGCTTGCGGAATTTGCGTAGCAGCGACAGGAGACCCTGACAGACGTGCACAGACGCAGGGGTCACACCCGCCCCCTTTCTCTAAAAACTTACCATTGCGGTATTTTTGAGCTACTAAACTGTGTGGAAAACACTTCTCTTCAGCACATCCACACCACACTTTGTAAGATGAGTCGCTCACCCCCCGATCAGTGGTCTGCTAAGCTAGCTCGCTCTTTGTTTTTTTTGTGCGCACACACTTAGCCCCGCCCATTGCATCGCGCATTGCGTTTCCATAGTATCATTGCGCATGCGCGCAGACACGTGGTTCGTTGCGCATGCGTGCTACTCCAAATACCGCACACCATCGTTCGTTTGTGGGGCGCGCAGTGTATACGAGGGAAACACCCCAATTTTTTTTCTCCCTCTCCACCCCGTCCCTGCAGAAGAGCTGAGAACCATGCCGGAGGTAACCATCATGAGGCAGGACGCCACGACAATTACCGTGGAGGTCGATACGGAGGAAGAGACGGTTGCCAGCATCAAGGTCAAGATCTCCGGGAAAGACGGCACGCCCACGGACCTTCAGCAGCTGAGTTTCCAGGGCCAGCACCTCCTGGAGGAGCCGCGGAAGCTATCCTCGTACGGGATCGTTCCCGACTCGGTCATCCACATCAGGGAGTCGCCGCTGGAGATCCCTGTGACGGTGACCTCGGTGGCCAGTGAGACGCTCACTCTCCGCATGAGCCCCGACGACACGACGCGGGACGTGAAGAAGAGACTGGAAGAGGAGTTGGGGATCGACGCGGGGCAGATCCAGCTCAACTGTCAGCGACAGGAGTCGCCCGACGATCGGCCGCTCTACCAGAACCCCACCTACACGCACCGGGGCGGCGTCACCTTCCACATGGACGTGCGGGTCCGTGTGCGGCTGAGGTCGCCCGAGGGCCGACTAACGGGTCCCGTGGAGATCAGCATCGAGAACCACGTGTCTGTCCTGCATAACCTAGCCCACGTGCACTGCCGGATCCCTCCGCATCTCCAGTGCCTCCGCTACGACGGGAGACACGTTGATAACTACCACCGAATCGGTTACTACAGCATCCCCAACAATGCCATCATCGATGTGGAGCTGCGCGACTACGAACTGATGGTGTTTCTCAAGACCCTCACGGGACAGACCATCACCATCCGAGTGACACCGCGGGACACGGTGGGCGATGTGAAACAAAAGATCTTTGAACAGGAGGGGATCCCCGTGGACCGGCAGCGGATGATTTTTATCGGCGAGCAGCTCAACGACAACGACCGTTTGTTGGACCACCGCATCGAGCACGAGTCTGCCGTACATCTCGTGTTCCGCTCCGGTCAGGGCTTCCAGATCTTTGTCCGGTCGCGAAACAACAGGACCATGGTCTTCGAGTGTCAGCCCACGACCACCATCGAGAGAATAAAGGAGAAAGTCCGGGAGCGCGAGCGTCTCCACATTGACATCCAGCGGCTCACTTTTGAGGGTAGGGTGCTGGAGAACAACTCCACGGTCCAGGAGTGCGGTCTCAAGCACAACTCGACCGTCGACCTTACGCTGGAGGAGGGCAGGAACACCCAGATTTTCATCTCCCTGCCGGAGAACGAAGTTCTCTCCGTGTGGGTGAACGTGGAGCACACTGTCGCCCAGCTCAAGCAGCAGATCTCCGAACGCAAGAACGTTCCCACCAACGTCCAGGACATTTTCTTTGCCCGGGCGAAACTCGATGACGAACGTACGCTCCAGTCGTACGTCATCGAGGAGAACCACATGCTCCACCTTCACATCGTCACCCCTCTCATCCTCAGCCTAACGATCCAGTTCCGGTCGGGGAGGACCATCCAGCTTCAGGAGCCCTCCAACAAGACGGTGATGGGGCTGAAACAAGTCATCTCCCAGAGGGAGGGCCTGCCCAGCGAGCACCAGGTGCTCTTCCACAAGGGGAAGGAACTGGACCACGAGTATCGTAAACTGATTGACCTCAACATTCAGAGTGGAGACACTATCGTTCTCGACGTAGTGAAACCGGTCACGGAGACAGTGGTGAGCAGTGGTGGGAGCAGTGCCCCGACTAGAAGAGTGAGTGCTAATTACGACAATGACCGACCCAAGGGGCTCCTGCTGTTTGTGAAGACTCTAACGGGAAAGACGATCACTCTGAACGTGTCTGTGTCAGACACGGTGGCCGACCTGAAGCAGAAGATTCTCGAGAAGGAGAAGATCCCCGTCTCCCAACAGTGCCTCATTGCCGCCGGGAAGCCGCTGGCCGACAACGATGACATCCATACCATCGGCGTCCAGAATCACTCGGTGCTTCACCTGGTCCTGCGAGTTCCGTCCCGCTCCCCGCTCTCCCTCCTCGTTCAGACGCCCACCGGCCAGAGCCTCACGGTCAATTCCAACATTGCCGATACCGTCAGCCAGATCAAGGAGACGATTGAGACCGAGAACGGAATTGCCGCCGACAAGCAGGTGTTGCTGTATGACGGGACGATACTGCAGGGAGAGCGAACCCTCGGCAGCTACAGCATTCCTGATGGGACTCGGCTCCAACTCCAGATGTCCGAGTCTGAGTAGAAACAACAAACCCAGTTACTCTTACACACAAAGCATCATACCACAAGGGATTTCCAGTTTCGGTTTTTGCTTTGCAGAATTGTTTGTGTATGCGTGATTCGAAACCGATCATTAGGAAGGCAAAAAGCTGGCCTTTCGACAGCGCGCGCGAGGTATAGTGCTTATTGCGCATGCGCATAAATGCGCGCGTTTTGCGTTGCGTTGGAGACGCGGCAAACTCAACGAAAATGCGTGAGCGCAACGACCCCGGTTCTGATCTTTAATCACCATGAATAACCTACCACTATTTGTGGTATATTTGTCATTATTCATCATTCAAGGAGCACAAGGTAAGGCCAAACCAAATTTTTTTGCCAATGCACTTATGCAAAACCTCTACACCACCAAAGGACTGAGTGCACCGTACAATGTGAGGGTAGAGATTGAAAAGGACACAGCGGTCGTCTCCTGGGATCACATTGAGTCTGACTCGTCCTTGAAGGGCTACTATGTTACGTTGGAGGACATTGGCTCTGGGCAGAAGGAGAGCCCTGCTTACGTCCACGTGAACAGCGGCATTCGGTGTGCCAACGTCATAGGATTGCGACCTGGAACAGTTTACAGGCTTATGGTAAACTAAACAGATAATATTGCCCGTCTGTACACTCCCTGGTAATACAGGTGTCTGCCCATTCAACCGACACTCACAAAACAAGCCAACCACTCACCGTCAATACCGACAAACTTGGTGAGTACAAAATCTAGCAAAGTTTGATTATTATTGTTCTGTTTTTTTTTGCACAGAGTTTCTTCATGCACAGAGCCTGAATGTGTCCAACATCACAAATGTCAGTGCAAATCTCAAATGGACACACGCTGCAAAATACAACATCCACCACATCAGGTTCAAGGTATGCCCTGCCTTATTCAGGGAGATGGAGTCAGTCTTTTAAAGCCAACATACCACACCCCTTTTATTTCACTCTATGTTGTGTGTATGTTGTGTTTTCCAGCTTGTGTGTATGGGACTCCAGACCTTCTCTCGAAACGGGGAGCTAATGGAGGAGCGGACTGAACTGAAACATGGGGCCTGGTCCACCTCTCGAGGGAGGGAGAGCTACCCAGCCAGCAAACTCCTGCCAAACTGTCGCTACACCTGTCGCCTCTTCTCAGTGGCCAGGGACAGACAGAGTGACAGCCGACAAGTCTCCACAAGTCACCTTCCATACCCTACCAGGAAGCAAGTTTTAAATCTGCTGCCCCACGGCCCCTCACACCACTATTGTCTGGCTCTCAGATCCGTCACGTCCTCCGAGGCCCAGAATCTCCCTCAAAGTGGTCGGGGAACGCACTTCAAACTTCTCGCTCGAGCTCTACCCCACCGACGATCAGTTTGGAAAGATTGAGTAAATAGAAACACCTCCCTCGGTGCACATATACCTGCAGTCGTGCTAAATCAATATTTCATGCCTTGTTACATGAAACTGCTTGTCCCACTGAGCACGTGCCATTTTTCAAGTGCTGTGTATGTGCATGACTATACCTGCACTAATGTCGTTGCCCATCATCCATCAGCATTTACACATGTGCACACCCACCCACCCACAGTCACTACAAGGTGATAGCATTCCCAGTCACCAGAGATGGAGATCAGCCGAGGACCGTCCCCTTCAAGCTGGTGGTTCCGCTGCCCCAACTCCTCAACCACACTCTCTCCAAGAAGCTGGCCGAAAAAGTGGTGGAGCGTGTCCCGTTCTTTGTGGGAGAGTACCAGTCAGGAGACCTCCCGCCTACGCTCAAGATTGCCGGGAGATGGGTCCAAAGGGCGTTCAAAATTGACACCTACTACTCCTTTGTGGTGGTGGCCTTTACCAAGGTCAGCAACCTCCAGTTTTCGGATATATCCTCAGGAGCTTGTGTTTCTTTTTCCAGAGCTCCGATAAGTTTCTCTACACCATCAGTGAACCCGCAGATCCTCCAGTTCTTATCGGTATACCATACACACACTCTTCAGTGTACCCTATATATAGATTAATGGTGTTGGTTGTGAGCAGGTCACGACGAGGTACGCGAGGCATTGTTGAAGAAGAAGCGGGTGACGGGGAGGTTCAGTAACATCGTCATGGGAACCATGATGGGCGTCGTGGGCATCTTTTCTGTGGCCTTTCTCGTCATTTTTGTCACCAAGTTTTATCACGGGAACAAGAGGGACGCCCACTAGTAAGTCAATACACTTGGAGATGCAGTATATATATATGTGGTTTGTGTACATGTTAGATGTGCTATCATTACTGTATGATGTACCGCTGTGCACATGCAGTTTTGCTGTGGCTGAAGACAGCAGTAGTGACGAAGAGACAGTCTACATCAGGAAACATACACCCAAGGTATATACATACGCAGACTTTTTAAACTCCAGAATAATAATATGTGGATGTGCTCACTTAGGGGAGAGGGCATAAATACTTCAAACCTCCCAGCCCCGTATCCCCATGTCCTGAGGGTGACTCCAAGGCAGAGTGGGCCGTGAAGAACATGTACTTCAATCCAGGTATGTATAAGGCTCGATCAGTGGAGTGTATTGGTGGGTGACTTGTACACGACACACACAGAATTTGAAGAGACGGTGTTCCGGAGTCCAGAGACCCTGCAGGAGATGGAGGAGACCATGAACGTCCTCTCAGACTACCGGACCGGTCAGAATGTGGACCACCACGGTGATGACGACCAAGACGAGTTTCCTCTGAGACAAGGGAACAAACAGGAGCAACAGCTAATGGATGAATCTGCAGAGGAGATCGTTGATCTCCTTTCTGTTGAGCCTCAACTAGTCCCAAACATCAGAGATCTGCCTCCAGCACCCCCTCCCCCTCTTATTCCACTGCCCTCAACTCCTCCTCGGATAAAAGAGGAGACTTTACCCATGTCCAAACCTCCCGGGAGTGGACAAGTTGTTCCCTCTCTAGTCGTGGTACCACCGACTCCCATTCCCCCACCACCAGAACTGGGTGAAGCTCTCTCTTCCCCAGCCCCTCCTCCTCTTCCTCCCCCTCCTCTTTTACCATCACCCCCGGCTCCTCCTCCCCCTCCCCCTCCTCCTCTTCTACCAGCTATTCCTGAAGGCCAATCTCCTACAGCCTCCCCTACCGGTGAGTTTACCTACAACTCACGCACCTGTAGACCGGGCTCCAAAAACCTTGTCTCCACCCACCGGACACCACACCCCCACAACCACGCCTCCTCACAACTTCCCCCCTATTACTATGTGACACTGAACCCTGCCCTCGGGGCTTGTCTGGAGGAGTACAACGTTGCCTCGCATGCCCGTCCATTCTCCACTGTCCACCACCTCACCCAACACCGCCCAACACACCCACCATCACAGGCACAAGCATGCAACAACAGTAAGATACTTTTGCTATAAAAAGTGCTTGCAAAACACTCTTTTTTGGTATACAAAATTGAAATACTGAACATGGTTGTTGGTGTATTTTAATTGTAAACAGGGAAAAGGAAAAAGAAGAGACGATCATCCAGCAGAAAGAACGAACAAGAAGAGAGTTGATAAACTGATCCATTGTTGAGACGAGAAATCATACTGTCTGTTCACTATACATGTGCTGTTGTATCCATAAAAAAAGTGATGTATGCAGTATTTGACACTCAGTCTGGCCATAGTCCAGTGACAGTCTCGAGGCAGACCCTGGCCCCCTGTATCTGTTCAGAAACGGTACCGGAACGAGACTGGGACCCTCTCAGGGCAGCGGCATACATCGCCTTGTACCCAGCCAGCGACGACGACTTTGGCAAATCACTGAAAGTCAATGTCAGCAGCTAAAGTGTCATGCAAAACCCTCAAAAAATTTCCTCCAAAGTTTTGTGGATTAGTAGGCTAGTACCTTTTCTTCATGGCAGTGGACACCAGTTGCTTGAGAACCGCTAGTAATCTTGTTAGTAGGAGGCTGGTGAGAGCATCTCCTCCACTCTCTGGCCTCTCTTCACTCCTCCTCCCCTCCTCCACCTCCTCTTTCGTCTCCTGCTGACTCTCCACCGGTTGAGTCTCGTGCTCGTGGCAAGGCTGGTAGTGGCAGAGGGCAGTCTGACACTGGAGTAGTGAGGATAGAGCCGACTCCAGTAGCTTCAACTGCAGTCTAACTCCTGGAGAATGGCATTTGTTGTGCACACGTGGAAAATGAGGGTTCCAACCATCCTCACCTTGTCCCTGCTGTGCCTGCAGCTCAAAGAGAGTGGACTTGTCCAGCAAAAGTCTCAGGATTTCCTTAGCATGATGCTCCGGCTTTGTGCGTGCAATAATACACTACAGTCACACACACACACACACACACAACTCGACCGGCCTTATAGTCCTACCAGATAGTATTGGAAGGCCTTGTTAAAGTGTTTCTCTGCCTGCGAACGTGAGTGCTTCAGTTTCTGAGCTGAACAAGAAGACTAGAAGGAAAAACACCAACAGAGAGAGAGAGAGGAGAAAGGAAGTAAACCTCACTCATTGGACGACTCGACAAACCAACTCACCGACCGACCGCAGGCAGTCTTCTGGTAGAGACAGCCGAGTCGGTAGTGAGACTCTCCGGCCAACTGGTGGATGACTGGGAACCTACACAAACAGAACATACATTAGATGTGCTGTGCTATGTGACACACACAAACACAGAACCTTTGAGATTGCAGTCTAGCTCCCCACACTAACCAATGGTGATAAGTTCACTCACTACATTACATACACAGAGTACTGTAAACCTGGGCGAGTTGATGTCCACTGCAGACAACTGAGGCTCAATACAGTGCAAGGACCTCAGAAGAGAGTCCATCACCTTCCTCTCCACCTGTTGTGCCACAAGGAGAGATCATAATATACAGCAACTTTACCTCTCTCCCCTCCTAGTCTGGTGCCCATATCCTCATGTGCTCATGCAGTCTAGTATTTGGTCATGCTACATAAACCATGTTCGGAAACAGACAAGCCAAAGTGACATAAAGGCAGCGTCTGTTCTTGGTGCTTGTGAATCTCTATGCAAAAAAATCAGGAATCATGCTACTCATGCACATGGCCGAGTTTCCACACGCAAATTGAACACAACCAAGAAACAGATATCAGATACACCAGACCCTCTTTCGAGCAGGTTGCACGGGAGGGTCTATGTATGAGTGAGACCTGGCCTCACCTCGACTGGGGTGAGTTTGGAGAGGGGAGGTCTGTCCAGGAGGTGTCGTGCCAGAGTATTGTACATCAGTCCCAGGTCACACATGAGGCTGGACCAGAACTCCGGCTCCACCCTCTCATGTCTCAGTAGCTATGAACATGTACATACGTACACCACAACCATTCACTGCATGTGGTAAGCAATGTTCCTACATATGCACCAGTTCGCAATGAGGAGTACTACATACATATGTATGTATGCTTTCACATTAAAAAACACTATCTGGACGGGAAAAAAAGCCCCTAAACTGTCGCAAAACTCATCAGCGGTCTGTGGGATTCCATTTCATTCGTGAAATGTGGTGTGGTAGCTTTACAAAACTTCGCGAAACGTGCCAAACACATTTGCGGACCTTATATCTATAACAAATGCACACTAAACTTTGCATCCACCACAAACATAATATGGTGCACACAATATGTATATGTATATACCTGTTGAGCAGTGGTGTAGTATTCCAGAGATTTCTCATAGTATGCCTTCTCCTCCGACGTGAACTCTGACCCCTGGGCCTCGGCCAGGCGAGAGTGGACGGAGGCACAGGCCCTCATGAGGCAGCCCAGGTTGGCATAGGTGGAGGAGCGATTGACGCTCGTCGAAGTGCTGTCTGCAGCGGTGAACAAGTCCAGTCCACGATTGAGGCACGCGTGACTGCAGTTCCATAACTTCTCCACCTTACCCCTCTCTGCATGTATGTATATAGCTGTATGTACACCTCTTGCTGGTAAAAGGAGCAAGATATAGTTCAGAAACACACGGCATATATGTGGGTTAATAAAAAAAACTTACTCTATGCGCAAAGTTATCGTTTACGAGGGCTTAGTTAGTTGAATGTCAATGCACAGTGTAGACATTGCACATGGAAGAAGAAGGGAGGGAATGTTGTTGTTTTGCCTTTTGCATAGTCGAGTGAAGAAGCAGTGACCATGTAGTGAGTCCCCAGTTCGTTCCAGACACTGCCAAAGTGGGTCCGGAGAGTTAAGAGGACACCACTGGACTGGGCCTCAGACAGACGGACAGACGGAGCCAGCTGGAGGGCCTTCTCATAGCAGTCAATACTGGAAACATACACACACACACACAGAGAGAGAGAGAGAGAGAGAGAGAGAGTCGTCAAACACACTAACATAAGAAGACTATAGGACCTTCTCCACAAGCTGGTCTCCCTGTTGGAGTGAATGGTCAGACAAGCCTCCTCCTTACTGTCTGTGTGAAAACCAGACATACATGAACCATAGGAGGCGTTACAATTTCAACACAAGGAGTGGTATAGTATATACCTGGTTCAGGTGGGTGGAGTCTGGTTGCCGTAGCAACGAGAGGCGTGTCCTCTGGATTCTCCAGCCAAAAGTCTTCGAAATCAGACGAACACGACACCTGGAGAGAAAAGAAGACAAAAGAAGAGAGGTTGATGTTTCAAACACCTGAGTGACTTTATTCTTAGACATGAGAGTACAGCGAGTAAACCTGGCAGGGAGAAATACAATGTGATTCTGCGGCAATATGGAAAAAAACGACTTCACGGATCGCTATACAATTCCTCCCTCCGACAAAAATGTCCCAATGAAAACTGTCGCAGACTGCTCACAAACACAAAACTCGCAAAGCGTGTTCTTCCTCAAAGCTAGCTGACCCTAGATAGGAGACAGTGGAGGTCCCCACACTGCTGCCAGCTGAGGAGATGGTCTAACAGCTCTCCACCAGAACCGCCATCGCCAGCACACTCCCTGCTCCCACCTAGCAAGAGAGTAGAACAATATCAGCTTCACTATAGTTATACATATGAAGCCCGGTCAAAATCAATGTGGATTGCCAGTACTACTGTTTTACTCCTGTTTCTTTGCGTACAACTCGAAATTGTTTCCCCCCTAAAGTTTACGACTATAATAAGGCAATTTCGCTTCATATCCACCCACTTACTACTATTTCCCCCCTTCCCTCTCCCCCCACTTGTACTGGACAGTGTGTCCGGCACTCACGGAAGCAGAGGAGGGCACAGCGGGTGTAGCGCAGAGCTCGCCCGTGTTTCCCGGTCTTCGTGCAGGTGCGGGCAAGACAGAGATAGGCGGAGCCGGCCTTCTGCAGCAGGTGGCTCCCGCAGGTGTGGGCCAGCGGCGTCTCGGAGGTGGCAGGGGACCGGGGAACGAACAGGGACTCCCCCAGTATATCAAGACCCTGGGAAGATGAAAAGCACTAAGTGTCACCCTGGGACTGGTGCAATATATATACAAAAGTGGTGACGATGTGCAGGTATCATAAGAATCCTTGTACTGGCTGACTATGGATTATGGATAAGTTACGAACTCCATGACTACTTCTGAACCTCGCAGTGTGTCGTGTTAATAGCAGTTTCAAAGTCACGCAGTTTAGCATTCGCTTGAACGTCCACATACCTTGGCAATGGACTGGAGAGCCAGTCTGGCTCTGTCTGTGGAGGAGGTGACAAGGAGAGAAGGGAGGGGGTGGGTGGGGTCACGAGGGAAGGTGAGGTGACCATCTCGAAGGTCTCTCACCGAGAGAGACTGTGACCACCGACACACAGAGTGAAGTGAGGGGAAGACATGAGAGAGAGAAATGGCGGGAAAAAGGCAACATTGTACCGTTAAACAAGAAAGTTTGGTTAAATTTGTGGTTTTAGCTACAAATGATTTGTTACGAGATGAAAACAATCACGGAGTTGGCAGCGTGAAGTGCAGCACAGAATGGACACACACACAAAATACGTAATACTGTGTTTTTACCTATAGAATGTGATTGTGGCAGTTTGGTATTTGCGTTTGGAATGTACTAGTGGCTGTACACAACGAAAAGGTCACCTTTGAGTCCAGATATGAGAGGGGCCCACCCACTCCTTCCCGTCCCTCCGTCTCTCCACCGTCACTGTTGAGGGACAACTTCCTGTCACGTGACCTTCCCCTGATGTCAGGTGGGCCGTCAGGTGAGGGGGTGGAGTCAGACGGGGAGCGGCTGAGGTAGAGGTCTGCCAGGAGGTAACACGCTGAGGAACCCACCTGGGAATATACGGACAGAGACAGAGAGATTGGATTGGGGAAAGAAGGTAGGGTCCAACCGAACTAAAGTATATGCAGGGAAAGAATGCGTGTTCTGTGCGGTGGAATAAATGAGAGAACGAAAAGAATGTGTAAACAATTCGGCAATGAAATAACACACTGCTATTCAAATATCAAAACTTGGTGGATTTGCATTCATGGTTGTTGGACTCCCAAATGTATATACTCTGTGCAAGAGAAAGATCGTGCAGAGAGCAGAGTTAGTTGTCTTGCAGTAGAAATGCATAGTACAGCACAACAGAGTCTCACATTAATGTCGTCGCTGTGGCGACTGTCTCGGAGGAGACGCACGCAGTTCTCCAGGAGGAGTTTGGCCATGCTCAGTTCCTCACCAGTCACCGCTGACGACAGCCTATTGCTGCCACTGCTACTGCCTGGTGGGTTGAGCATGTTCCTCGCCACCCTGACAGAAGACAGACAGACAGCATATCCAGACAGACACTTGGAAAAGTTGCCCCAATTGTTATGTATATACAAAGTGTCTTAACTATACCTACTTTATTGGTAAGATCGAAGCAGTATATACACACCTGTAGAAGAGGACAGCTACTGATCTGGCAAATGGATTCTGAGCCTTTCCTCCTTCTTCCTCGTCCTGCAACAAACACACCACAACACGTGGAGATTCTCCCCTTTCTCTGTTACTCTCCCCCCCCCTCCCCCTCCCCCTCCCGCTCCTCACTCTACTGCTGGTTTCCATTAGTGAGGTGATGTCATAGAGTTTCACAACTTCCTCCCCTCGCTGCCGGAACAGCCAGTAGGTGTGGCCTTCTCGCGTGCAGTTGGCCTTCAGGAAAGCAAGAATGTTCTGGGCCACCTCCAGCACCTCCTGTATCACATTACACAACCAATAGTGGTCATTTTGCCAATGCTCATTTGTGCCAACTTTGGACAATGTTCTGACATCTACTGCTACCAATGGGCTTATGGTTCACAGCTTACGTATATATTTTATCAGAGTTGGTGTAATTTGCCGGAGACAATTTGTATTGAAGATGTTTATAATATACATTAGAATATGTACTGGTGTCTGACGAGCAATTTCTATACCTTTGGAGAGAATTCCGAGTTCTCAAGGTTTGGAATATCCTCTGTTTTTACCATCTCATACCTCTGAGGTAAACATTACATACGGCGGTAAAAAACACTCACTGCACACACACACACACACTAGGTTAGGTTGAGACCTGCACGATGCCGTCAAGATGGAAGCACATGGCCAGTTCGGGGACGTTGCACATGAGGTTGTCCAGCCAGTAGTCCAGACCTGTCAGTACCGTGATCGGCCTCCTCATGTCTCTGTGCAAAATAACGACACACACGTTGTTAAGATCAAGCACCACATTGTACGAAAATTTCACAGGAAAAATATTTGCAGAGGATTGCTCGTTCTACGGCACAAATTAATGGCCAAGCCACAAAATTTCACAGAAATATTTTTACGGACAGCTCAAAACTGGCGAAAGTTTCTGCTGTGTGGTATATATTAAAGGAGCTCTATACCGGAGTCTTAGGCTGATGGCCGGGTGGCTGTCGCTGCCAAATATAGGTAGGTCGCTGCCCAGTAGCATGCGTATGTCGGCGATGTCCCACTGCACATCGTGATAGAACCTCCTCTGGTTCTGCATCAACGATACAACAACACACTTTCTCCCCTTATGAACTGAACGGCTCTGTTTTGTGGTGGGTGTATGCAACTGTGTCTGGTCTGGGGAGTGAAGCGAGCATACTGGTACATATCTAGTCGTCTGAAATTTTCGTAACATACGACCACTGCACGTATGTGATTCTAACTACATGTGAAAAATTGAACGTCATTCTAGATAGACATGTGCAAAACATAACTGCCCTCGTCACTTGCCAAAACCGCTTTGCATTTATTCTAGCACGTATGTGGTCAGGTGTAGTATTTCATAATGTACCGGTGGAGGAGGGGTATAGGGAAACCCAGGGCTCTTTCCAGGCTGGTCCTCAGTCTCTCTCTCCATCCCTGTCTCATCCCTACCTCCCTCCCTCTCCTGCCTGCCTCCACCATCCCTCTTCCCAACACCACCACAACTGGTCCTGATCTCCCATTTCCTCTCGTCCACCACCGCTGGTGATGAGAGGAACGAAGCTGGAATAAGAAACTTATCCTCCTCTTCTTCTTCTTCTTCGTCCTCCTCTGATCGAGGTACTTCCACTTCCAGGGAACCTCTATTAATATAGGTGGGTCCAATTCCTGTGGATGGGGCTTCAATGCCTCTGTCTTAAATTGGAGAGCATTCATCTGGACTTTATGTCTGACAGTATCATCTTCTCTTTCTTGAATTGAGACTTCTTCAACGCTGCCACCTAGCTCAGCAGCGGTGCCGCCAGTTCTCAACTGGTCACTCTGGTCTTGGTCACCAGTCAATCCAGTTCTCAACTGGTCTTGGTGACCAGTCAATCCAGTTCTCAACTGGTCTTGTTCACCAGTCAGTCCAGCTCTTGACTGGTCTTTGTCACCAGTCAGTCCAGTTCTTGACTGGTCTTGTTCACCAGTCAGTCCAGTTCTCAACTGGTATTGGGCACTGGTCGAGGAAGCAGTTAAGTCTAGGTTGTATTCTGTGAGGGTTGAAATATCTGAGCTCAAAGGAGGAGATAGAGAGCCTGTAGGTGGCTGGGTAGTGACTGGGTCTGTGGTAGCAGGAGGCAGGGCCCTATCTGCCAAACTACATGTGTCAGAGAGAGAGAGGGAAATATACGTAGGGAGGGGTGTGAATAAAGACACAGGAAGAACTTGTATACGTATATGTACCTGTAGTAGAGCAGTTTAGAGTACATGTTCCTGTGTCTAGTGAGAGCTGGATGCTTCTTTCTTGCCGTAAACCACTGCATTAAAGACGAAAGAGAGAATGAACAAAATCAATTCCACACATCAGTGATGCTCAATGCCCCAAAAACCCTATAGAATGGAGAATGGATCCCTATCTGAAACCAGGACACCTCTAATAAGGACACACCTTTTCTTTCCCCAATGGCAGACACTTAATTGTGTAGGATAAGAAGGTATTTATCAAGTTCTACTACCACTTACGAATTGCAGCAAATTATTTCCTTCAAAGAGCTTGTCCAGCGAGGACGAAACCTGCCATCAGCAAGTGAATCAGCAATCGGCTAACCAACGGCAGCTAATAATAATAACAGGGTCAGCCTCACTCACTCCGGTTGGTGGGGCCATTGGAGCTGCAAACTCATCAATCAGCAATGTCTCTCCCACTCTGTGGATGGCCATGCTCAGTGGAGATCCACTGAATTTATAGACACAAGGGGAAAACATTACGTAGAAAAACGTAAGTGTTACGTCATTATCAGACAAGCATTCATTAAGGCACATGCATGACCATTCCGTAGATTCATCTAATTATTGTACGTACATCCTGATATTGTATATATCATTAATTTACGGTGCTAACCAATAAGGAAGTTTCAGCATCTTCTTTATGTTCTGCAAATATTATAATTCAGCAGTAATAAACAGCACCGTGCATTTTTATGGTGTGGTCAGTTACTGGACCTTTGAATCAGACATGACGTCCACTTCTCCAACAACGTGAGGGTAGTGGCTGGCCAGGATGGTACTGAGGAGAGAGGTAGGGAAGACGTGACGTGGAGGAGGGGAGAGGGAGGAGGGGAGAGGGAGAGGGAGGGAGGAGGGGAGAGAGAGGAGGGAGGGAGGGAGGGAGAGGAGGGGAGAGGGAGGATGGGAGAGGGGGGAGGGAGGAGGGAGGGAGAGAGGAGAGAACCTGGAGGGCTCGCTGTCTGCAACCGGACGCAGAGAGAAGTGCGTACGAGAGAAGGCCGTGGCGGGACTGCTGGCCCGCAGCCAGTTGGGAGGAGGCAGATTCAGGTTCACATTGGCTTGCTGAGTATTTCAAACAGCAGGAGCAATAGCATTTCAGCCATGACGTCATCTCTTACCAACTGCAGCGATGAGAACAGGGACAGGCGAGGAATGAGGGGTTTGACGGTCTGGAGAAGGACTGAGCTACTCAGTTCCCCGCTCTCTCGGCCTCCCTGCGGGCCTACTGCGCTCCCGCAAGACGCCATTCTTGCTGCTTAGCCTGCACCGTTGTGAGGGAGAGCACCCCTTCAATTTGTATGCTCTAATTTAGCGAGCATGGGGGCCTAACCGTGAAATATTGAAATTAAGACAGCTGCGCGTCTGCTATGCAGGGGGACTGAGCGAAGTCTCTTACAAGCCGAAGCATGTCCGTCCTCTCTCGAAGCACCAGGTCCCTGGGACTTCTCTCCAGAGTAGCCACATATTCCAGAACCTCATTCCAGGAGCCTCAGGTTAGGTCTCCGTTTCGGCGTGGGAGTTTGGGCTCCCTAATACCGACATGACCTCTTCACGCACACAGACCGTTGGCGTGGCGACCACGTGGTCGCAATGGGAAGGGTGCGGGCAGCATAGGCGGCACTTAGCGACGGAGCAGGGAGGAAGCAGCTACAGACAGCCCGTGAGTGTGCATCTCCCACAGTAGTAGCAACTTCTCTTACTAAGAATATCAGTCATCTCCCACATGTCTCATTGGAGCGGGGTGCAGGGGCGTTTGGCTGGTGCAGGGTACTAATTTTGAGTGTTCTTCGCCACACAGGCTCCCTCCAATTCCATGTACGGCGGACGCCATACGGTTACCCTGATCCCTGGAGACGGAATTGGGCCCGAACTAGCCGCCTGCGTCAAGGAGGTCTTCAGGTCAGCACGCTGGTGTTTGTATGATCCCAATTCACAAGGAGGTGACCTCTACTCTTCTTTGACCTTTTCATCACTGCCGTTGTCACACACTACAGGGTGGCGAACTGCCCGGTTCACTTTGAAGAAATCAACGTTAGGTATGCGTACAGAGAGTGTCCTTGTGTGTGTGGGTGTGGGTAGATATTCTCGCTCCCTGTTTGTGCCCTAGCCAGCCTGCTTGTTGACACAGCTGTCATCTCAACACACACTCTAGCTCCACTGTTTTTCCATGACGGCTCCTGTTTTTCCGTGACTGCTGTACATAAACACTCTCTCTAAGGAACTGTTTCCCTCTCTCTCTTTCCTCTTCCACTTTCCCCCTTTGGCAAAGGGGTATATACATGTAACAAAGCAGTGTTTCATATAGAGGGGTTAGTGCACTGAGATTCCCCCCAGAATTAGGTCAATGATTAGGCAATTGGTTGAATTTTGTAAAAATTGGCCAATACTCACTACCCCAGACTCTCCACACAGCTGAACCTGTGTATAAACTTCTCTTTTCCTCCCTCTCTAAAGAATGTTTCTTTTCTCACCCCCTCCTATATATCCCTCTTCTCCATTCTCTCACTTCTCCTTTCTCCCCTCCCCCCTCCCTCCTCTCTCTCTCAGCGGCCTCATATCGGACACAGCAGCCATTGACGATGCAGTGAAGAGTATTAGGAGAAATGGAGTGGGTCTGAAGGGAATCTTGAAGACCAAACTAGACGACGTCGACCACCACTCTCTCAATGTTACTCTCAGGTACATGCTATGACATCATAATGACATAATCCTATAGAATCAAAATGCATTATAACATCTTGGTGATTTCAGTGCCCCCCAATGTGAATGGTCGAAACCAGTGTTAAGAGGTTTACCCCTATTTATGTCCTAACGGCAATAGTAATGTCTTAGCACAGGTGCTGTAATGCAGTACCAATAGATAGGTTAAATGAGAAGAAAAATCCATCAGGCATTTCGGACGCAATTGAAGGACCGGTATTGTTAAGAGCTTGCACAACAGCAAACATAACGGAAAGGCACGAGGATTACCGGAAGTCACTGCATTTCATTCTTCTTCAATGTTGCTAGGGTTGGCCTGAAGCTGTTTGCTAATGTGGTCCTCTGCAAGAGCGTTCCTGGAATCAATACCAGGTAATATAATATTAGTGTGGTGACCTGCCACATACAGTGGACACCTTTATAAACACATGTCCTTCTCTCTCTTCTCTTCACCTACACTATACCCCGCGTGCCTATTCCTCTCTCCTCACTATTCCCACCTTTATACCCCTCCTCCTGTGTCCTTCCCCTCTCTCTCTCTCTCTCTCTCTCTCGTTCCTCCCTTTTCCTCCTCCCCCTCTCTCTCTTTCTTCAACTCACCGATCCTCTTCTCTACTGATCTCTCCAGACACAAGGAGGTGGATATCGTAGTCATCAGGGAGAACACTGAGGGAGAGTACAGTGGACTCGAACACGAGAGTGTCCCGGGTGTGGTGGAAGGGTTAAAGATCATCACGAGCGAGAAATCTCGTGGCATCGCAAAGTACGCCTTTGACTACGCCACTCGCCACGGGAGGAAGAAAGTCACAGCCATTCACAAGGCCAACATAATGTAGGCACATACAACCTCTCTTTCTCTTTCACTTTATGGAGCATGTGTCAACAACAAGGTAGCACGGCAAAGACAGATCAAACAAATGATCTTGCAGTATGTGCATGCAATAGACTCATTTCACATAGGCAGGCCGTGTCGTGACACGTTGTTAGTGCAACGAAATTGTTTTGAAAATGAATGTGAAATTGTGTTCCTATGTTTGTTGAGGTAGCATGTTTGTACACACCCAAGCAAACGACACACAAACGGAAGCCCGTGCACCAGCGTAGGTGACGGGCTTTGTTTTCGAGTCCCACTCAAAGCAGCTTTCATTTTTTGTGGCTAGTATGTGCTGGTTCCTTGTACGGCATTTGGATGGAGTTTTTGAGATTTGTCATATCTTGTTGTTGCCGTCCCCCAGGAAGCTGTCAGACGGTCTGTTTCTGAGAGAGTGTACGTCGGTGGCTGAGGGCTATCCCAGCATAGAGTTTAACTCCATGATCATTGACAACTGCTGCATGCAGGTGAGAGAAGAGGGAGAGGGGGGGAAGGGAGGGAAAAGATGGGCGAGGAGGATGTAGAGGGAGAGAAAGGAAATAGGTGAGTGTATAATAGTGGAGTAGGAATCGTATTCCTCACTTGTTATTCAGCACTACTAGTCACCGATGAGTGTCTTAGGATATTTCATTGTACATCAGTGGCCATCAGTACGTAGTATACAACTGAACAACAACAACAAGAATGAAAAGAGCAAACCCTCGGCGCAAAGTAACCCTCCTTGTGCATGCACACCGCCGAGGGTTAACAGAAGTGTAGTTGCTGCGTGTGTGGTGGATGGGGAAGGAAGGCAGACAGAATGAAGAAAAGTACCACATCACAGGTGATGTGTGTGCGGTCAAAGGAGATGTCAGTGGCAAGTCATCGTCCCATCCTTCCTTCACCGTGCTCCAACTTCCTTTCCACCACTCTCTCCATTTTGACTCACATCCTTTTACTATTGACCCCTTCCTATATACTCACACTCCACTGCCAGGCAACATCCACTCCACACTAAGACTGACCCATCTCCTTTCACACTTCCACTTCCTGCAACCACATCCACAAACCTTTATCTCATCGTCTCCTCTTCTTTCCACCACACACGCAGTGACATCGGCTCTTCCACTTGCTTTAACCTTTTCTTTTTTTCGTCTCCACTTTATGCAACATAAGGGTCAAAGCATTTTCCTAGCAAAGTCGTTTTAAAGACGTACTAATATGCTGTATATACAATTCTGGCCTTGGCATAATTATAATAGTACGGCTAGTGGGTTCGTGGTTTGATGAAGGTACGTGTATCAGCTAAGGTATAGCAAAGCTGTAGTTTTCGCAGGTAAAGTCTTGATCCGACACAGGACAAGTGTATAGTGGTCTACAACAGCAGTAGGTAAAGAAGGCTTATAGGCCGTGTGGGTCATTGGTAGGTGCTCTATGTTTGGACTGGGAGTGAATCACTGCCTGGGCTGGGAAAGACCCCCCTTCCCTTCTCTGACACAATTCCTGGAGAGTGTGGCCTGTACACCAGAAGCCGCTGCGCACCCCGGGCAACGACACTGTTGGGAACCGTTGTACCCACACGCAGTGTTACAGTGGAGGATGTTTGTGTGATAGTGCGAGTGTTGTGCAATGCAAGAGGGTGTGAAGGCTATGACATCATTGATACTGGCCACCTCATTGGTTAGGTTTCACGGTAGTGGCACGTATGTATTGTCAGTGTGTGTGATGCACACAAGATTGTAGGGGTTCATCTTTAATTGTCTCTTGCGTACACACACACACACACACACTGTCCAGTTGGTGTCCAGACCCCAGCAGTTCGACGTCATGGTGATGCCCAATCTCTACGGCAACATCGTCGGGAACATTGGGGCGGGGCTGGTGGGCGGAGCCGGGATTTGCCCCGGGAGGAACGTGGGGAGGGAGTACGTCGTGTTTGAGCAGGGGGCGAGGCACGTGGGGCTGGACCTGGCCTTCCAGAACGTGGCCAATCCGACTGCCATGCTCCTCAGCTCTGTACAGATGCTCAGACACCTCGGGTAGGTTGTATAATTATGCTGCATATACCCCACTTCTTTATAATGGTTTGACTGTACGTATTGTGCACCGCCAATCTTTCAGGGACTCGCCCTGCGAAGCATGACCTAAGCGAACTATGAACCTCTCTTCCAGTTACTTGACACTCAATGGTCCACTGCTACGGCTTGCGTGCCTCCAGTTAAGCAGCCAGGTGTCCTAGTTATACGTAGCTCTATGAACTTAAAGACACCTTATTGCCTCAAAGCATACCAGAGTCTAACCGATGGTTTACACCAAACCTGAGATAATGGTAGCGTGTGTATAATACTGACATCACCACCTCGTGATATTTTCCCGGGCGTTTGCAGTTAGGAAGCTATTTTCATGATCAAACAAAAGTGATGCCAGGTAACGGCCACCCCACCCTCCTTAAACATGTACAATGTAGGATTGTAGGTGGAAATAGGTTCCATTTAACACGAAGTGTTCCAGTGAAACCCTCTGTTTTGGGAATTCTGCTTTCGTGGTATACATACATACATACATACATACTTACATACATACGTAGCATGTGGGCCTGAGGAAATGGAACTGACTTGCAAAAGAAGCCTCCATTGGGAAGCTTACACGTACGTATAGCACTTTTCCTGTTAGGTGTAAACTTACTGGGAGCGTCTGTTACGTATATCCCCTCTCCCCTTTTCCTCTGTCCAGGAATCAGTCGCATGCCGATAGGATCGAGAGTGCCATATACAAAACTGTCAGCCAGCCCAAGGTCAGTTTATCGGCCCGCGCTCTGTTCTAAAAACCGCCGAAATTTTGTACTTTCTTCCGCTAGTCAAAAATATGTTATACATTTGTGTCAGTGTCCGTGATAATTATGTACCTGTCCTCCTAAACCGTGAGGTTATTGGCGTCACGGTAATTTAGTGTCCTATTATTGCTCTCCCTTTCATGCATGGGTTGTACGTATATACTACTGTCATAATTGGAATCCTACGAAGGGTCTTCTGATGTCGGTACAACCAAGAATTCTCATTCATTGCTTTCCCTCCCTCCCCTCTACAGACACCCTCACACTGTATAGTCAACCTTGCATAATAAAGGCTTTTGCTGGTTTCAGAATACCAGATATGTATTGGAGTGGATAGCACACATCAGTGCAGCTGGGCGACAGCAAAGTGTGCAACGCGTCGTAATGGGAGAGTGTGTTGGCATGCCTGTGTAATTATTGTAGGGGAACGAAGAGTGATAAATGCAGGGAACGGGGAACTCTTACAAGGCGAAAGCACGCAGGCGCCAGCACTGGGGGGGGCCCTGTAATTATTGGTGTCCTTGAAGTGGGGGTAAACGGACACCTGCCGCAGCGTTCCTGAATGTCGTTGTCGGGCTGCGAAGATGAGAAGAATTCCACTATCGTGCCGGGAAGTGAGGCGCTGCTGTGCTGTAATAACACACACTGACCACAACAACCAGTCTTATTTACATTCCCAGGTCCACACAGTGTAGTAAGGCCTTGCAATGACCAAGGAGTCAGCTACAATGTCACATGATAATAGGTGACTACCTTATTAGCTCCTATAGGGGTTGACGCCAGCCCGTGATACATAATTATACAGAGCTGCATGCATGTAGTATGTCAAATGTTTAATAATGGAATAGGTTTTCGTACATTGCATCACAAAAGTAAGGAGCTATGCAAGTTAACAGTCGCCTGCTTTGTAAATGCAAATGCAAGGACCTTAGTTAGAATCCTGCCAGCACCACAAATCTCTTTTTCCCATTATATTTGCTACTAACGCTGGCGGTCACACACACACAGAACCACACAAGGGACCTGGGAGGGACTGCGTCTACGTCAGCCTACCTCTCCTCCCTCCTCTCCTACCTCAAGAACGACTGAAGAAAACCCCATCGCAACCGAAAACCCCCAAAAAAAAACACAAACTCTCTCTTCGCCTTGTTCACTATCATTATTTTAGCCAAACATTCACTCCTTCGTGTGTGTGTGTGTGTTTGTGTGTTTGTGTAACACAACTCTCTATCTGTTCCACCTCAGTGCTAGTATTCAGTACTATCCTTACATTCTAGCAGTGTTTGTGTACCTTTATAGCCTCACCCTAGTGCTGTATAGTATCATTTTAGCAACATTCACTTCATGATGTTTACTGATGATAGTGGTGATGTAACGTCTCATAATAATTGTTGCTCAACGCATGAAACGTTACATCAAAAGACATAGAAAAAACAGCCGCAGCGAGTGGAACTGCATACGCCCACCTCGTACCCACACCCGTTCTTCCCCCTCTCTCCCGTCGTCCTGGCAACTGTCAGTTCGTGTGTGTGTGTGTAACCTATAGCGACAGTTGGACGTGTGGACTCACTGTTGTCCTTCACACTGTACACTTTCATTGGGCCTGGGAATCTTTACTAAGTACGTGCGGCTGCGTGTGCGACCGTCTTACTCGACTGCCGATTGGTACGCCTCGGAACGTTTACCGAATGTGTGTGTGTGTAGCGTGCTAATGTATACACTGTGTGTGCAAATATACACATAGGGTGAATCACTAGAGTCCCAACACAGTGGTTACGTGCTTATTTTCACTTGGATACACACACGGTATGCGTACCAATCAATAGCCTCAACAACACTCCTGTACACTGTTTATGGCGAAAGACACACACAGGATTTTTCTGTACTTTCTGTGTGGACACAGCCCCCTTTTCTCCGTCCCTAACATGCCCACATATCGTCCAGCAAGGCTTACAGTCACCGTATACCTACCTACACTTTGTGTTTTATCTTGAAATTTGAGCTGTGGATATAACAGTAAAAGTATAGTACAAAGAGTAAAAGTGTACTTAAAAAAACTGTTATCTTGGTATAATATATCAGTAGGTAAATCAATAGAGCTGGTGAGAAAAATACTAGGAGAGTAGAGAGGAGAGTTTGTCAATGGCTGACTGTAGTCTGGAGGCAGAAATGACCATCACCGTCCTAGTCTGTTGCAGGGAGTCGTCCTCGAAACTCCACCCACCACCAAACACCCTGTCGTCATTACTACCACCATGGCCGCCTTCACCGACTGGGTAGGAGAACGTCACCTCTGCTTCCTGCGTGGAGAGAGAGTAAGGAGGGCATGCACCGAGTTATTTTGAAAACCTAGAGGGGGAAGGAGGGGTGAATGATATCGGTAGAATTTAGTTTTTGGGAGGACAGCAATGACCAGCTTTCTCACTCACACGTATGCACATACGTACACACACACACACACACACATACACACACACACTAGGAATCATAGCTCTATGCTTAGTGGCCCCGACTTCTGAGTCACTACATCTGAGTTACAATAAGCTTTATCCTCCTTTACTTTAAATCTATTTGGAGTGTTTCCATTGGTTCAACCACGTCAAGCCAACTTGATCGGGTTCCACACAATCAACACTGTCTCACTGGTGTACCATCACACAACGATGTGACTGACTGGGGTGTCAGTGTTAGGAGAAGCCCGCAGTGCTGTCGGTACACAGATACAGACCCGTAAACACAGACGGAAGCACGGGGAGGTTTGGAGGGAGAGAATACAATCGTCGGTTGTGACTGCAGCTAAGCCCCATCCATGTGTGTGTGTGTGCGGACAGGTATGTGATGGTGGGCACAGTTTACCAACACATGACTTGCCACGCCTGATTCAGCAGCTCTGACCTAATCACTGAGAGTGCCGAGTGTAAGACGAAGGACCTTAGGCTTCACCACAAATAAACAGCGACGTGTAAGGCTACCCTGCCGCGGTGAAATCGGCCAAGGGCAAGAAGAATGATCAAAACAAGAGACAGTGACCACGTATCACAACACCAGTTGAGAGCTCGATATGGACAAGACAGGAAGAACGAACGGCCGAAGGTATGCGGCTAAATCTAATTTCGCCAAATTCCACTTCAGATTAACTCTTGCCATAACACGGCGGGAGTGTAAAGGCCATCATCATACACATGGCGCAACTCTGTTGTTGCTTTAATCGAAAGTGCCACACGCACCTTCAATGTATGGCTATGATGGGTCGGTCCATGCAACATGCACTATGCGATAGACAACACATTTTCCGTGCAGCTTTATTTGCAAGGGCCCATAATCCACACCTTGTGTAGTCGGGTGATTTTTGTCTCGCGGAGAGTTGCGCAGTGTATGTTGGCCCATAGACATCATTAGCTCCGACATGTGTCAAGTGTTGGAGCTATAACATCTATGGTTGGCCGTAACTAAAAGTTTCACCCCAAGGTACCGTACACACACCCACAGCACGAAAGGCTTTAGGCGTGGGTTCTCTGTGTGTATATATACTACTACGTAAAGCCTCAGTGTGTTTTCAATATGCTCCACATGTGAATAGAGCGCGCACATCTTTCCGGATTTACACACGGCAATAATGTCACAATTAGCATCACAGTGGGGCAGAACTATATATGCACAAAGGATTACATGCACCATATAGAAGCCGACGGAGAGGGGCTTCGAGCCATTGTGTACATGACATGTAACCACGTTGGTATGTTGACCGTAGGGGCAAATAATTATATAGCAGCTCCGCGAAAATAAATTTTAAGAGAACAAGGTTTACAAGATCCACCTTGCTACCCAATATAATTGACAAAGCAAAGCTACCCCCCTAATAATTTGCCATCCAACGCTGTCTCATGAACGTCACGTAGAGCAGTTTAAAGGTTGGACTTTTACTTGTGTGCACTCTTGAAATGCGTTGCATTCATTCTAGCATGCCAGTCGAGGGGCCTTAGAGAAGCGTGTGTTAGTATAAGGCTAGGTTCACAATAATTATGTCACATTGGTCCGTCGCGCCGTGCCGCGTTGCCGTGTCGCGAGGATAGACTCCATTTCTATCTTCGTGACAGGGCGCGACGAGCAATGTGTTACATATTGTGAACCTGGCCTAAGATACACCTTCAGTAATAGCGACTGATATCTCGTTTCTTCAGCTGCCTTGCATTGATGCTTGTTGGATATCCCTAGGCAACAGACATGTATGAAGCTAGGTACTGGGGGATTGTGTCAGCCTATACAATCCTACGTGTGCAAGCAGGGTTCATACATGTCATTTGCCTAGGGATATCACACAAATCTGTTGCAGTACCCAGACAGGACAGCATATACTTACGATGTCGGTCATCACAGTGGACAGAATGCTCTAGCTATGGAATTTTCAGGTCACACGCTATACTCCTGTGTGTCCAGTCAGTTGTTATTGCTCAAACAGGCCGCTCTTTTGTGCAAATTACGCATGAAAAGCAACTCAAACACTAAGAAATCCTTTGCCAATTGGAAACGTCGGGCAAAGGTTCGATAACCGTCCTACTTTCAGGGACCAGGGTGATATACGTGACCGGCTCTGCAATGCACAAACACCCGCAAACACTCACGCTCTTGATAAATCAACATAGTGTAAGTATATACACCGGTGCCCCCGAGGAGTGGTGTCGGAATATTCTGGTCGTCCTCACAGACTTTGGAAGTGTCAAAGTGTGTGTGTGTGCAAACATGGAATAGTTTCGAGATGAGGCATTGGGACACACACTCCCTGCGATCACTCCTCAAGAGCTGGTGAGCAGGAAGACCTATATACTGTGGAATGATGCCCTGTTAGTTTAGAAGACCACCTGGTGCTGTGTCTGAGGCAATTAATGCAGAACTCTTACATAATAGATCAGCAAATCTAGGTCAGCCTGGGTAATCAATGCTTGAACTCTTAGGTTGATCTCTGCAGAGCATTTTTTTAATTTTTGTGCTAACAGTGTAATTTCCTGGAAATGGAATGACAGAACTGACACAAATGTGTGAATTGATCCACTCTGGAATTTTGGTACAGAGGTTTCAAGTCTTTCCTATGGTGGAGGTCATGAGTGTACATCCACATTGTCATCGATAATAGTGCGTGACCTTTTGAGCATTGTTTTGCATGTAGGAAATTGAACTGACACTAATCTAACGTGTGTCTGGACCTTTCACGTGGAGGTCGATCCACATCCTCCTTCACTTTGAGAGAATGTGTGAAGACCAGCTCCTTTCTGGATGGGGTTGTGGCTCAGTACGTAGTGCGCTGGACGCCCGGAATGTTCCCGCTATAATTATCTATATATACAGCTATGACCGAGTTTTTCTCACCTCTTGAAAAACCTCGTACTCCTGGTTATGTAGCACACAGCTGGAGGACGGTGATGATGTCGTCGTGGTTCCATTCTCCACTCCTCTCACTGCAGTCTGAGTCGTTTCTTCTCCCTCCTCCCCCCTCTCCTCTCCTCCTCCTCCCTTTCTCCTCTTCTTTGTCAGCGGCGGGGAACCCAGAGGAGACGGAACGAGGTAGGACCGAGCAAGCAGCAGATAATTCTCGAAATCATACGGTAGCCCCTGTACCACGCACAATGCGTATATACAATTGTGCGTGTGAGGAGGTATAGATTACAATGCTCGTCCCTATAGTACTAAGTACTACCGTACTTGTGATAATTTCATGTGTGTAGGAGGACGGATCGATACAGAGAGATTCGGGGGGAAATTCCCAGAGGCACGCACGGAGCCCGACAGCCACAAGAAAGAGAAAGTAGGAAAACCAAATTTCAGCATGGGAGGGATGTTGTGGTGGACGTGTGTTTGTGTTAGCACGTCTAGTTACCTTCCCGGAAGCCTCTTTGACTTCGGACCTGTGGAAGGAAGAGTGGTGAGCAGTGTGGTAACCCTGCACCCTTGATGCCCACCCCAAGCCTCTCTTAATGCCAACATACACCGGGCAACTCTGTTGCTTCAACAAAAGTTGCAGCAACTTCCAAACCCATTGGGATGATGCCTGGGCACATCATACCAATACTTTGGAAGTTTTTGTTGAAACAACGAAGTTGCCTGGTGTATGTTGGCATTGAGACCACCCCTGTATGGGAGGGCACCCGTCTAATAAGGACACCTATTCTTTCCTCAAGAATAGCAATTTAACTAACTATTTTTCTGCCCCATTACAGTGGGACACCCTCTCTAAGACCATCTCTGAAATGAGGACACACTTTCTTCCCTCAAGAACAGTTCTGGCCTGCAATTTAATAAGGACACCACACTACCTTACTGTCCCGTTGGTGTCTTAATTAAAGGGTTCCACTGTAGAATATAACATGACAGTACAACGGTATATACGTACCTAGTCTATGTTTTGAAAATGGAATGCCTGCCGTAGTTTGACTTTCTGAGAAACTCGGTTACAATGCGGAACTTTAGCGGTGCGGTGCCTTGTCCGAACCTCTCCCCAACACTCATGACTCTTAAATTTCTCCTTCCCTTTCCGTAATTGGCCTTCCCAAGAAAACCCGAGTGTGTGCACATTCCGAGCCCACTGCTGCAGTTTGGAAACCTTGTCCGGCAGCTTCAAACCTCGCCCCGATGTTTTGGTAGCGATGACAGGTTAGTGATATACCAGTGTCACAGGTTTTCTTACAAACACACACACACGGTTAATAATCCCAAGAGTTTTAAGTTTCATCACATAATATACGAACAGGAATGTTGGATAAACGAGGTCTCGAAGAGGAGAAGGCCAAGTAAACAAAACGACAGCTCTCGAGCTGTCATGGGTGGGACTCAAACCCACGACACTCTGCAGTTAGGTGGTGGTTCAAATCTACAACACAACACAAGACACAGGCGAACATGCTTTATGCATACACACACACAGATACCCCACACACACTATGCACACAGATACCCACACACTCACACACTATGCACACACTCACACACAAATACCTGCACGTCTCAACAACTTGGTAACGAGGTAGAAAGGCAAGGCAAGGCAAACAAGTCAACTACACCCAGGACAGCATGCACGCCCACACACACACACACCTAAAGGACCCCAAATTGCCTGCTCAAGTCCGCAGCGGAATCATCACCACAACGTGGAGGCTTTTCGGCGACCTCCCAGACTCCCCATTCGCATCACACAGCCAGCTAGAACTGACCTAACCCGAACAGCATGTGACAGCAAGTACCACAGGGGGTGCATGCACCTTAACTAAGTATCTGACCAGGAAGTTGGCTGGAATTTTCACAGAGCCGTTGCTGGCATGCACCTGCACAGCTGTTGCATTAAACATAGACTCTGCACCGTTCCTTCTGTGGGTCATTTGGACAACACACACCCACCTACTGGTATATAGACTGTTGCTAACAGTCTTTGCCGTGTTAGTACGTACATATACACTTCTAGCTAGCATAAAACTTCTGACTCTATACATTTGAACAGTTGTTGGTAACACAGTTTAGACTCTCTCTAAGAATATCCCTCAAAAAAATTAGGACACCTCTTTAACCCTCAGCAAGCCATGGGCATATATATGCCCAGAGCCTCCATAAGTGCATAAGAATTTATATACGGCTATAATACTAGGCGTCAATATGTTATACATCGATTTCTGCTTATTTAAGGAGATATGGCGTTCAAAGGGTATTCTTTCCCTAAGAACAGAAACAAATGACACCTCACTAACGTGGACACTTCTACTGTCTGGATTAGAGAGGTTCCACTGTAATCGTTGAGTCAACAAGAGCAAAGTGGCCATGGTAGAGTACCATCCACCTGTTTCCAGGCCCTAAGCGATCTCTCCACTTCACGCGTCCTTCAGTCAGTTTACACAGTGCGACCATTACCACCCACTCTTTACGTTCCAGGCCCTGAGCGATATCTCGCCACACCACTTCACACAGGACACTGCTCTGCCCACACCAAAAACAACCCCACCACCCACTCACTGCATAACGCAACTCACCTGTCACCCACCTAGTTACCTATTAGTAACCTTCTATAGTACCTTCAGCATCTGAGAGTATATACACCCCCCAGCTAACCAGCAACAGTCATTCCCAACTCAGCCCCAGAGACAACCACTTCCCAAACCCCAGGCAGTAACTACATACCACACACATGGTCCCAGGGCATACATACCTGAGAGTGTGGGTGGAAAACAAATCCCACTTTCACATTTCAAGAACAGAGGTCGTAAACACTATCGTAAAACCGTATCATATCAATAATAATGTTTTGTACGACTTGTGTTGCCGAAAAAAAGGTATACGGTGATGAATAATTATATACGTTTCACTTGTTCGCTTCTCCATATCCAACTATACACACTTCGTATCGTTGACCAATGTGAGATAAAACACCGTATGTACCAACAGCCAAGTCTGACCCAAATATCGGGCGGTGAGGTGGCGCGTGCCTCCAGGGCCTGCCTAGAAACAAAACGGGTTCTAAATCCACACACACACACACACAGGCCTACCTGGAAGTAAGAGATGTGACCACTCTACAACTGGGTGACCACAAGGCACCTTACCTCACACCAACACCTCTCACTGCAGTCATCGGGCCTTCTGTCACCCGCACTCTGTACGGAAGCCCCAGACCCCTACCCACAAAATGGCCACCACAAGAGGGGATCCCTCTGTTGCCATGGTAACAGTGACACCCTTTCTCATATGTATGTATCCGTTTGTACTGTATATACAGCACACACACACACACACACACACACCTAGGGATTGAGTAAGGTTTGTATTTGTAAGGTTACCCTCTTTCTAGTGCCGAAAGTAGTAAGTACCCAGTGCCCCTATATGGTGGTATGTATGGCGACTGTTGTGCATGTCAACCACAGTGGTCTATGCAAAGAATGTCCGCACTGTGCATCGTCGGCAAAAAGTTTGACTATGAGATTGTTAAGTATATAGGCTCACAGGAGTGATTTCAGAAGAGGTGGTGCCACATGGGGAGGAATGTTGAGGTAGCGTTCATTGATCACGAGACCCACGTCACCACAGTTGCTGCCGCTGGTTTTGGTGGGCGGAGCCAGGAGCTGGGAGAGCCGAGGGTGTTCGGAGGGAGAGTGTTGCTTACATTGGGTGAGCAGATGGTCTGTCAGCGACTGCACCGCCTCGTTTGACTGAGACACACACAGAGAGGGAGGGAGGTACGAGACAGGTGGGAATATATTGAGGAAGGAGGTAGATAGAATATTTCTATCAGGCCACATACAATAGAAGAGAGAGAGGGCGGGGGGAGGGGGGAAGAGAGACACAGAGAAAGGGGGAGAGTGGGAGCCTTATTCCAAGCTCCAGTCACTTTACTCAATAAACCTAGGACAAAAGGGGGAGAAGAGAGAGGGTTGGGAGAAGAGGAAGAGGGCAGAGAGAGAGAGGAAGGCTCACTCGGTGGTGGGTGAGGTTGAGGACAGAAGTCACTCCACACACTCCTCCCTCCCCCTCATCATCTTCCCCGTCTTCACAGCTGGTGCTCGGCTCTCCGTCCTCCCTCACTTCCTCCGCGGCGTTTTCGTCCCCACCACCACTACCTTCCACAAGGTCACTCTCCACCTGCGCAGGTACGGACGGACACACTCTCACGGGCCTTGAAATCCAGTACACACAGCGCGCGCACACATCAAACACACGCAGTGGCAGGAAGCCCGTCAGTCTTACTCCACAGTGTGGGTGCTAGTCAACAGCGCTGTTTACTACTGTAGCTACCTGAATCACACTTCCAATTCCATCTTGTGCTAAGAGGAGTTGGGTTAGTCCGTACACAGCCACACTTCCCTTCGGCAGGAGCTGTACATACACACAGAGAACGAATGGAGAGCATTAGGTAAGGAGAGAGAAAGAATAGACAGAATAAAGAGTTGGTGAAGATTTTTGGTCATAATTATGGATGGGGAGGGAGTCTCTATTTGAAAAATGGTGGCTAAGGTTTCAGATGTTGGTCAAATAGTTCATGCATCAAAGTCCGTGAGGCTTCTCTCCATTCCAATATTATATCTGTTATTGTACTCTCACACACTCACAGGGCCAGCAGGTATTAAGTGTGCTCTCAGAATGGAACTTTGATTTAAAGTGGGTCATCGATCAAATTTCTGTTCCACTCGTTGTTATGATAGTACCGGCTAACCTATGAGCATTACACAATTATTATATATACAGTTTCACCTGCTGCAGAAGACACTGGATAGCTGGCCCGTTTTCTTCCGAAATAGGCCTCACTTCAAATTCCACGTTAACTTCCTGCAGCAAAGATTGCAGGGATTCACATTTCACTCAACATCAACTCTAAAAAACTAAAGCACGACTCGTTTTTGCTGTGCCACCACAAGGGCGCCCTGACACTTAATGCTCCTTAGTGAGGGAAGCAAGAACACGCTGTGGGTATGGTATATACTGTATGAGTGGAAGGAAATGTAATAGGATAAGTGTGCAAGATAAAAGAAGTGTTTTATTGAACAAAGTGAAGTTCAGTGTCAGGGCCAGGGGCACACAGCAACACACACACACGCAGCCCTACCCCTAGTTTGTAGCCGACCAGCTGTATCCTGTTCAACAACATAGTCCCAAATTATCAAACATTCTGGTTTGTATCGTGGATGTTTAAACAAACAGTACTGACTGCAGAGAGGAGAATCAAACACACCATAGATGGGTCAAATTCTGAAGAGGATCCATCATCTTCTTCATTATCTTCCCCCTCCCCACTCAGGCTACTCTCACTGTCTGACTCGCACCCCTTCACCCTAGCTCCTTCCTCCTCCTCTTCTTCCTCTTCTTCCTCTTCCTCCTCTTGTCGTCTACGACGCTTCTTTACTGAAGACATGACGACCTTTAGCACGCGAACACGTGGGTAGCAGTGCGTTTAGGTTACGCAACGTTTACGGTGTGCGCGGTTTGAAGGCGTGAGTGTGGATGAGCGAGAACGCTGGTTCAAGATGGATGCCAGGAGAGGTGGTTGCGTGGTGATAGCTGTCTGCCTTCTCTTCGCCGCGACCTGCGGCTACTGCCTCACCTCCTGCTTTGGCGAGGATGGAAAGGTAGTCGACCTTTGACCCTTCTTCCCAAACACCCACAACTTTCATACTGCTGGTGTGTTGGTGGCAAAAAAACGGCCAAGTTTGAAGGAATTGCTATTTTGAGAGGTAGTTTTTTGCATGTAATATCCTGATTGAGTGCCAGGATAGATCACATTTTTTTTGTCGGGGCAAGCCATGTAGCATACCACAGTACAACAGCGATAAGCGTGAAGCCCAAAAGATCTCCAAGGCTAGTCCAACGAACTTGCGCCAAGAATCGTGCAGTGCTGCGAAGAAGTTGCGTCTTGACATGCACTTTTTATATAGACACTAGACACACACATATATAGTACTGTATGTCTGGATCCCAGAGCTCATGGACGTGCATGCAAGATTGTAGTATTGCTTCCGTAATCAACATTACGGTATGGTAGAGCTCCCGCTTGCAGATTAGTCCACGAAGACCGCCAATTGTACATCGTACTCGTGGGTGTGGCTCCACAGGAGTGAGTGTGTGAATGTGACCACAGAACTGATGAAAGAACATGTTTACAAGAAACCGAGCCTTTTACTTCTTCAACGTGTGCGCCCGTTGCGTGCAAGTGATGCCTTTACTGAGCCCCTAAAAGTCCTCACTTCACCACCTCAAAGTATAAAGGTGTATATAGCTAGACAGGAGGTAAAAGGTGGAATGCGGGTATAATAATTTTGGGAATGAGAAGGTAATTTGTCTCATGGGTCCAGGAAGTGTGGATCCACTGGTTATAGCATACTCCTGCACCCTATACATAGAGACTGTACGGCCAGTAGCTGGACAGGGCACAGGGGAAATTGAGACCAGAGACAGGATAAGGTCTTTGTCTTGGTGCATCCTGTGGTTATTTGGCCTGTGTGCTAAACTGAAAGGGCACGGCACGCACACAACTATAGTATAGACCAGCATGTGGCAAGACACAACAACCATCATTTTGATGAATCCATGCGACAAAAGTTAAGTGTTATCTGTGTGCATCCAACATGTTGTATGTATCTGTTTTGGACTCATCCTACCCATATAGCATGAGACTTTCACTGCATATTACTATTGATAGTGTGTTGCCTGGTATGCCCCACTTTCGGCCGGTAAGGCTCTCTGTTGACAGTGCAGAGTTTGGTTATAATCCTGTTAGTGCGCGACACACCAAAAATGAATCCTTGTTCCAGTGTTATTCTACATGTTTGTTATACACTCGCCGTGTGCTATGTTATAGTTGCAAGTAAAACACTGGCTGTTTTTATGGTCTGAAGCTCTAGAATTGCGGCTCAGTTTGTTAGAGCCCAGGGGGAATTAATATTCTGTGTTGTTTGGTTTGGGTCCAACTGTCTGAGGGACTCGTCCGTGGCTGCTGGAGTATAGAGTATTTGAACAAACCATCCGTGTTTCGTATTATTGTAATTTCTTTGTTCGCAGTCACGTTTGTAAAATCTCTCTGAAATAGAGCATCAGATCTGTTGAATGCTAATACAAAGAGGAAGCTACAAGTGGAAGCTTAGCTAAGTGAAATCTATGCAAGAATCCGAGGAATGTTACTTTATTCAAATCATGGCTCTTGCAATCCAAACACGACAGGTGCGCCATAATATAATTGGAGAGCTCAATTACCGTTCAACTGCGGCTTTCTGCCGGCACGAAAAGCAATAATGAAACCCAGTGTTATTCAACTGCTGGACAGTTTACTAGGAACTTCCTCTAAGGTTATCCTCGGCTAATCACAACTTCCATATTGACACAAGGCAAATACATTTTAGTGATACCCACAGATTTTATTATTTTTAATGAAAGAGCGTCCTGGGTGGGTCTCGCCACCACAACACTCTCTACGCAGAACGCTCTTCCTCCTGCGGTGGGACATTTTTGTCTGACTCCTTTGGACCATCCTACGTAAGAATGTATGACTTCAGCCTACATTCACAGTTGCAGAGGGCTACATGTGGACATATTCTTGATGGAAGATGCTTAGATTCCTTCAGGATTTCTTCTAATAGAAGAATTTTTTGTGGGCGTCAGTTCTGCACATGTGATTAATGGCCACACATCCTGGGAGGAAGCCTGGACAATGACCTTCTCTCTCTTCCAAGTTCTGTTGCAACTTCGAATCTGACTGACTCTGAATTCCGTTTCACATTCTCTTGAAGGCTTCGTACAAGGTCACCTTCTCCTTGCTCCAATGATGTGTGCTTCAGTGTGCATGCAGAGCGAGGCGGCGTGTGTGCACAGCAAGGGTTATGGTCTGTGTCTGTCGGCATGTGCAAAGAGGTGTGCAAGGTTTAAGTTTGCAGATGTGTGAAAATTCTGCCGGAGCCTGGAGGTCCGATACTTCGGCTGCTGGTTGTTTGTCACAACAGATGTTGTGTTTACTGTTGTGTGTGTGCCCCGATGGCCTCTCGCTCCGCACTCATCTAATTAGGCTCGTATCATCATCGTCTGACAGGGGGCTCTGTGGTCGTCTCGGGCCGGGCCGGGCATTGCGCTCGGAATTCACCGGTGATGTAATGGTCTGTGGCAAGCAGTGGGGAATATTGGTGTGTGCGGTGTGACTTTAGATGAGAGAGAGACTCGGGCACCGCCTGGCTTCTGTGTGGGGAAAGCAAAATTCCTCGGTCTGCTTTCTGCTATATCACCCGTTGCTGCCCAGTTGTGAAAATGTTTTTTTTGTTAGAGTTTTCGTATAGCCCACACCTAGCTCACGGTGGCGCAAACAAGTCGATTTGTCCGTGTTTGAAGCGATGAGCTCTTGTTTTCCACAGAGCCTCATTTACACCCCCTCCTTGTCGCTTTAGCCACTGTGTCTCTAATTGTGATCCGTTTTTCTATGTGGGGCCAATCCCGTGTAAGTGTATGCGTCCAAACAATGACATAACGGCGGCAGTGATAATTCAATCCGTATCTTTCTCTGTAACTGTAGATAATTATCAATGGTTCTGGGGTGCGGTTCCGATATTCAATCTGGCCCCGCACCCTTGTGGTTCTGTGATCACGATTCTGGCCTTTCAGCATTCCTCTGTCACTCACTTACTACTCACCCTATTGCTGGTTGTTAGTGAGGCCTTATTAGCCACATCCACCGTTGAACCTTGGTAGCCAGTGGCTTCCTCATTTCTACCTCCCGGACCACCACTTAGGTATCATTTGATGTGGCAGCTCCGTGGGAAAAGTTGCAATATCCTTTGCCTGGTGACCGTGTCTCGTGGGTGCACGTACAGCTCTGTGTTGCATCACCGACCAGGTAGCGTGCTGGGGTGTAAGACCACCCAGGGTTGTGTGTATGTGTCGCGAGACGTGATAGTTATGACACAGGATGGGATCTTGTCGTGTGTGTGTCTGTGTGTTGTGTGGTGTGTCCTATCCTATACCGTGTTTGATTGGTCTAATATCGTATAGCGTGTTTGTGTCCTGATTGTATATACAATGTGTTGTATAAAATCAAGAGATGGCTCTGCCGCGTACCTGTGTACCTTATTTGCCTTTTAGGTGGCCACAGTCTGCCCACGTTAATTGTGTTTGAGATACTACAATATTATACTAGCGAAATGGAGTTTAAATATCTGTTTTCTGATTTGGGTCTGTTTGTGTGTAGCCTGCCTTTTGGTATGGTCTGTTTGTGTAGTGGAGCTGCATGACTGAGGAGCATACACAGGAAAACCATCGGATGAAGCCAGTCCACCGTCCATTGTATGTCTTCCCTTGTGAGTCGGCCTTGAATCATCTCCCAGCACCTTTCATCTCCTGACCCGACTTAGGGAACACTGGGTAGACCATTTGCAGTGAGGAAATGAGTCCACGCACAGCAAAACTGTGTGCCCCTATCATTATCATCCACTGTCTGCGACTTTGCCTGCCTTCAGGCTATGACAGGCTGGGGAATGGAAGTTCATTGGGTCCATTTGTCTATAGCTATAGACAGTCCCTGCACTTTCACAAACCACATCGTATCCAAAGCGATCTTGTGAGCCAAATTAGAATGCGGGTCAAGGGTTCAGTATTTCCTATGGTAGAGGCTCACCCACAGCAACAAGTGTGAACAATTATTAATGCATGCTGCTGTTTCATTCTTGCAGCTTACTACAACAATGTTAGTGTGTCAGAGTGTGTAAGGGTCCATCTATACTTAATATGTTCACAAAGAATGGTGGGAGGTTGCTGATACAGTGCAGACAATCCTGATTGCAAGCCTTAGGCACAATATGTCGCATTGCCCCGTCGTATCGCGTCCTGCTGCGAAGATAGAAATGGAGTCTATCCTCGCGACACGGCAACACGACACGGCGCAACAGGGCAATGCGACATTATTGTGAACTTAACCTTATACTCATCGGACACTGTGTTGTTGTTCAGGCAGTTTCAAGGACACAGTTTTTCAACAAAGGAGTTCCATTTGTGTGCAGCTCCAATTTCAGTTGAAGGCAGAGCAGCAGTGGTGCAAGTGCACCGTATCACTGCATGTTTTGAATGCCATTGTTGGTGGCTTTGATACGCAGCAGCCCTTTCTCCAGAACCATTTCCTGGCTTTGGGAATTCAAATAGTGAATGAGAGACCAGGGCACTCTGCAGGTGTAAAAGGACCCTGGTTCTGCGAAGTGGTCCAGGGCTGCTTGCTTCTCGTCACCTATATACCTATATAGCAAACCATGGGCTTTTTAGAACGTGTGGTGATAGAGTGGCTGAGTGATGGTATTGTGGGGTGCTGCTTTAATTGTGGGACGAAAGCATTACCCCTTTGTTGGTTGGGGTGTGTTGCTAATTGGTGTGGTCCGTGGCACTCCGCCCCCTCAGAGAGCCCCAGACAGTTTCTAGGTTTACCTGTGGCTGGAAGGTGATACTACTGTCCCAAAGGATGTGGCTCAGAGTACTGCACCTACCTGTTGTGGTATTATAGGAAATTGGACATGCCGAACCTGGCCTGTGAAAATGTTATTGCACACACACACACACACACACACACACAATACACACACTATTGATATGCACATTTTCCTCTGAATCACATCAGTTGTGTTCCTCTCTCGCTGTATGTATACCCATGGTAGGAGGGGGGGGGGGGGGGTTGGAGGGGTTCGAGGGTAAGTGAAAGGGGGGAGGGTGGGAGGGAGATGGTGGGGGGGGGAAATGAAGGGGGGTAGAGGTTGCGGGAGAGACTAGGGGAGGGTCCCAGTGGTGGTTAGTACAAGACGGTGGGGCAATGGGGAGGGGGAGGGGAGTCGGGGAAGATGAAGGTGTAGATTCAGAGCGCTGTGGCGAGGATATGGAGGGGACAACAGGCGAGGTAAGGGGGGATAACCCAACGGGCAAGAAAGTAAGCGGTGCCATAAGTTAGGGTCAATAGGCCTAGGGGAGCTGCCGCGCCACGCCACCGGCGCGCATCTGTCAGCTCCAGCCCTGTGCTACTACGGTCTGCTGCTGCCCCAGCTCCTGCTCGTCCTTGGAGCCTTCGCTGTGGTCAACTGGATTGGACTCAAATTCTTCATCCATAATTGAGGAAGAGGTCCCGCCTGCTTCCTGTACACCTCATCCTCTGCACACTGGGCCCCAGAGGTGCTAAGTGCCCTCTAGAATTACATCACCAACTGTCAGCTTTAGTGGATGAGTGTGGGTGCACAGCACTTCTTTTTTCACTCATGGGTGTAGGATCAATGGTACTGAACTGCTATTCCAGTCCTTTCAGCAACATGTATACTTAGCTAAGTGTGCTACTTTTGAATCTCTAAATGTGCAACTGAACAACATTTTCTGCTCATACTGTATATGAATAAAAGAAAATGTGCGTCATTGGTAGTTCCATTTGTACATTTTTACTGTCCCAATTATTCCTGTAGTGCGTGGGTTATTAAAACGGTAGCGGAGATGACGGTTTACTATTCCAAGAAAACACCAGATGGTTTTATTGTTCCTGGAATATTGAGTAGGAATCAGGACATCAAAGGGATAAATAATGTCCGTTTTGTGGTTTGCCTCTTGTGTCTTTGACATTTCCTTGCCCCTGTGATCAGTGCTGACAGCCTGACGCCCCAAAGCATGCAGACTAGTAGTAGTGTGGCAGACATCGTTTAAAACCACAACGCTGATAGTGCTGCAAACGAAATTTGTTTTGTTGTGGTTTTTTTGATGAGAAAGGAGGTGGAGCAGCTTAGGTTATAGTGCTAGCTGTATGTAGTAGTAGAGGATACGGGCAGTTGCCATTACAGACCCGATTTCCTGTCTGGCATCCCCCACCGCTAACCACCAAGTCCCAAACATGGACATCAAAGCAGTCTTGCACCGGCAATTAAAATTGCTTAATAGTACAGCAATTTGGCCCTGTATAGTTACTGGTACACAAGTCTGACATCAATGTATTGGTCCTGCGATGACCACAATGTATACGTAATATTGCCTGGAGCAAGTTGATTTGCATGGTAGATAGGAAATGCTGAAGGAAGTTTTTTTTGACCTTACATAGCAAAATCCAGAGAATAAGTTATTCGCATATATATATATAACTAGGTGAAGGGTGGTCTGTGTCTGTAAGGGAAAGGCTAGAAAGACACACGATAACATTGACCGGCTATGTAGTAAGTGTCACCCTGGATTGTATATACTGGCATTGGTAGTGTTTCCACTGGCTGTAAGTTAATACTTTCTTGAGAAACACGACGAAGTTTTTGAAGTGCCCGCAATGCTTCTGACAATATCGATGACCGGTTGTTTGTAGTGTGTGGATTACTCTCGTACGCCTGAGCCACATCAGAGACACTAAAACATGTCCGTGTTTCCATGCTTTCCTCCTCTCTGGTAATGATCCCTGCTTCTTTCCTGTGGCTGCCCCAGGGCTGAATCCCTAGCTGGCTTCACTCTCTTGCTCTCGTTCTTGCTAGCTATCTATAGGTCTAACAGTTGTAGTTTGAGTATAAGCTGCAGATAAATCAATGCTGAGCTGTTTCATGGAATATTTTATACGAACGATATTTTTATCCACTGGATTGTACAAGCTGCGCATTTTGCTCTGCGCATTTTGCTCTGCACATTATAGCTTGCATGCTCAAAGTCTGCAGATGCAGGCTGGGGTGTTTGCAACCTGCTAATGCAAGCTGTGATTATGACTGTTGCTGATAGTTGGGGCCTTTTGCAGCCCTTTCGTCGTGCATGGTGAACTATAAAACTGCATCTAGACCCTAGCTGACCGCACAAAAGAGCGAGGGACGTTTCGAAGCACTTGCAGCACCAATTTTTATACTAAGTGGACGCGGGCCGGAAAACTAAATAGAAGCCCCAATACACAGGAAGTGCAGCATTTGGTATAAAGTGTGCAGCCGCGACCTTCGGAACAGTTGCAGAATCGAGCTGATATCCTAGGCGAACAACGCGAGCCTCAAAAATGTTAGCCGCCACGTACTATCAGAGTCCTCCTCCGCCGGCCTACGGAGTCAACAAGCCCGTCCAGTACTACATGGAGTCGATGCCAACCTCGAGCCTGTTCTACACATGTGCAAGGTGCGTTCGATTGTGTTGTTTCACCGAAGCCATCCACCTAGCTAGTTTTGAAAACTTGCCGATTAGCAAGAAATTTACCATGTTGTTTTTTCTCCGCACAGGCCTAGCATATTCCCGACACAGTCGCCAGTGCACCATGCCATCAATCACTCGGGTGACATGGCCGCCCAGGCACTGATCAGCCTGCAACAACCTGTCATTCACAGCTCTAGCCCGCCCCCGTCCGACGGCAGCTGCGGCATGTCGCCCGTAAAGTCTGAGACAGGAGCTGATACTCCCCCCGCCGCTTGCTCGGGAGCAGGAGAGTCGCGCACCAGCACCTCTACGGACGCAGGATACGGTGGTTCGCCTACCGCCGGAGTCCCCCTCTGCCCTGAGGAAGCCAATTATGGCTACGCGGACAACGCCTCGATGTACTCCCCGAACACCCACACGCTGCAGCAGAGCGGTGGCCTACCCCGCCCCCTCGGCTACTCCACCGCTTACTCCCAACCGTACAGTCCCCTCCATTACGCCTCTCCGCCGCCTCCTCTCAGCATTTCCTGCAGCCCCGTCATAAGACCCGCGAGCAGGGACCCCTTTCCCCGTACCAACTCGTGCCACATCTGCGGAAAGACGTACGCGCGGCAGTCGACGCTCAAGACGCATCTCCGCTCGCACAACGGCGAGAAACCGTATCAGTGCTCCATCTGCCAGAAGGCCTTCACCCAGGCCGCCAACCTCACGGCCCACCTCAGGACGCACAGCGGCGAAAAACCGTTCAAATGTCCCGTCTGTCAGCGAGGTTTCTCGCAGAGCAGCTCCGTCACGACGCACCTGCGCACGCACTCGGGCGACCGACCGTACAAGTGTAACGCGTGTGGCAAGGGTTTCGCCGACAGCTCCACCCTCACGAAGCACTACCGTACGCACACGGGCGAGAAACCCTATCAGTGTAAGATCTGCGATGCTCGGTTCTCCCAGTCCGGGAACCTCAACCGCCACATGCGCACTCACAGGAATCACTTTCCATCTCAGGCAGCACCGCAGCTAGCCTAATTTTGCCTCCGACAGTTTTTTCAATGATAACTATGCACACACATCACTCTACCTCTTTCTCCTCCCTTCTCACTCACCTTCATCATGATCAGCTGCAGGTCATAATTCTGGAACACAGCCATCCAACCTAATCTTATAATGCTCAGTTTTCATCCAATTTTATTTCTCTTTTCCCCCACTTTTTCATCATCACGGGTATTATGTAAACTTTAGGTAATTATACAACACAGCCCTTTTCACATTTGGATCTGATTCAGTAAACTTTATTTAAAGAAATCATTTTTATCGTGATCACACTTTTTATGGTAATTTGCATTCACAATTTTTGCCAGTGACAACAGGTATATATTAACTTTACAGGCACACTTGCATATTTCCTCAAACGACATTGATAACGCAAATCCAAAACAGAAAAATCATTTGGGGTTTCCTTCCAACATCAATCAGGAGTGAAGCCACTATGATTATTAAGGCAGGATGCATCTCATTTCAGTCAGTATAATAATAGTGTTGAAATAATGCAACCCTTTAGCTAGCTAAAAAGTAGTGACTGCGATCATGCATCTGGAAAATAATTCATATATCGGTAGCTATAATATAGAAACCATATGCAACATGAATATATATCACATGAGCATAGACAAGGATTATAAATAATAATTATAGCATGAGACGAATCATGTTATAGAGTCGATAGCACTGTGCTTGATATATAATCCCATCCTGTTGGCCCATCAGGATTGGCGCCAGTCAACCATGCTCTAGCTGATACCCTTAGGAAACGAATAGCTATAGCTACAGTCCAGTCAGGGCACGTTAATGTTCCTGCCCATTATTAATTGTCGACTTCGTCCTGTTTCTCATAATAGATCCGCACTGTATTGAAAGACAGTCTCTCTTTTGCAGCCAGTGACAAACTGCAGGAGGCTTGAACCTGTTATCACAGCACAAACTGTATTCATGTGTCAGTGTGTAATGGGTTCCAGCACAGTTGAGCAGCTAGGCCAAGGAAGTTGGGTAGGGTACAGTGAAATACCAAAATCTCTGTTTTTTTATCATCGGCCTCCTCCCACTTCCTCGCCGGGCTGAAATGTGGTCGTATGTTTCAGCTGCCCTTGTGCTCTGTTTACGTACTACCCTCCTGTGAATTTCTCAAAATTGTGTTTAGAAATCTTGAGCATAATTTCCTCTGCCCTAGCAGAAGCAACATGAACATCCCCGTCTCCCAGTTTACCATTCCAAGTTCAAGTAGTAGTAATGTAAGTTTTTCTTCTTTATGAGCCATGACCCTGCCAGAGACCGGAAGGCAGTTATGCCATGAACTGCAATTACTTTTGGGGCGGCTTTGGTTACGAGTGACCGATGCAGAAAGCAGGAGGTATTTCATACTAAAGCCTCCAACCCCATGCGTCTGTCTGTTCCATGGCCTCACTCATAATCCAAACGGCAGCAGACGACACGACAGGAGCAGAGCTTATAGTACACTATAATGAGATAGTGTTACCCCGGGGCACCTCGACCTGTCCCCAAGCACCTTGGCCTCCAGTTCCCCAGAAGACTGTGACAGTTGAATGCTGGGAATTTCGTCACAGCTTTCCCAAACACAGGATCAAGCACAGACCCAATAACTCACTTACCAAACCCAAATGTGATAGAAAAACTGAAGAGTGGACAGTTCCACATGCTCTCACGCTAGACACTTCTCTACTTGCATTTAACCGTGGGAAAGCAGGTACCATTCCATTACCATCACCGTGCACCTGTCTGCTAGAGCTACACAGGAGGCGTTTTGTTGCACAAGCCATCAACGACGTTACTACGATGGAATGGCCCCCCTTTTAGCGGCACTTTCATGACATGTCCCACGTGCCACCCTGTTCGCGAGCCGCCACTCGGTGGGTGGCAAACTTGCCAGCGGTCGCTTTGGAGCATATTATATACACAAGCTGGAGTCATAACGTGGATAATATGAATGAGGAGACATGAAAGAGTGTGAATCAGTTAGCTGGCTGAGGGTGTGCAGAGATGTGATTGACAGAAGAGACAGCTATTTGGAGATTGGCTACACAATAGGAAAAGGGCTCACTACACTATTAAACATACAAAAATAGAGATCCAAAATTTGGTACAAAAATATAATACTATCATGATACTTGAGAATGGTGGTTATATGGTCTTTATTATCAGAATGACATTGTATATTCGGATGAGTACTGAACTGGTTATAGCATAACACAAAATTTCACGATCACAGAAACACCAGTGCTGAGATGGATACCTATGCTTCTTACAGAGAGCATATTATAAACATAGCTTGGACAAGGAAGGAGAGGTGAAGAGAAAGATAAAGAGTAGAGAAAGTGGACCAATATTATGCTCAATGCAGTTTTTTTCTGCATATATGGTCGACTGAGGATACGCATGTATCGCTAGGCAGGGGGACGAAGAGTATACGTATTAACACATGAGAGTGGAGGGGAGGGGAACTGTAGGTGGTGGGGGGTGACCTGCTGTGTGTCTCTCACTGGCTGTTGTTGGTGTGAGTCTTCATGTGGCGGTGGAGGTTCCCCGACTGCGAGAACCCAAGATTGCAGACCTTGCACCGATACGGCTTCTCCCCGCTGTGGATCCTCTTGTGCTTGGTGAGAGTCGACGTGTCGGCAAAGGCCTTCCCGCAGTAGTCGCACCGGTACGGTCTCTCCCCCGAGTGCGTCCGGAGATGTGTTGTGACAGACGAACTCTGCGAGAACCGCTTCTGGCAGATGGGGCACGAGAACGGCTTCTCGCCACTGTGGGTGCGAAGGTGAGCGGTCAGGTTAGCCGCCTGCGTGAAGGCCTTGTTGCAGATCTCGCAATGATACGGCTTCTCGCCCGAGTGCGTTCGCATGTGGGTCTTGAGAGTGGACGGTCGGGCATAGCTCTTCCCGCACATCTGACAGACGTTGTTGCCCGACTTGGAGGGAGTTCTCTTGGGCCTGGCTGCAGCGGCGACGGCACCCGGGGAGTGGTGGTGGTCTGACTTGATGCTGCCGGGGGACGACCCGTCGCTCATGACCGCTCCGGCCACGGAGAAGGGGAGCATGTTGAGAGGGATGGGCTTCACGTCGTACTGGTGCTCCGGGAGACAGATGCTGGTGCGAGGAATGGAGTAGCCACTGATGGTCTCTCCGGGGGCGTAGGTCGAGGCCGAGCTCTGTCTCACGGCCTGCATGAGCTCCGGGCTGGCATCCGGTGGGATGACGCCGGACATGGCATTGGTGAAAATGGCAGGAGGTGTGGAGGACTCTGGAGTAGAGTTCCCGGTGGCCGACTTGAGGGAGATGAGCGCACTTACTGCATCCTGCTCCTGCACTGCTGGTCTGAAAGGAGAGAGAGAGGCGGGAGGAGGAAATAGCACAAATTCAACAGTGTTCTTTTCGTGTACAACTAGCACACTGCCCACACATATCGGGTGTTAGTGCGAGCATGAATATCGGATCAAGCGAAGCCCCAGCTCGTTCTGCAGCCCGCAGTCAAGCGCGGGAAAAGAAACACCTGCAAAAAGCTACTCCGCACGCAGACACTCCTACGAAGAGCATTAGCCCAGCTGTGCTTTCTTACAAGCCCGTTTGCAGTGTAGTTATCAGACAGTAAAGTAAAAACATGCACGAATGCGTAGAAACACAGCACACTCACTTGCTCTCGCTGAAAGGCACGTTCCCGTAGTGACCCGGAGCGTAGCCAGAGAACTCGAGTGACGGTGAAGAGTAGGACGGGTGGCCGCCGTTATGCACGAAAAACGGCGGAAAGTCTCCGCGCAGGCTCCGACCGGCAGCGGCGGCGAAGTACTGGTGAGTCATACCAAAGTGCGGCGGAGGGAACGGTGAGACAAACTGTGACGCTCCGCCGTCCGTCGTCATGTAGGCAGCAGGTGGATTCAGCAGTGTGGCACTGGACATGATCTGAAGCTCCCACAAACCGGGCGCGCTCTCGCACCAGCAAAGACAGTGTAGTTTGGAGGTAGTAGTTTTGTTTGTACGGCAGGCCGAGCGCGTACCCTTATGGCTTCCGAGAGTGTGGGGCTGAGGAAAGTTTATTCACAGAAGAGAAGGAGCGGGGAAAGGCACTTGCAGGTTTTCGTCCGACACGGTTGAGTAGTTCACTAAGGACTTTCCCTCCAAGGTCGCGTGTCGTCTGTGATAGGGTTTGCAGGGGCTGCTGTCAAGCGCCTTCTTCTTTCAAACGACTGCAGAGTCTCACGACTAAGGGCGAGGCGTAGGCTTCTGGCTTTATAGGAAATCTTTGCTGCACATTATATACACTGGGCTTTTCAACTGTCGCTCAGAGCGGCTCTGGAAATATTCATTAACGGGCTAATTCGCGACGCAGCGGGCTTCCGCTCATGCACCGCAAGCTATTATGCGCAGTGCAGCGTACGGCTTCCGAGCTAATGCTTAGCCAAGGAAGGTGTAGCTAAGGCTGGTAAGAGGCGTTCAAGTGCTCAGCTCATCAGCTGGTGAAGAATACAAGAGCGCGCAGCCACACGGACCCCATAGAGAGCCCATAGGACAAAAAACCAGGTCCTGTCGCTAAAAAAAATCCGTTTTTGGGTGCATGGTAAATGAGTGGATGCTAGAGTTTCAAAACCAAGCGGTGCACTGGCAGGGGATACACCTTGGCTAACTGAGAAGCCTTTTCAGCTCAAGCAAAGAGCTGCCTTCAAAAGGTTCTAAACACGCCACCATAGGAACCATTTGCAACCACAGCGCTTTGTAGTTTGTTGTCCTGAAACAGGGATTACAATGGCACTCTAATCCTTGCTTGTAGGCACTGTACCTAATGAACTGTTGTGGTGTTAAGCCATTGGTGTAGCGAAATGCAACTCTCATGTATTACACAACTAGAGGACTACACATGCTCTGCACCTACTACCTACTGGAAAGTAAGAGACACTTCTAAGAGATCGGAACAGTGGTTAGCTACGGTAAACAATAGCGAACAACACAGCCACTACACGCTGCCATGTCTTCTCTGCGGTTCAATTCACGTAGAGTGGGCAATTCTGCCTGTCGAATTACAGCTTGCATCTGAGGTGCCAACAATACATGCTGCCCTAATATCACACGATCACAATAGTATCGTATTGTAGAGTTGATCTTGCACCAAACAAACACTTGTAATGCCCTAGACCCTGGGAGGCCTTCCAGTGGATGAGAAAGTGATACCCAGTGGCCTGGTTAGCTGCAGTTGACGATGCTATGGAATGCGGAGGGCAAGGAGAGGCATATGAGGAATGGCATGCTCTGAGACAGGCGGCATCTGACCTAGCAGGACTGGGGAAGTACTACATGCCCCCCTCGGCCAAGTAATGACGGCGATATTACATTCCACTGTCCAGGTATATACACACGAAAAAGAGATGGGCACTCCGCTGCTGCAGAGATCCACATCACCGTTAAGCTATTCGGTGAATTTAACTGTGAATTATGAATATAGGGCGTGCACAATTACGTGTAACATTGTAAAGGTACATCCCAAGTGTACTCCTGCTGTATTGGTAAGCGGAGGGCCCTGCTAATGCGCTTAAGGAAGTGTGTGCGGTGCGGTTCTTCAGAACCAATCTGCTCAGAAATGTAGGCCAAACATGTACCAAGTGTTGAGACTGATCTCTGCATCAAAGCCATGGCCGCTGTCAAACAGGGGGTGGTTAATGGTGCCGTGTTGATTAACAAGAATGGGAGCATTCCACGTGGACTTTGGTAGACTGTTTCGGATGTTAGCCCAGGAATGTGGCGTGATTAATCGAGTCAGTAATCCTCAGTCAAGAGCCAGAAGGGCAAGGGGGGCTAGTTAAGCATTAGAATGTGATCACACCTTGTACATTATGCATAGTAATAGTATTGTGTTGCTAAGTCTGTGAATCACGTGACGCTAGACTCATTGGCTCAATCCAGTCTGCAATGTGGTTTAATCCACTTTCAGCTACGCCTTCCTGCTTCCTGTATTGCAAGTCTCAGAGTGCTACGTAAGTGACCCGCAGAGGATGCCACACAGACTGATGTCAGACATTATCTAAGCACAACACTTTGCATTAGTTGTAGGTGGTAGCTTTTTGTGTTGCTAGGGTTAGTGTGCGGTAGGACGCATAATTATCATGCTGTAGGTGTAAGCCTCCATAGACATATCCGAGGTGCTCTATTACAGTAGTGGGGACAGGAAGAGCTAGCCCTACAAATCAAGGCTAATTTCTATGACTTCCTCTTCATTTAGCTACTTAGCTAACATGGGGAGCGGACTGGGGTAATTGAAGTGGTGGGGAATGCTGCTGCATGCAAGCCCCACAAGTACACACATGTGCCCACTTTGTGCATGCAGCCAATTCGCCAGCAGTTGGCCGTTGGATCAAACACACTGCATGTCTTCGCTGGAAGTATGTGCACCGTGGTTTGGTGAGTCTTCCTGAACCCAACATAATGTATGGATGTACCCTTATAAAAGCAAGTTATCGACTGGATGGCATATATAAACACTGCCACTCATGAGGATAGAACTGTAAGAGGGTGAAAAGGGATCGTTTGCAGACAAGCCAGCCAACTTGGTACAAAAGTCCCAGCTACGTCAGTAAGTGGGGCAGTCTGGTTATCACCTGAGCCATGCCTGATGCTGTTGGTACAGCGGGCAAGACACGGTACAGCATGGAAGTAGAGGGTTGTCGGTTCACGGTACACCTGTCCCAGAGCTGTACTTCCACCGGGTGACCACCCTAGCAACGGGGAGTGAGGCAGGTATCCAGGTGCCACATCCCCTCCATCAACACCTTCCCTCCCGTTCGCGCAATTCCTCTCGACTTTGCACCTCTTCCCGGCGAAAACGACACTGCATTGTTGGCATGATTGTCAGGCCTAGAAAATTGGCCGTTGTGTAGGTAAACTTTTTAGCCCGACAATAGAGGTGAACAAAGCCATCTTACGTACATACTATGCGAATGTTGCTCAACAGGAAGCAGTGTTTGGTCACTATTTCATTTTACGTATACACACAGTTGGCAGATTTCTTTCTTCTTAAACAAAATGCTTAGCTACCCGAATCGCTCGTCAGGCGGAACAAGGAAAGCATTCCACCGCGGGTTTTCGGCAACATTCATCCGTCAGTGAAGCCTCGCATACGAGGCATTTGCGATGCGAAGCATGCGCGGTGTATGCAAATTCCCATCTGTGGAGGAAGAGCAGTAGAGAGTTCAGCATGACGCAGCCGGCTTGGAGCACACAGCAGCAAAGTAGGGTGACAGGCATCGGAACAATGCACACAGTGACATGCCTGGGGGCCTCTGTTGGCACACACATTGGTAATAGCTACCTCCCAGAAGACGGGACGGGAGGGAATCAAAGCTCACCCCGCGAAGTTCCCATGCTCCGCGTCGCCCGTCGGGAACGTCATGTCCTAATAGTCTAGCACCAGTCACCCTACCCTACCCACCAGCACAGTCATTACACAGACACAGTGGGAGTCCCGATATTACACACAACACCATCAAATGCACCCATACACGAGTTACTGGGAGGTGCGGTGTCCATTGGAACCCCAATTCCTCTGTCATGCAGTTTAATCAGCACCTCCGTGATCCAATACATACATCACGTATGTGCATGTAAGTCGTAGCTAATCTACAGAATACTAAGTCACCAAAAATGGCATCTTATATCCTTCCTACACATGTTTATACTTTTAATGTCATAAAAGTCGTGCAACCTCACAAGTACTTATAGCTAACTGCACATAGAGCAGTTAGCTATTGTAACTTTGCCAGCTAAGTGAAGCAGTAGTCCTACCGAGAGAGTTTGTTGAGAGGAACAAGTAGGTAGAGTCAGAAGGAAACGCTGCTCACATCCTCCAAAAATGACCTAAACTACGCACACAAAGCCTGAAAGGAAACGTACTCAAGGACACAACAACGACAACAAAGAGCGATAGGATAGCCATATAGACACATCCGGACGTGGACGACAAAGAAGAAAAATACACACGCCAACCAATTACGATATTATTCCATAAAACTGGAAAACGACGATGCACCGAACTACAACACACGCTGATTGATCTTGAGATTTGTGTTTGATAACTAGTCAGAGTCAAACAAATACACAAAAGTAAAAGATATCGGATAGTCATGCAATGTAATTGTATGCGTCTCCCACATATTTGATCTGGGTGACCCTCACAATACAAATAAGGAGATACGAAACGTCGGGCTACACCCTACACGACGCGTCTGTGTGGTTGGAGTTGAGAGTAGAGGGAGCAAATAGGGGTTGGTTGGTGGGCGGGAGACGGGCGACAGTGGGCAGCAGGCCTTTTTCCGCGAGTACATGCCCCATTTAGGAAGATATTCGTGTGGTGCCATCAACAACACGAGGATCGATTTTAATACTGCTAGTGAACAAAAGGAGGACAAGTGTTGCTAACGTCGAGTCTCCCATTCCCTGATCTCACTGGCAGTATATACACAATAGCAGGCAGGGGAGTGATTCTACACTGCCTGGTAATACATACATGTACGGAAGAGACTTGACAAACAAAGCGAACGGGGGAGCCTCAAAAGTGCAGGCAAACAAAGTGCCCACACGCCATATGCATCAAACAGCCTGTACTCAAAGAAACACCTGCACCTCGTTCTTTAGAAGGGCGCTGTACAGTCTGGTAACGGTACATTATGCGCACAATGCACCAGCCATTGAAACACGTATGGCTGCATTTGATGAATAAATTAGCCAACGGAAGAGACCTGGGCCATCACAGAGAGGGGCAGATCAGGCACAGCATCTGTTCAAATTTGTGGCGGGCATTGAGAAATTAGCTTCAAAAACACAAAGGGAGTCACAGATCAGATGGACAGTGGATTATTACACAGTTGAGAAACCGTGGTATCCCATGTCACAAACAGATTACGTCACTACAGTCACTACGGGTATTTTTATACTGTCTCTGTGGTACAGAGTTTGCAGTTCAGGTGGAAAGGTTAGAGCAACGCATCTCCCTCTAAGTACAGAGTTCCACACATTTAAATCCCAAGCTATTAATGATATCAGAGAAAAGTTTTAGGTACAGCATTTTCATCATACTGTTGAGAGTTTCGCGAAAAGGGTTTTTACATTTCAATCGAAAAAATGTTTTTTTTAGCCACACATTTCAATCTCACAATTGAGATTCTACATTTTAATCCTACTACTAAGATTTGTATCAAAGGTGTACGTGAACCAAATCTTACTACAAGATTTGTGAGAATTTCACAGAGGGAAAGAGTGAGTGAGTGCGCAGGTGTGGGGGAAGGATTCAGTGGTGGAGCAAATCTTGCAGTTCCCGGTCCAGACTGGAAGCAAGTTCCAGTTCGTGTGATTCCAGGGTTTCCCCCACTCCTGTTCTCGTTCTCTCCCGGTGTCTTTCGGAGACATCGGAGCGACCTCCACCGACAGACGAGGAAGACAATGGTAGCGTGGCAGTAGCCCCCGAAGAGATCCGCTTCTCTTTCAAATACTCTCCTGTACCTTCAGAGAATAAATACATCTTTCTAAAATAGCTACGTCAAAAGAAAAATTTCGTTAATTACTATTGCCACAAAACCTCAAAGATGAATTTTATATCTCTGAGTCACTTTCGCCAATTAGTATTTACCCAAAACCTCACTACAGACCAGGCCAGGCGAAAAGCAGGCAGCTGAATACAACAAGAGAAGTTGTGAAGAAGGCAACCACACTGAGGCAAGGCCAGATAGGGACACCACAAGTATTGCATGCACAATGTTTATGCAGGGAGTTATCAACCCACCATCAAGGGAAGCTAACACAGTGGTCTGCTATGATAACCTGAAGACCAGAGGTGG